TCTATATAGGGTAAAATCTCTTCTTAGGAGATAGAGACACATCTCTAGATAATAAACAAAATTAACATATTAGTTCCTACTTTTAAGTACTGCCTGTCGGAGACAGTAAGCTAGTTAAAGATTAAGATACTCTTTTACTCCACCCCTAAAAATCTGCGAACCTCCGACTAATATTTAACATATTATAACCTTAATCTACGCTCTCGGCGTTTCTAATCTTTAAACTCCTACGTAGAGCGAACGGCTCTAATTTTGTGTCTAATCCGTATACTAGCCCTTATCTACACGCTATCGCTAATACCGGCAATATCGATAATAGCGACAAACTCGTTAAGTAGTAGCTTCTTAATTAACTAAAGGGCGGCCTATATAGGTTCCCCCTACTACTCTCTTCTCTATATATAATAGTCTATAAACTTATCTACTTTATTCTTAACCTTAGGCTATAAAGAGGGCGGTAATATAGTATTACGAGGGCCTAGAGTTAGAGTAGTAGATAGAGCTAAGTTATAGGTAATTATCGTATTACTACTTAAAGCGTGTTCGCTTTTAACCTTGCGTACGTTATTAATGCCTCCCTTACTAGTAAAACTACGCTCTTTTATAAGGACGAGGTTACGGATAATAGCACTACCTAGATCCTCTATAGTAAGCCGCCCTTCTATAATACCCTTCTACTACGCTATAAGTTAAGGCTTATATATAGGGAAATGCGTAGTAGGATAGTTACGAGCGTCTAAAGGAATAAAACAGTTATAACCGTAGTTCCTATAGTTGCGGTTCTTATACGTCTACCGGCTAGTAATTGCCTCTAAGTAATTACTATTAACACGCATGCCCTCTTAATTCTGCGATAGGCTAGTAAGCTATATTATAGTAGCCGTCCGTTAAGTAGCTAGAGCTAGTATTAAAGAAACAACTATAGTAGGCTCTAGTTTAATATCTACGGTAACTCTAAGCTCTATTCTATTCGCCCTATAAAACAACTCTAACTACTAGATAATACTATACTAGCTACGCTTATCCTTCTAGGTAATCTTTGCTATATTACTAGTAGCGAGTCCTTAATAGGCGGCCGTAAGTTTACCGCCCTTTAAAACGCCCTTTATATCGATAATGCTCTCGTTAATCTACTTACTAACTCTCGTAGTTAAGTCCTTATTACTAGTTATAATCTACGTGTTATTAATACTCTCTTTCCCTCGGCGATAATATAGGCTAATTCGATATTAGAACGGCGCCGGCTCCTTATCTTCTAAGCTGTCTAAAGATATAAATAATAATATAGAACGCYRCTACTATAAGGGTTRCGCTAAGGGCGGTAGCAYRGTTTAGCTCTTACGCGRTACTATCGTTTTCTTCTTCTTCTTCTTCGGCGGCTCCTTCTTACTAAYACTAATACTAGCGACACTAGCCGTCCGTTTTAGCTTCCTTAGATTACTAAAGTAAGGCAGGCCCTCTACCGCTAACCTCTAGTTTAGAGCCGTAGTATTACGCTTATCCTTATTACGCTAATACACCTTATATTAACGCTTCCGCTACTTCTTAATAGATGTCTAGTAAAGCTTAGCTTCTATAGTAATAGCCTATTCCGCCTCTATAGTAGTAATATAGTACCGCTTTATAGTTCTATTACTTCTATCTCGCTAATAGACGAGGCTAGTAACTCGCTCTAAGAGCTCTTAAATTAACATCCTTATAGGCTTATCTACTACTTCTACCTTATCCTTATCCTCCGCGCCCTCTATAGCCTCTATATCCTTCGAAGTTTCTATATCCTCTACGATATCGTCTAGTTCTACGGACTATACCGCTACTAGTTCCGCCTCCTTTCTTCGCGACGGCTTAAGGGCTCTAATAGTAGCGTTATAAGCCCTCCGAGAGCTAGCGCGCTATAAACGGCGAGGGTTGTCTATAGTTAGTAGCGATAAGGGCAATTAGAACGCGAGAGGTTTATTTTCGGTGTTTACGTAATTGCTATTATTCGGAACCTCTATAATAGCCTCTATGTTAAAAACGATAATAACACCTTCTAAGAAGCCTTAGCAACAACACGACAGTTATATCGTCCTAATTAAGACGGTTAGGGATAGTGGAGGGCGCTATAGGCCAATTTACTACTAGAGGGCCCTCGAGCTTCCCCGCGGAGGAGAGCCCGAGGGGTAGTGCACGTGTTAATCAAACCATTCTAGTGACAAGGAGACCGACCCGCTTCAATTTCATCTGCCCTCGGTCACTTCACAGAATCGCCTCCATCTCACCGTGTCATCCCCATCCAAAGTTCCAATAAACATGGTCAAAGAGTCCCTCTCCAGCGCTCAGTGCCGGCAGTCATTCTGGAAATGACAGAAAACTCGTGGCGGCTCGCGGCGACAAGAGRACTTGCACTACTTGGAAACGCTGGACACAAAGACCCGCGTTCACTCACGTCGCTACGATGGCAGCAGATGCAAGGCCCAAAATTTGGACGCTTGGTCGTTGACGAAGCTAATGTAAGAAGATGTTCCACAGCAACTCGAAGTCGTGCGAGGACTGCAACCCATGCATTTCCTCTCTGGACTGGGCGGCCGCGACAGGATATCTCGAAGCAGGCTTTGCATTGCCGGAGCCTATTCACAGAAAGTCTGCCGACATATCTTGTGCCTCCTGCCGTCTTTGTTAGCCTGCTCCTCACACTATGGACCTACAAGTGCCTGATGACGATTCTCTTCCAAGACAAAATCATCTACATGCCGTACATTGGTCGCTCGGAGAACATGTACGATTACGCGACAGCTTGTCGTCCTGTAGAGTGGCAGGAGACGCACATTAAATCATTGGATGGAACCGACATCGCTCTGTGTGTCGGCAGTCTTTCACCCAAGGCATCAAGGCCATCTCGTCACCTTGTCATTTGCTACTTCCAGGGCAATGGCAGCTCTCCGCCCCCTAGGTTACCAATGTTGTCGAACGTGCTCAAGTCTATCGAGACTCAGATGCCCACGTCGAATGTGCATTTTACCATTGTAGCCCTCGCCTATCGCGGCTACTGGACGTCTTCTGGCCGCTCGTCGCAGCCAGGCATCGAGAAGGACGCTCAGGCTCTGCTTCGATGGGTTAACAACACTTATGATGATCCAAATGTACAGCTCGGGCTCATCCTTTGGGGACAAAGCATTGGAGCGGGAGTCGCTTCTACGGCAGCCGCAGAATATATACGAGATTCGAATCTTCCTTGCAAAGCGCCAATATCAGGCCTTATTCTGGAAACCCCGTTCTCCAGCATAAAGAGTATGTTGATTGCGCTCTATCCACAGAGGTGGCTTCCTTATCGATATCTTTGGCCTTTTCTTTGGAACTTTTGGGACAGCGAACTTGCGTTACGGAAGATCGCAGAAGCTGAACACCAGTTCAAAGTATTTTTGATGTCCGCGACGAGGGACGAGGTGGTTCCACCTGGAGAGGCTGATAAATTGGAGCGGCTGTGCAAAGAGCTGGGACTTGAGATGGAGCGCAAGGACATCATTGGAGCGCTGCATACAGAAGCGAGCACGCGTAGGGAAGGCCAGAACGCCATTGCTCGCTTTGCTATTGAGGTAGCAAGCGGTGGCAAAGGAGATGAAAGGTTCGTACATGGAAGAGACTCATACGGGCTCCATAGGAGAAAAATGATGTAAACCGCACTGCGCATTGCACACCCCAACGCCACGCTTAAAACTCGTCAAGATCTTACAACCCTCTGAAAACATTTCCACTCGCACTTCTCCTCCCCTTATCACCGCCCTCCTTCTTTCCTCTGCCCACCTTCCTCCCGTTATCACCCTCCTCGGCTTGTCTCCTGCCCGGCTGCTTCTGCTTCTGCGGCGCAAATGTAATCTGCTTCTCTCCGAAAGGCTTGTCCGCCCCCTGATCCCGGCCAAATCCTCTGTTCGCAGACGGTGCAACGGCTCCTTTCATTTCCCCGAAACTCTTCCCACCCATAGCCCTCTTCGACCCCTTCGTGCCCGCGCTCGAAACCCGCATGTCCGGCATCCTCTGCGAGACCTTCCCAGACTTCTTGTAACTGCTGGAACCAATCTTGCCTTTGGAGTCCTTGAACTCCTCGGGGTTCCGTACATGTCTCTGTCGTGTCCGGGGATCGCGATGGGCGTCTGCATCTTCTGAATCTTCTTCATCCTCATCGGAAGAACCCTTGACGTCGTCCAACATCTCGGACTCGACGGCGGTGAGATTCTTACGACCCTTTCCAGTTGCACCTGCAACGGGAACGGTGGAAGGATTGTGCATCGCGAATTCGCGGCTCGTCTCGTCAATTTCGAAGTCTTCGTCGTTGAACAGTCTGCTGGCGAAACGGTCGTCCAGTAGAGATTCCTTCTTCGGTTGCTCATCCACTTCTGCTCCCTCGGCATCGCCAGCTTGAGATTCATCACCACCCAATCGCAAGACTCTCTCCGCCTTCTTCCTCTCGTGCGCCTCTGCCTTCGCGGCCAAGGCCTCCGCATACCGCCTATTGACCTTAACGGCGGCGGCCTTCTTCGTACCACGGATCCGGCTCTCTCGTTCCTTATCAATCTTTGCTTGAACCGTCTTTCTCCGCTCATCCTCCGCCAGATGTGGATTGGTGAGCAAGCGGGCCTGCTCGTATAGTTTTTGCGCAACGAAGTATCCATGCATATACGGCCGTAACAAGTTTGTCGTCCCGATAAGATGATCGAGACTGAGTTCGCGGAGTTGTGCCATGTCGAGGAACTTGTAATTGTCATAGACTTCTCCCGCGTTCGCAGTGGTGATGCCAGATTTGTATGCATTAGGATCGGACGCGTCCTCGGCCATTTCCTCGACGAGGTTATCCAAGAAAGCACACCACTTGGGCGCAGGACCCAGTTGGGGAATGAAGAAGGCGTGCTGCTGCATGCCCTCGTTGGCGGTTAAAAGCATGCCGGAAGAAGGCACCCATTCAACGTGATTCAGATCCACTGCGGGTTCGACACCAGTCCAGTAATCTCCCGAGGTGCGATCYCATATCTTGATGCCTTTCTTGTCGGCGGAAAGGAGTTTGTCAGACGCCAGTGGGGAGTCAAGGTATGTCAGGGTCTGGACAGGGTAGTCATAGCCCTGATCGCGTTCCAGGAGAGGAATCGGAGAGCGCATGTCATATGTGCGGATTATGCCCTGGCTGTTACCCGTGGCGAGTTGAAGGCCGGAAAAGTGGAAGTCTAGCGCGGTGATCTCTGGTCGTGTGTCATATGTGTTGTCTGAGGTGGTGGGATTGGGTGCAGACAGAACACTCACTCGATTCCGTGAACGCTGATCCCAGAACTCGACAGTGCCAATTGATGTGCCAAATGCGAGAAGACCGTGACTTTCCTCTGCTATGGCCGCACAATTCACAGCACCAGCATGAATTCCTCCCTGCAACGCTCCACCTCCAAACGAATCCATGTCATCGCCGCCAACTTCCACCTCATAGCCCTTCATGAATCTTCCCACCTCCAAATTCAGCCGAAAGACCTCTCCATTTCCATCTGCATTTACGCCCACCGCGGGTATCAGCGCCTCGGCATTCCTCCTATTATATTTCAAGTCCCGTCCGTATCTCGGTATACGCGTACTGTAATGAAGTCCTCCAGGCGTGTGAAATTCCAGAAACCGGTCGGTCTGAAGATGTAGCGATTTGCTGTAGTCATCGGAGAGCAAAATGAATGTCTCGTTCAGACAGTTTGTGTGGCGGGCGAATGAGAGCGAGAGATGGGGCAGGTAATGCGTGTGAATCTGTGGCTTATACGTTCCTGTGCTCATCACCCATTCTCCATCAGCGCTCACGCGCACACATGAGCTGGCCTCCTCGAATTCGAAGTCCTGCAGCAACTCGATGCGATTCGCATATTCGGCGTCATTTTTGAGTGATCGCTTTCGTTTCCGGGCCAGCCATTCGGGAAGCGGACGAGCAGTTGAGGATCCAGCGATTGTGTACACCGGCACGGCGCTCTGATTTGTGAGCTTCATGGTGGATGTGTGGGAGGTAAATGGAGCAATTCTCGTCGCGAAACTTTCGACATTTCTCCACCGCGATCGGGATCTGCAATCTGATCGGACCTACGGCCGAGCGCCCCACCCAAGCCTTCTCCCGCCCTGCCTCGCTCATCTCCAACCCATCAAAATCTGACCCTCTAGACTTCACCTCATCATCACCAACCAGTAAATCGAGTCCATCATTTCTCTAGCAATGCTTGCGGTCAAGAATGAGTTCTCAAATCTGAGCAATTAGCTAGTCATAGCTACGGACGCACATGGTCAGCTGGAAACGACGTTTTTGGCGAGAAATCGTTTGTAACAACATACAGAAAGCCTCAGCGGACGGAGCGAAGAATATGCTGCCTCCGACATCCTGACGAGAGCTTCCTACCGTTGATCTACACATAGACACCGAGAAAAGATGCACGCAATCGCTGCCTTTTCTAAGTAAGCCGACTGGAGTGCAAAGAATTACTAGGGTACCGAAGGTAAGGGTTGGGGTAGTCTATAAGATCGTTTTGGCTCGCACTCGCCTTTGAGGTTAGTCCGTCCAGTGAGACACCTGGATCAAACTACCAGATTCGACTTAATTGAGGGCTCAGGAATGCGAACAATTCGGCCCGGACCTTCACGCCAACTCTCGTCAAAAGACCCTGGACTGCGATGTCCAGGAATGACGGGACTGCAGGTGGGAAGCGGCTGCACACGAGGGACATCCTTGCGAATGGAGGTGAGACTCGGACCGGAGCTTGATCCGTAGACCGCGCCTTGCTGGGGCTCTCGCAATCGCAGCAGCAGCCCGGCAGGCTATGTCGATATCTTGAGTGCCCTGCTAGGCCAGGTAGTACCTTAGTGAGTCCTGTGGGTTGTTACATCTCTCTGCATCGGTGCCTCAACGTGGATGTTTGTGTATAGACGAGACAAGCGAGCATGCTGCGATGAGCATGGCTGAAGGTATACATGAGACCATGTGGTCGATATCAGGGTTGACGCTGAGGAACCGGAACTCTTGATCTTCGGGGATTCATGTGAAGGGATTCCTGGAGTCCAGGCTACCTAGGGTGCTATGTGGGGCACAATCGCGCGGCACGGCGGCAGCTGCACATTATTAGCGCAAAGGTAAACGCAACAGAGCAAGCTCATCGCAAACACAAGAACGCCGACAACGCCCTCATTGCCGCACTTTTACCCTACATATGCACACGGGCTCGAGCTCCACAATCTCGTGCTTCTCCTTTCGCGTGATCGCATTTGATCCGTCCCCTCCCATGCTCCCACGCACCCATGGCGCGATCCGGCCGCGATTTCATCATCTAAACATACCTTGATCGACTGGCGTAGCGAGAGCATGGATTTTATCAACGGCTGCACAACGAATGTGCATCTCCTCGACGGATTTTCGACGACCGCTTTCACTCAATACACGCACATCGCGCCACACAGTAATGTGTACCAGAAAATTAAGGACGCGCAGAGCAAGGTCGTGGAGCTACGGTGGTCGAAAGCTTTGTGCACTCTCGTCGATCAGGACATCTGGGTGTTTGGGGATGGAGAGCATGACCTTGGCAGCAGCTACACCATCGCAAAGACAGGCACAGTGGAAGGGCGTAAAGACGTGACCTGTCTGCTCCTACATGCCATCGAGTCGGCTCTGGCCTTTACACTTGCCCAGAAGGGTCATCTCACACATGTCGCGCCCTGGACATGGTTGTATTGCAGTCGCAGTCTGGAGGACGAGCCGGACATTCTGATGGTCACTTTACGTGTAAAAGACACTCCTAATGGTGCGCTCTACCTTCTCTCAGAGGTTACACCGTCCACTTGGATGCCAAGTGACCAGGCTTCTGACCACGTCAACGAAGACGTCTTGGTCGCACCACATGGAAAGATTGCCGTGATAGCAGCCGAGGACGCGACAGGCGTGACTGCGGATGTGCAGTGGAAGGAGTCTGTGACAGACRCTCTCAAGTTGGACGGCATAGCTCTGGATGAGGACGCCGAGTGGATCAACGTGGAGTTGTCTGAGGATGGAACTACCTCTATCTTCACATGGCCGAGTGAGCTTTGTCTCCTTCGACAGTCTCTCCCGCTGCCGGCTCAGCTCGCGTGGGCAGATCGGACAGAATGGCAGACATGGACCGACAATGGTCAAGGCAGATTGTACCGTGATCCCCTTGCAGAGGCCGAAGACTGGTTCGCGGGCTTTGCTGAAAGGATTTCACGTGCTGCTGAGGAAGCAGATAAGGAAGCAGCTCACATGGAATCCAACGGACCTTCTAGTTTTGCCATCGCAAACGATATAAGCATGACGACCTCTCCACCTTTCATGCAGCGCACGGTCGACCACCAAGTCGCCATGAGCGGGATGTATCCTACTCCTCCCGATGGCCTGGCGCAACAAGGGCAGACACAGCTGGGCGCGCAATCAGCCATGAGCGCCGCTACTCCATCAATGGTACCTGTCGGAGATACGGCTGCTGCGCCCGAGATTATCAACGATGCACAGGACCACGGCGATGATGCGTTGGGGCTAGGTTCTTACTCCATGGACGAGGTCGAGGAGGATCTGTTCGGAGACGTGGGCGGGGAAATGTTCGAAGAGAATGAGGTTGGGGATGCAGATTTTGACTACTTTGATGAACCAGACGATGAGCCCGCCGCCGAAGCCTCGGCGGGGGAAGTAGACACGGAGATGACGGACATGCCCGTTGTGGATAATAGAAGCGACCTTTGCATCGACGATACTGCCGACGGAACTGATGCGGAACCTGTTGATTTGCACCGAAAGTCAGGACCTGTGCTTCAGCCAGTATCCTCACCACCCTCAGCTGCGTTGTCCTCAAGACTCGCGACTGATCCCAAGGTTGACGAGCAAGCATCGGAGATCAAGAGACGGCCTCTGAGTCCGTTCGGTATTCGAGAACGTCTGCTACCACCACCAGTACCGGCCAGTGTTGCACACGGTAGCGACACGTCAAAGCAACTCAGAAGGAGCAGCAGTTTCGCCCCCATCATCTTTCGTGATGGCGTGGATCTGGCCGCGAAATATGCGAGCGTAGATGTCGGACCAGATTTCGTTGGCAATGTCTCGGCGTCGGAACCAAGTATCGCTCTACCACCTTTCAGGACAGCTGACCAAAGCGACGATGACTCGGACGAATCCGAGTCGGCGGCCTCTGAAACTGATGATGGCGAACTGCCGCCGAGACTCCCTTGGGAAGCCACAAAGAAGAGAAAGAGAGGTGGACATGTGGTTGACACGGGCTCTGCTGACTTTGGGGGAACTTGGCGTGAGGAGAATACGGGTGTGTATGAGGGTAACGACGACAACGAGCAACAGCGGAGCCTTCGAAGAGCTCTACTGGACCAAGTGCTATGCGCAACACTGCCAAGGAACGAAGAACTTTTCGTCAAGCAAGCGTCACCGGCCATCAAACAATCAAAAGAGGAGGATGGAGAATTGCCCAGCCTGGAAGAGCTCTACGATCTGGAGAAGGAGGATTTGATCTATATCGCACAGCTCGTCAGCGAGCAATCCGCCACATGTCTCGCGACCCGTCCGTCGCCCAGCTCTCGTCATAGTCGCAGCGCCTTTACGGCCACCTTGCTGATCAAAGCACTGGCCGACCTCCTTTCTTCTCCTTTCGAAATATGCGACGTCTCCCGCCTCGCCCTAACCCGTGATCCAGCTCCGCAACCACGGGCAATTCCACGAGCTCCTGTACCTCCCCGATCGGGCCCGGACATACCAGACATCTTTTCTCTTCCTGCTCCCTTTGTCCGCATACAGCGCAACAACGACAAATGGGAGATGTTGCCGCCAGCGCTTTCGTTCTGGGAACCGAATGGTCTTGCAGCAGCTTCCGGACCAAAGCACGTGAGAGCTAGGGCTATTTTCCCCAGCAATAGCGATTTGAAAGATGCGACTCGTGGTTTTATGGAAGCTCTAGGTCGAGCTTACGAGGGATGTAAGCTGGGGACGCATTCATATGCGACTTATGACAATGGCGAGTTTGATGGTGGAGCTCTGGTCGAAGAAGAGGGCGAAGAGAGCAGTAAATCGGCGCTTTTGAAAGGATATGCAAAGGCTTGCGCTCGTGTGGGAAGGGAGCTGGCCATCTGGTTCTCCGCATTTGGTTGGCAATCAGGCTGGGATGGGACTTTCGTGGTTTACATGCTCGACCCTTTCACTGGTGAAGGATGGGCCGGAGGAAAGAAGTACATGTGCGCTTGCTTCTGGACGCTTTTCCAGGCATATCTCGACCGACTGAAGCCTGGTAACAAAAGTAGAGGGAATTCTGCTGTGCCCGATGTGGTGCTTCAGGTTATTCCAATTGAGCATGTCGCAAGCATGGATCGATTAATCATCCCTGATCCTCTGATGCTGGCAAGTTTAGCGCGGGAGGTCTATGATCGATGCCCGGCTCCACTATCTGTCGAAGGAGAGGGTGATGGGGAAGCTTCGCCTTCCATACTGCTTGCGCCACCTGTTCCAAAACGAATTGCGTTTCAGCTTCTCGCGGACGTGCCTGCTGAATCGCTGCTGCAGGACGGAAGAGTGCTACATCTGGCGGCCGTGATGAGCGGGGATCGTGAATGGATGAACTGCGTATGGAGTGATGGTCAGGGCCGCAACGTCCTGCAGGAGTCTTTCTGTTTGAGAGGCTTGACGGTCGGCACCGTGGTGAGGCAGGCGTGGGAACGTACATGTGAGTTGATAGGTCGGATGAGAGTAGTTTGGAGGGTCTTTGTGGCACTTGAGGAGGGTGTTTGGAGCGGAGTAGGTTTGGAGAGAGTTTGGAGAGACGTCGTCACGTCGGGAAGAGTCGGGGACATGATCGTTTGTGTTACGCTTGTGAAGACATTCGTAAAGTTGGGTCTCGAGGTGGCTGCGGAACTCGGGTGTGGGGATGGTGTGATGGGGTTGGCGACTCCGGCAAGCACGCCTATTGCTTTTCCTGGAGGGAATGGTGCCACAACTGGCACTAGCTCGCCAAACGTCAGTGCCTCAGACGGCTTCGGGGCGCCACTCACGCCGGCTCCGAGCGAGAGTACGATCAGCGGCGCTGTCGCTGCGATGCAAGTCTTGGAGAACGACCCCGACGCGCATTTGGTGGAGGTGGAGGATGAGAGTTGCGGGATGTTGTTCAAGCCCCAACTCTCGGCGCTGACAGGAATGGACGGTATGGCAAATGGGGCTATTATCCGAAGAGGAAGAGGAGATGCAAGCATGCGTGCCTTGCTGGGTGTGAGTCTCTACTGGACGCTACAGGTGAAATCACAGGGAGGCGGAGCCGTGGAAATCGGTAGCTTGAGGCAGGCAGAGGTGACATTAAGGGAGGTGCTCAGGATGTACAGGGCATTGGGCGTGCTGACTCGAGCGAGAGGATTGTATGAAGGGGAGGGAGGTGTGCAGCCTGTGCATCTGGCTGTCGCGTGTAAGGGAGCAAGGGGCTTGGAAGGGATGATGTCTTAGACGAAATTTTGGGAGACCGCTAATCATGACATTGATCGTCAAGGTATGCTAAGCTGTCGGCATGAGAATGCCCACATGAAGCCCTGTTGTCTCGACTCGAAAGTAGAGGCCACTCGAGTGAACCGTATCGTAAGACTAGTAAGTCCCCGAATGAAACTTTCCAGACTCCCACTTTCCGTCGTCATGTTTAGTGCCTTCACCCTCGTACTTCCCTGGTGCCCACGAGCCGTCATCGAAATGCTTTGACGGGTACTTTCCAGGACTCCATGATCCGTCGTCGAAACTAGTTCCATCGCCTTCATATTTCCCTGGGGCCCACGATCCGTCGTCGAAGCCCGTTCCGTGGCCCTCGTACTTCCCTGGGGCCCACGATCCGTCGTCGGAGCGCTTCAAAGTTGTCGATAGACCGACATCTGGCTGCGCCGTGGGAAGGGCAAGAGTTGCAGCAGCCGCAAAGGCAACAAGTGTGATCGTGTAGCGCATGTTGGAGAGATGGATGTGATTGGTATGGGAAGATGAGTATCGTTTTGTGAGTCTGCGATATTGTCTGTAGGATTTGTTGATGCTGAGATGAGTTGATACGAATTTACAAAAGAATGAGGTCCGACAGAGCATTTATACCTCAAGGTCGTTCGTGTCGCTGTTTTTGTATCACTGGAAGGTGTTCTGTTGGCGACATCGAAGATCGTACGAGGACTGGTAATCGGCAGCCATCGAAAGCTATTTCGAAGCAATCCTTCCGATCATGAGATGGTGTACAAAAGTATCAATACGAAAGTGAGACGGGTGCTTATATTGACGCAGTAGCGGAAGCAGCGAGCAGAGGGCATGGCTAGCACACCATGTATAGCCAGACCTTGGCCGAAGTCAGCAGTACTGTGGCCTTTTGCCGCTTTGGAGAGGGTGCAAGGGAAGCTCAAAGGAGCATCGCCTTTGCACGATGTCAGCCGGGCGAGGTTCCTGCACTTCCCTAGCTGGTGCGGTGGAGGCGCAGCGCGTAATCATATGCCACAATGCTTACGGCCTAGTCACTCCACAATGTCCCAAGGCCTCACTCTCTGCAGGCTCGACGATTCTAGGCCTGCTAGATCCTTGCCACCAGCAGAGTGGCCCGTTGGTCAATCGAGAGAGCAGTTCAGGGCGCGAWTTTTGTTGATAGTTTCTCATATCGACAGCTCTACTAGGGAGTATTGTCACCGACCCAAGCTTTCATATGTCGAGCGTCGACCAAGTGTTGTGAAAGACCCCAGCCCAGGGTAATGATGGCTCAGGCTGCTTAATCATTTATTCGAGAGCCGCCCAAGCACCATCGTGGCAGCGCGTGTATTGTCACGCCCTGTCTCCATGTACGTTCCTCATACTCAGCACTTCAGCCCATAAGCTGTGATCGCACGCAGAGCGCCGATATGAGTGTTGTCGCGTGAAAAGCGGTGCCGCAGTCTTCTTGTCATCGAGTCCAGTGTGGTCTCTTAGTGATAGTCTGCTTGAGCCCTCTCTGCTTGAGCACTCCCTGTCAGTAGAGTTGCTCGTTGACAGATGCACAGCCGTGTCAACGACGAAAACCTCGCAGCTATGCGTGTGCGTCTGTGCTCGGGTCCTCTATTAACGGAGGGAACTGATGCCGGATCATGAAGTTCCTCGCTTTGAAGATCTTGTCGATGTGATTGTTCTGGAAAGTGCTGTTGGAAAGTGACTCTTGTCATGCACGCAGGTCCAGCCTGAAGCAGCTCGAAGTGAGGAAAGACCGGGCGTTGATGTAATGAAAATGAGATGAGGAAGAGCTTGTCATACTTCCTGGGCCATATATATCACATGCATAATTCACATGCATCAGACCTGGATGGTGGTGGAGAGTGAAGTTGCTTCACAGAGAGGAGTGAAAAGAACGCTAGTTACTAATTCGGCGGGCTCCGCGGAGTATATAAAGCGACCCGCGAACCTGAACCGAACACCTACCCCAGGCGATATTATCTGGCCGCCAACAAGACCACGCCGACACCAGACACACATGCCAGGGTTGGCAGTAATCATAGCACAGGAGATTAGCAACAGTTTGAACACGCACAGTCCCCATCCGACCCCGCGCAAGAGCTGCAACACCAGAGCCCAGCGCGCACGCGAGCCGTGGTAGTGGCACAACGAGGAGAGGGGGGCGACATCTTGCACTTCACAGGCCGTTGTTCATCGATCCGCCCCAGACTCAGACCTACCGTCTCTCTCCGCACACGGCCAAGGAAGCATCATGACGAATCAGCTTGTGGTAGGTACCTGCAGCGACGCRGACAGGCCTTCGGGCAAGGAGACAAGCAGGGCAACGTGCATGCGCTGACATGGAGACCATAGGGCGACGTCTACGCCAAGATCATCKAGGATGTGTGCGCCGCGTCGGCGGAGGCCTTCGAGGAGAACGGTGTGGGCTCGACAACGCTCCAGGAGTTGCAGCAGGTGCGTACCCGTGGTGTCTCTCTCGTCGCACTTTCCATCAATTTTTCATCGCCTGTCCATTCTACATTGCATTTTTTGGGGGCATACAAGAGCATGCAGCATTTCCAGAAAGAATGGTAGAGTGAGGCCAGGTTTCGTGCTCACCACCAAATTGCTGGCTGCGGGCGCAGGCGCAGGCTGGAAAAGCGGACGGCGGGCGAATGCGGGGGCTTTAGGACTGCGTGGTCTCAGGGCCTCTGCTCTTTGACCTGGCAGTTTTATACGCCGTGACTCCGCTAAGCCCCGCCCGCGACGCGCCTTTCCGTTTTCGGCAAATCACGTGGAGTTCATGATGACTGCATAACGATGTATGTGCTACACCACATGCTGACACACCCAAACAGGAATGGCAAGTGAAGCTATCGCAACGCGGCGTCGCTCAGATGCCATGGGATCCTAAGCCTCAACCGCCGGCTGCACCTCAGCAGCCTCAAGCACCCATCTCTTCCATTCCAAACGGATTGCCTCAGCAGTCGTACCAACAGTACAACGGGCATCAAGCAAACGTGCAGAATGGAGGAGGCTCGAGGGTTAAGACTGAGTCTAGCAACGAGACCCAATACCATGGTCTTCCTAACACAGGCTACCCACCAAATGCAGAAGGTGGAATTGTCCGCGCCCAGCATCTGATCCAGCAGCAGTACGGCCCCAATGCGAGCGCATCGCTCAACTCCATGCAGCAGCAGCGGGGCGGCCTTGCTCTCCCTGGCCAACAGCCCCGGCCACAAGGTCTCCAACTACCAGCTGGTACCACACAAGCAGCACAGCAGCACGCCATTCAAAACTCTCAGAGCTTTCAGCGGCAGCAGCAGCATGCGATGCAACAGCAGCAGTTACATCAGCAGCAACAGCAGCAGCAATCTCAACCTCGCATCAAGGTCGAGAGCGACAATGCTCAGACACAGCAAGGTAACTACCAGCAGCGGCCTCATCCATCATACCAGAACGACGGGGCAGACGAGGGCTTGGAGGAATGGCGCGCCATGCTTGCGGAAAGACGGGCGATCAGCGCTGAGCAGACTCGGCATGCGGATCGGCTCATGCGCGACCAAGTGTTGAGAATGTCAGAGAGTCTTCAAAGCGGCCTCATGGTTTCACTCGAAGAGCAGATATCGCATCCTGATAATGTGAAGCGCCGCGCTGAGTCACGGAAGACGAAGCCATATTCAGGTGCCCCTCATTCTGACGGCGCTCCATCGATTCCGCAGTACGATGGAGGTGATGATGACGATGAAAAGGCCAATGTCAAGGATGAAGACGACGCAGACGCCATCAATTCCGACCTCGACGATTCGGATGACGATAATAACAACGCCATGGGTGAGGATGACGATGAGCACATGGACAACATCTTGTGCACTTATGACAAAGTTCAACGCGTGAAGAACAAGTGGAAGTGTACACTGAAGGACGGCGTTATGAGTGTGGGTGGCAAGGAGTGGGTGTTCCATAAGGGCATGGGCGAGTTCGAATGGTGAGAAGACGAGGGAAGAAACGGCCGACTCCACAAAGTAAAAGCGGAGGACAACCTAAGGTGAGGACCAGCATACTGCCATGACCAGTAGCGGCGAAACGAAGCAACCACAATTAGCATGGCAATGGTTAATGATATCACAACGGAAAAGGGGAAATTATGGATGCATCGGTTGGCTGGTTGGATAGAGAGCTTTCATCAAATTGACAGACATTTCACGTTCATTCAATCTATTTCGTTGCTGAAGCGATTGTTGTGTATCTCACTTCCAAACCGTCAGAAAATAAACAAACATCGCTCGCTCGCTTTGCTATACAATCCAATGCAAATCATCTCACCGACACTCCGGCGATCGCGCCATGCCTCCCATTAGCAACACTTCCCTCCTCCGCCACTGCTGCTCCCGGGTCTGTCCACCCTAAACACTGATCCCCAACCACTCTTCCGCCCTCTTCTCCGCCTGGTCGATCCTCCATAGCCATCACTGGTCAGTCCGCCGGCACTCTTAATGCTGCTCGTGCCATCCTCATAGTAGTTGGAATCTCCATACTGGATTCCACTCATGGGGTCGCCAGGATCAACTTCTCCAAGCTCAATCTTGGTGAGAATTATTCTAGCAAGCTTGTTGAAGACTTCCTCAACACCCTCCCCTGATAGAGCAGAGACCTCCATCGCTGCAGAAATCCGATTTTGACTTGCCCAGCTCGTAGCTAGACCTTCACTCACAGCCCTGCCCTGTGTCGGCATGGTTGCGTGCAACTGTGAGCCAAGAGTCGGTCCTCTGGGTAGACTCCCCATGATACTGTCCATATCGTCATCCATTAGATTCTCACCTCGCTGCTGTTCCTTCGCCAGGTTCGAAGTCTGTGGGTCCACCAAATCCACTTTATTTCCCACGCATACCACGCTCATCTGCGGACTCGCCAGCGCTCGCGCATCGCCCAGAAAAGTCCCCAAATCAGCAAACGTCCTCTGATTGCAGATGTCGTAAACCAGAATCGCACCGGCCGCGCCACGGTAATAGCTCCTGCTCACAGATCTAAAGCGCTCCGTCCCTGCTGTATCCCAGAGCTGAAGTTTGATCCTCCTTCGTTGCTGTCCAGGGCTTCCCACTTTTACAATCTTGGAAGCGAACTCGACGCCTATGGTTTGCGAAGACAATACGCGCCAGTCGCCTTTGACGAAGCGGTGTAGCAGACATGACTTGCCGCATCCTGATGGACCGAGCAGGATAATTTTGGCGAGGTAGTCGTACATGGAGCCCATCTCCTGGCCATGGTCGGCATCGCGGATGCTGTTGTTACCGCGAACGGTGGATGTCGTGCTGGAGGCGGTGGACTTGGCGCGTTGGCGTGGCATGGTGGAGGATGTACTGTGGCGCCTTTGGGTGTCTGCTGAAAGACGACACGCTGATCAAATTGTCATGGCTGTTGTGTGCTGTGTACTGTTCGCCGTTCTACGAGATAAGATAGCGAGCAAAGGTCTACAAAGAGCTAGAGCTGGGTTGTCACAAGCAACCAGCTTGKTTTCATGACAAGCACGTGAAGACGGAAAAACGCCTGACTCAGACAAGTGTGGCGGACGATATGTAATGATGCTTCTTATCTATTAAATTTCTCCTTTTACCCCTCTACGCGAATAAACAAATGCTAATGCTCCATCCTGGGTATCAATCAATCGCTAAATACAAATGAGACCCCACGCGTATGCCTTTTCCGCTCGATGATTTCCATCTCATTATATCGACAAGACAGGCAGCTCTGCTTCCGCCTTTTGGTCCATTTTCATGCCCATCGTCATTCCATCTCGAGGCCTTGGACTTCCCACACTCTTCCCACTCGCACTGATTATGCTGAGCTTCCTTGTGACCTGGTTGATGGTCTCCTGTGGCTCGTCGGAAACCGAAATATGCTTCCATCTTCGAATGTCGCCATCCTTTGCGAGTATTTCCCGGTCATCCTCGCCCGCAACTTCGACTCCGCACTCACGGAGGACTTGAACCATGGCTCGGACGTTGAGCTCGAGGATTCGCTCGGGTTCCTCCGCCTTGGTGATGCGCTTTGAAAGCCAGGGGAATAGCAGTCCAAAGTCAGACTGATTGAAGTGCTGGGACTTTTGGATCACCCAAGTGTGTGGTCCTTCGGTTCGCGCTGGTCTGGCCTCATAACCATGCGTGGTGCTCGTAACACGACCCCTGTGAGATGACGAGCCACCGTTGCTAGGAGTGGTGAGTCCGCTAGCTCGACTTCGCTGACGTGTCAAGCTTCTCAACGCGCTGCGAGAAAGCTCCGATGCATATCCAGAATCCTTGGAGGGAGATTCTTCTCGGAGGCGTGCCCAGTTGGGAAGCAGTTTGCCAGGGTCGCGCGACAGGCGAGGCGCGATCGAAGGCCTGCGAGATAGAGATGGAGCTGCTACGGCGTGCTTGTTCAGGTTGAGGTTGTCCTCCCAGTTGTAGAAAGCCTCGGAAAGAACACTCAACACGTTTGCGCCAGAAGGTCCACCCACAGCATACGATGGAAGCGGTTTGTCCCAGAGGAATGCCTGATCTGGAGACTGCAGTGGCAAGCACCACATATCCAAAAGAAGCATTGGGGACTCTTCGGTGATCTGTTGTATAATGGCAGCATCTGAATTGGGAGCAATCAATGCCTTTCCAGAACCCTCAACCGGTCTATCTCGGTGGTAGTAGATGCTCTTCAGCAGCTGTACCGTGGTTGCTGCTCCAAAAGAGTGCCCCGCCCAGGTGACCTTGCCGGCGCGATGAATGTCCAGCATGCCATCGAACTGCCACAGCACCTCGACTCGTTCATTCCTGTTCTTCGACGCGTTGATGTCCAAGTTCTCGATTCGTTGACCTGCGTCGATTTTTATCAATGCTTCATATGCCATGCTGATCTCCCACAGTCGAATGCGCAACTGCTTGTCCCTTCCCTCGTAAACCTCTGCGCTCGGTTCATGGCTAATCTTTACTGGTTCTAGGATCTTCGCCTCTGTAGTCGCCGTTGCACGCACGTATTGGATGGGAGATGAGCCGTCTCTGTGGTCTAGCGCAATTACGATCATRCCATTGCTGGCCAGGTCTCCACAAACATAGCTGTACGCATTCCTGCTGCCCGCCAGACCGTGGCTGAAGAAAGTCACGGGCCATCTTCCATTACTCGTTGGCGGATCTAAGAGCTTAGCATTTCGGTGCGCAGGAAGATTGATCCAGTATAATTGTTGTGGCATGTACGAGATCAGATTGGCGATGCGCGGGTTCTTCACTCCGATGAATTTCGCAAAGGCACTAATCGTTTCGCGTTGCGGTTGCGGTATCCATCGTACAGGTCGATCGGATTGTGACGAGGCTGGTTTCACACACGGATAGAACACTCTGAAGGCGATGGTCGGTTGCGCGCCATCGGGCGCGTCGGAAGGCGAAGGGAGATCGCTGACGGGAATTTCCACGTCGACCGTGCCTACAGAGTACTGCCCGTGATAGTCGGGAAACGAGACGATTGGATTCCAAGACTTGAACCACGACGTCATTGCGGATATCTCTGACTGTTGTCCCGTGTCTGCGTCTACGAAGGTATATCGCTGTGGGTCTGTCTTTTAATGATGCCTCCTGTATCCCCTGAGGACGTGTCAGGTCGTGTGTGGGCGGCAAATTGGTCAATGGAGAGTGTTCGAGGCGCGAGTTGGCAGGGGAGTCGTCTACAGGTGATATCGGGAGGAAGTGAACACGGAAGGAATGGATGTACGATGGTCAACAAAGAGGATCGCGAGAAAAGGATGTAGGATGTTGGGCGCAGATCGAGGTCAGGTACTTCGCCTTATGAAGAAAAAGCTCATGCGACACTGGAGGCGCTAAGTTAGGTAGTCCGGATGTTCGGGATGATGCAGCAGCGGCGAGTTGCCAGATCGAGGCCGATCTCCTCGAAAAAATCAGTCTCTGGGGTGAGGTAGCGTACCTCAACTTGGCCGCAGCTGAGAACAGGCTTTGACACTCCAAGGGGCCAGGGTAGGACTTGACAAAGAGATTCGTGTTGGATGCGAGTCGCGACAACGTTTCGTGTTTCGTGTTCTGCGCGAGGCTGAGCATCCGCTAGAAAGTCAAAAGAAAAAAAAAAAACGCGGCCACGCCTTCGCTGACCTTGCTCACCAGCGCGCTGTGCCATACTGCGCTGTAAGCAACCGAGCAAGAAGCCGGTGGTATCATCAAGATGTTGACAAGACATTTAAGATGCAAGAAAGATCAGGCGACGCCACGACAACTCAGCACAATGAGCATCTCGAGAGCATTCATCGCATTATTGGGCTGCATCACAGCGACCGGCTGCTGGCCCAACGCGTGAATGACTACGAAGCGCAATTTGGCAACAAATGCAGTTGCAGGCACCAGGTGGCAGGCAGTCGACCTCGCGGGCGTGGCAGATCTGAAGACTGGGATCATGAGCTGTTGTACCACGGACGTGGAAGCCGTGGAAGTTCCCCGCCATCCCTGTATCCTGGACACGATGTACTTGGTGCGGCAATAATAATCCGTGATGGGCAGCTAGGTGGATGGAAGACATGCCGTTCGATGGACTCTAGTAGTCTACTTCATTCATTCCTATCCCGGGGCAGTGTCTTGAACAGGGCGTTATGCCCCACGAAACAGTTGAGGCTTTATGTCATTCTTTCCATATCGAGCACTTACTTTATCTCCTGACGATACAACCACCCGTCTTCCGGATGTGCCGGACCGAACCAAGCTCAGACAGCAGTTTCTTTCCACACGCTCGAAGTATCAACGATGATACTCCGGTTGCATGCTTCCTGGTCGTACAATCACATCCTTGATTCGGTAGTGAGATTGTCCCAATAGTCTCTCAACCACGTTGTTCAGAGAGACACTATGACAGGACGACCGCCGTGTCGCCGCTGGTCAGCCCTGGTCTCACAATATGGTGCCTTCTTAAGCTGTGACTGCTACTCCTCGACAGATCGAAGATCTAGGTACCCGGTGCTGTGCAGAGCATTATAAAGGATCAAGCACTTCACTCAATATCAATACCACCAGATCAGCATTTGACAGCGCCAATTCATCAAGCACAACTCAGGTTCACAGCACAACTCACACAGCGAGACGAATCACAGCAGAGTACCATGTTCGACTTCCGATCCCGCTCATCGAGTCCAAGTTCCGAGAGATCGTCTTCGACTACATCCTCTCAATACCTACCTCAGATTAGCGGCGTCATGAGTTCACCCGACTCGAGCAGGCAGGGACAGCTATTGACGCCGAAATCATCAAGAGATTTCTCTCAAACGACAAACCTCCTGGCAACATCAATTCGTCAAGGCAGCAAAGCATCTGCGACTTGTTTAATGCAGCCCTTCACAGTACTCTCACAAAGGTTAGTTACACTGCGACCTGTTCGTCCAACATTGACAGATGCTGAGACTCCTAAGTTGGTACACGAACTCGCAAGAGCCCGCAGAGGCTGTGCCGCAATGGGTATTGGACGGTGCGCGAATAGCAGACGATTCTCCTCGGTCCAGCATCGACTCTTTTGAATCGAGTGGCATTCAGATATACCTTGAGGAAAGCCCGGCTCCGCCGAGCCGTGGGCCAAGGTCGATTCCAATAGTTTGCAAGGCAATACTGGCGTCCTGGAGACAGGCGAATCGACCTCCGCGATGGAACTACGAGGCCAGCCCAAGGCTAAGTTAGATCCCGCGATACATGTTACCAAAGTCTACATTGCACGACATCGCTGTTCCAATGACGCCGACGTTCGTCCAGAACGTGGATAGTGAACCTCAATGCGGTTTCGCCTCGCCAATATCCAAATGTCGACTCTTTGTAGCATTGGCATGGTTTTGTTCTATTCTGCGCCACAAAGCTTTCTTTGACATCCGATGGTGCATGCACAAAGCATGGCCTACAATGGCTCTCTTTGATATGCCCCTTCAATGTATTTAGCTTCACCAATATTCCCAACTCACTTCTCTTCGAATCACACACGCCATCTCTTACTCTACCTGTCTGCTGCATTCACTGTCCGGTACAGTGCCCACAAGAAACAAATCAGCAGTATCACTCCTTGCCCACTCAACGACGCATTCACTATTGTCGAACCTCTTACCCCGATCACTATTCAACGATTTTACGATGCTTACTCGCGCAGAATTCTTCGCCCAAGCTCCTGCTATCGTACAGCCAGGAGACACATGTCCCATTTGTCTAGAGGAACTAGAGGGCCAACACCCTCTTCGCCTCAGGTGCAACCCGAACCACGTCTACTGTCGAGAATGCATCAGACCATGGGCCACCCAGCACCGTCGTTGTATCCTGATGTGTGGAATTGAACCGTGGGATCCTGCACCATGGACAGACATCTCACAAGCACTTATACATAAGACCAACGTGGACTTGTTCCATTCGGCCAAGTATACCTTTGGAGTTTCGCCTGGAACACGAGCTGACTATATCGCGGGTTCGTTCACATTTACCGAGGATGACACCTTCCTGCCTTTGGACGGACGCTGGATTGATTACCTCGCTGCTAGACGTGAGCCGAACATGAAAGGTATACCCATGATTCAAGTGAGCATCGAAAGCCAAATGGCCATGGAAGGTGTTGGCTTGTCCGAACCCGAGAGACTTCTCCTCCCAATCGTCAATCTTGCTAATGTCATTCCCCTCCTTGCAGCCAACTCAGGTCGCCCATACAATGCAAGTGACATGCAGCAATGGCGCCTCGTGGCGACACACTTGGTTAGTCACATTCCTATGGATGCTGTGGTCTTCCCAGAGATCGAGGTCGTGCCTAGAGATTTGAAGGAGGTAATCCTCAAAAGCCTGAGTACCGCGGGTGCGGACGTGACCAACATCACGTTTTTGCAAAAGGGAACGCATGGCTCAGATCTGGACCTCCTGATGGAGTATGTTGCATACATCATGTATAGGGAGTGCTGGGTGACGAGTACGCATACTCGCCCAGGATTCATAGCACTGCAGAAGTTTCGTTCTTTGCGTAAAATCCAAGCTCGGCGATTCGAGCAGGCCACATGGATGCTTGAGGATCCCGAGCGTCAATGTGAAATGATGTGAGGTGAAAAGTGTGGTTGGATCCCGTTCTCGACTAGATCTCTCGACAACTATAGCGTGTCAGTCGGTAATCAGAAGTATTATTCAAGGGTGAACAGCCCAGGAACTAAAACCAATCGTCCCATTTCCCCGCTTCATAATGGAGGTATTCACTGAGGTTCGTGTTCGTAATGCTGGCATTGATAGGCCGAATGACTCTGTATGTGGCTCAACCGAGAGCAAACAAATCGCCATGTGTTTGTTGGTGGCGTCTATAGCGCACGCGCAGAAGCCGGGCAGCTGACAACGGACTCATAGCAGCCATGTGGCAGGCCGATCTCGTCAGATCCGTGTTTCCAAGAACGACATAGTTCCGACAACCAGGATGGCAACAAAGACCTCCATCGAGACCAGGAATTTAGTTGTTCTTTTTCCGATGATTGGTCAGCTTTATAGATTCAATTCACATTAAAGTACCACCAGATTTACCCCCAGAAGACATTGTGACCAATGTGCGGGTCGCCACCACAAGGTAGAGAACCGTGGTCGTACGAACTAGTGTTCTGTCCGTCTGTTGAGTCCAGCGGGTATCTTGACCTTCGCGTCGGCTGCCGAGAGCCGAGCGGCGGCGCCTGAATTGTTGGAAAAGCAGTTGAAATGTTGGATTCCAACAGTGGCGTAAAAGCCATGGTTGTTGGTTTGGATGCTGTTACACCAATTAAGTCGCGTGTTGCGAGCTCTGAGGTTGTTTTCAGGGCCGGGTAGTTTACAGCCTAGTTATTTGAGGAGCTTCTCAGCCGGTTGCTCACCGGTCGATTCAATCCCAGGCGGGACCTGGGCATCACACAAGAGGCTGCAACCTGGGATCCAGTGAGTCTCGGCGCACATTCACATGCCATGCCGCTCTTCGCACCACACGGCACAGATGTCACCTTCCGGCGGCCTTTAGCGCGTCGTGTGGCATTTGTGCAGACGAAGTTGGCTCTCGTCTGTGTTCCCCACTGACGAGAGTCGCTTGTCGTGCGGATTGGGATTGAAAAGCCATCGCAAGCGCGCGGAGGTCCATCATTCCAGAGGCTTGGTTCGAAACTTCCGTCTGGGAATCCCCCTCTGCGTGGCTGCACTGGTTTCAAAAAATGGGGAGCGAAGCTAGAGCTGTATCCAGCAAAAGATGGCCAATCTCAAATTTCGCGTTTGCTTGATCGGCTTCGTCAGCTTGCATCCACCGATGGCTGTCCTCTGTGCTCATCCGAGCGGAATCGTGTCCACACTCTTTCATTTGGTCTGAGTACGCTTCTACTCGTGTTCACAACACCTTTTGATGGTCAAGATGGCTTTTCCCGGTGCATTTTGAGTGCTTCGGTGGCACCATCTGTCCTCCACAGCTCTGCGACCGGCCCTGCATGATGGGAGTGAAGTCACATCTTGTCTAACTATTCCTGGTTAGAGTCACGCAGCTTGGCGCGTTAGTCTCAATCGTCGGCGCTTAGAGAGGAGTGTTGCGCGAGCACTTTGCGCCTTGCTGTTGCGCTTGCTGGGAACAGCACGCTGGAAACATAGCGTTCCAGGGCAATGCGTGGAGTGGATCTGGAGGCCCAGCACAGTGCAACCTCCCTTACCCAAGACGTGGGATCGCGCCTGTTGGCTTGAACTCTGTTGGCCTCGCTGGAGCGGCACAGCAAGGTAGGTAGCTTGGACTACACTTGCGTTCAGCTGCGTCTCTCACGATAAACATTGCGCCGTGCCGTCRTGGAGAGAAGGATCTTGCATATTTGTCGGCGATCCCATCTCACTWGGTAGTAGCCATCCTGCCTGCTGTGCGTGCGTCCGCGACTCGTCTTGCTGACGGTGTGCTGCCTGTGCCTCAGCCTCTGACCGAGCCTTGGATATGTTCACGGTCTGAATACCACCACTACCTCCATCACCGCGATCCGCCACGATCCACATTGCTGCAGGCAGCGCGATGCAAACACAGCGTCTGTGACTGGCAGGCCTCCAGATCCCCTCTCCGCTGCGCGACACCTCTGACTGAGCTTCGCTCTCAAAGGCCAATTCCTCGACAATGGCATTGAGTGGTCCCCTGATGCCTTTGGACGGTGGATTGTCGTCGTCGGCCTTTAGCCCATATTCGGATTCGCCCAACTCGCCTTCGCGCTTTCAACAGCTCCCGAACAACAATGGTGGGAGCGGAAACACGGCAAGCAATAGGTATACTGCCAAAGTCAAGCGTACCTTAGTCCCCGCCGCAATGCTGATTGTCGGACAGGTCGTCCAGTCAGCCGGCTGACTCCCTAGCACCTCCCGCTAGCCCATACCCGCAGCAGATTGAGCCTTCCCCCGTCGACTCGAATGGCACGGAGAGCACAGACATCGATGAAGACGCGCAAGAGGATGCAAACGTGAGGTCGCCGGGCTCGACGAGCAACGATGAAGCGATGGAGGTGCAGTCGCCGGATATTGAAATTACAAGTCCTGCGAGCAATAAGAGCGTACGACCACTCGATACGATAGCCTTTTCATGTACTGATGTGGCCAGGAAAACCCTCCGCCTAGGATCAACACAAAGCTGCCTGCAAGATTTCGATCCGACTCTGCAGACGATGGCCCGCAATCGGTGATCCATATTCCGTCGGGGTTCAAGGACTTTGACAGAGAACAGCAAAGCTCCAATGAGCAGCGATCTGGACAAAGTGCTCTCCTGGCCTCGCCGAGCACACCCGAAGCATCTGTGGTTGAGCCAGCAGATAAGGTGGGTTGTTATGTATGAGTAAAACATGGATATTGACGTTGACGATTCGGCCATTTCAGCGATTGCCAGCCTCGCCATCACCCGTCAATACCGACGTGCCACAGATACTGGATCGCTCAACACCGCGTGCTCAGACTCGGCAAGAACTCGATGATGACTTCAAACGTAGAAGTCGTCGTACGTCTAGTCTAGAAGGTCGGAAACATTTTTGAAAGTTTTCGCGGAATTACTTGTCCTGACATTGCGATCAGATATCCCCGAGGCTCTCGACAAGGACGCTGATGAGATTCATGACAAAGAAGATGGCGCCCAAGCGAGGGAGGAGGGAAGCCCCAGCACAGCGGGCCTGGTCGGAGACGGCAAAATGGGTGAGGCACTCACCCAAGGTGAATCTGAAGTTGCAGCCTTGAGAACGGCTTTGAGTGAGTGTTGGACATTATGCAATACGCTTGCGGGCCTTTCTTCCACCCATCGACAGCGAACCTTCAAGTTCGCGGGAAAGACCGACGTACAGGAACAGGCGTGGCGAAGTTGTTGGCGACTGTGTCAACAGCTGTACGACAATCGGGATGAGGACCACACTTCACAGGTAATGCCAACATTGGAGCTGTGTCGTGATTTCTGCCAGTCTCTGTTCGATGCGCGCGACAAAATGGACGAAGCATCTGATTCTGTCCTGCGCGTCAGCTTCGAGCTAAACAACCACCTTTATAACACGCACGATCGCAGCCTGCCGGACGCCTTCAACGAGAGGACACTGGACTTTTACATCACCATGTGCCATCGACTGATGAAGTTGCCCACATCATTGCCACAAGAGACAGATTCTCTCCTCAGAGCTTGTTGGTCCTTGGCGGAAATGCTCTTCAACATCCGGCAAAGCAGCCGCGTGGGACGAGCAGCAGACGAGGAGTTGCTTGGATCAGCTGTGCAGGCATGTTGGGAGCTCTGTGATCTCTTCCGTGAAGGCTGGACACAGATCCGTCCGGATAGGGGCACGCCGCGGCCCAGCAAAACGACATTTGGCTCAAGTGCATCCTTTAAGAGCTCTGCCTCTGTTCGGTCACGGGGATCCGAAGGACGATCAACATCAAGCACGCTGAGTAGCCGCAAATTCCACGACGCCCACGCAATCCCTCCGGAAACACCAGTGACTGTCTTCGACGACGCTTCCACCGCCAACTCTTCTCCTGACTCCGTGACGGTGCCGAACATTCTTGTCCTTGGACCCGCCAGTACTGGTAGCGGCTCTTTACGAGGCGCTCCGCACCACGAACGCTGGTCCAGCAATGCCAGCGTGCTTAGCGACTACTCGGAATCTGCAGGCTCGCAGCGCACATCATCGACAGCGACGGCCTCGGCCGAAGAAACACAGCTCTCCCGTCTGCGCTGTCTGCTTTTGAAAGCAGGCATGAACACTGGCTACACTCGATCATCCGGGCAACAGCTACCCGCGTATGTAAAAGCACTTCCAGACAATGCTTTTGGAACTCTCCCCTGGCAGATGAAAGTTCTCAACTTTTACAAAAAGTTGGTTACGAACGACAAATCCATGCTAACAGTGCATACTATGGCGAGTCGACGATTCACTGCTAGTGAGGCTGCAAAAGCAGTTAGGTGGCTTGGCAATTCTGAGCAATGGGCCTGGATGCGTGAGTAATGTCCATGTTGTGAACAGGCTTGCATGTTCTAATGTTATAATAGGAGATCTTTTCCGTCTTGTCTTTGGCTTTGGGGTCGACGATGCAGATCGCAGAGGAGGATCGTTGATGATATGAAGACTCTTGAATAAAGGTCGACCATTCATTCCGGGTGCATGGACACCATCGCATCGTCGATGATTCCTCCCCCTTCATTTTGGAAGATGCTGCGCACCCACCAATCCGCGTAGGGTGCTCGGCACAGCTTCGATGGGTTCGCATTTGGCGAAACTGCTCAGCGAAGTGGCTGTCTGAGCTTTCGCCGGATAGATCCACGAGTAAAGCTGCTTCACAGAGTTTGGAGACAGGCTGTACTGGTCCTTTGCATATCCTTCGATCCGATGTGTACGATTTCGGTGCAAGAGGGGAAAGAAAGCGCCTGAGCGCACTGGTTGGCTGTGGCGGAATGCGCTTGGTAGTACAGCGGCGACAACTTCTGGCAAGAGCCCCAGGAGAGGAAGATATGTGGAGACTGAACGAAGAGCATGACAGCTGAGTCTCCAGGGAGCCTTCCCAAATTTGTACATTAAATGAAACTGGTGGTTTGAAGCTCGAGTTGTTGAAATGAGGAGGCTATTTCGTTGAGATGCACCGGCCTTCGAACAATTATGGTATTATAGTCAAATTCATCAACAATCATTGCAATTTCTGGATTGTAACCGCATTTGTCGTCGTGTGGGTATGTAGGCTGTCAAGGGCGCCTCGGCTCAATGCATGCTCTTCTTCTCGTCGCCACCTAGCATAGGGTCGTCGATAGGAGCAGGCGGCGCATATGTGGKCCTGGGAGCCACGACTGAAGGCGCATCATTCGCAATCGCATCTTCGTAACTCGGTGGCGCATCTCCGTAGTCTTCAATAGGGCCACTTCCGGGCTGGCCAGGCCATGCATGACTTGATGAACTGCCAAGTTCAACGGGTGTGGGTGGTATTTGATTCGAGCCAAAGTCGGGGTGTAGCTCGGTCTCGACTTGAAGCTTTTCGGACAAGGGATCAGTCTGCAATTTCGAGGAGGCCTGTGCCATGCGGGCTAGGACCTCTGGGGGTGGTGCGATGCCAGAGAACACCTGCACGTCTAGTCTGAGTGGTAGGACTACACTTTGTGGCTGCGAGGTGGATGTTAGCGCAAGATCGGTTGGTATTGGACTTGGGACGGCAGTTCTCATCTCGTCACTCGTACAATTCGTCGAAGCTGCCCTGGCCATACCTTGTGGCTGCTATTCCCAACATAGCTAAGGCCTATTCGAACATCCAATTGGTATGAGCGTTCGATGTTGCAGGTAACAAAAGAAGGTGCGACATTTGTCGGTAGAGGGACACCACGCCATGCTCTGTCGTCTAGAACGATCTCAGTACCTTCGGCATCCGAGGCTGTGCCAATGAGAACATTCAGGTTACTTTGACTTGTGATTATCCAGCTGTTGGTTTCTGTGCGGTAGATCTGATGCGCTCGGATCCTGGTGAGTCCGATGAGCGATATTTGAAGCGATTGTAAGAATACTGTGTCGTTGCAGCTATTGAGCTTCTTTACTAGCAACCGCAAGGGAATGTCTTTGTTGCACGTCAGAAGAGCAGGCTCTGGTAGCCTTGCGTCCACGCTGAGACTCGGTGCTTCTTTGGAGAAGGTCGGACTCGTCGGAGAACTCGGCGCACTCGACTTCATCCCGAACAAGCTCCTCATCTTTTCCTTGGAGGGCACATCATCGGGAAAAGGGCTGAACACATGTCTTTGGCGAGCGTAAATCTCTGATCCTGAACTAGGAGGTCTCGGCGGCTCTATTGGGAAGAAGTTGAAAGGCGCATAAGCTCTCGGATTCTCCTTGAAGAACGAACTCCGACCAACAGTCACCTTGACAAAGTATCGAATCTCAGCTTCGCCCGGAAAGCCAGACATAGTCGGAGGAAGCGTCCTCTTGACATGTTGTGTCGCAGGCATCGCGACCTCCATGCCGATCATGACCGGCACTTGGCTTTTCTGGTGAACAGAGCATGCATTGTTAAACGGCAGCTTGAAACTGAAGGGGTACTCATGTTGTCCAGCTGGCAAGGTGTATGCGGCCTTTCCAGCCATGTGAGCCCGGGATTGTTGCACATCTGTAGGTGGAAACACAACCTGTACCCTGTATAGAATCTGTATTCTAGTCAGTACCGTCTCTCGAATTCCAAAATCTTCGGTGGAAACCCTGCCTTGTGGTACTCGACTTGTGGCTTTGGTCGCTGACCATCTGGGCCAGGCGGTGTCATCAATCTCGTGCGTGACTCGCCTTCAAGTTTGACTACAATGTTGCTGATGTCGGTGCTCTTCCCTGTGCGCACCACGACTCTTCCTGAAATCAGATCAAGATTGGTGTATGCGACGTTGCCCGGCTGGTCCAGCACCAACGACGCATTCATGGTCGATGCGGCACCGGCCCATTGTGCCAGACCGGGGGCACGACCAGAGCTGAGCGGGTTCATCGATGTGTCTCCTGGTCAGTACCCGGGAAGCTGACCTGGATGTTCAAGCCAGAAATCGAGCGGCAAGATAATGGTGTTGTCACTGCTGTGGCGCAGCTCCCTCCGGATGTACATCGGCACACAGGGATCAGCCGTAGCGCCATTCTATCAATACAACATCACTCCATTGATATGAAGAGCTATATCCAAACTATGTGCATCAAAATATTCGCAAAGAAGGTGACAACAAGGTAGAGTAAAGATTGGCATGCAGAAATTAACATTAGGATCTATGATCTTCTGAGCTGTCTTTATTGTCTTTCAAATCCGCCTTCGGGTCTATCACATGGGCCCTTTCTATCGTAAACTAATCCATAAAATAAAGCGCCTCGCTAAAATACTGCAAAACCTAACCCACACCTGGGTGTAACCAAAGTAAATCGCTGGAAGGAGGAACTCAGCCGTGAATAGAGTTGGATTCGTAAGTCGTCATGTGAGGATATCTTCTAGAAGACGGGCGTCGCACGGGAAGCAAAGCTCGAATAACCGGGCGGGGCCTCATAAGCGGAATGGGCAAGTCGGGTGTATTCCGGAGGAGGCGCCACGCTGGTGTAGCGAGGCTGGTATATGGCAGCGACCTCATCTCCGACCTCGTCTTCGACGAGCGGTGCGATGGAACTCCGGCGCGAGCTGGATCTGCTGTTTGAGTTGGACGAGGTGATCTGAAGGGGGAGTCTCAGATCGACTGTGCCTGCGATTCCGGCCGTCTGCAAGCCCAGCTCGAACTTCAGCTGATAGACGCGGCTAACGAGACATGTGTGGAAGGTAGGGACAAATGTCTTGTTGGCCGGCAGTGCAATTGGAACTTCAAGCACCGCAGTCCAGTAAGTCCCACCTTGATACGCTGCGCTGGGCTCGGTAAAGATGTTTTTTGCAAAGTCCGTTTGCACTGATGAGTTGGAGGGGCCAGAGTCCTGGCGTTCGAGCGTAGGACGCTTTCCGGGCTCGTGCTTGGTCCATTCGGTGCTTGTAACACTTCGCTTCGGTAATTCGACCTGCTCGGAGTGCATTCCTTGGGCAAGATCCGATAGCGCAGTTGCTTTGTCAGGGAAAGTGTGTCGGGCAGTGCTGGCAAAATATGTGCATACTTTGAGCTTGGTGCTTAAGTTGCCCAATCGTGGCGTCAGTGCCTTGGCGTCGATCGGGTCGAACCTCAACCTGATGACAGCAACAGATTTAGARGGTGAGTCGCTGCGTAGGACCATTGCTGGAGGCTGAACAGCTTCCATAACCAGCGTTCCGAGCTYGCCCTTGAGAACGCCCTTTCTGATTGACCGCTCCTTACGCATCGTGTACTCGGAGTCCTTGCCTTCGACGTCAAGCGGCGGCTCTTCACTGCGGGCGGGAATCACTCGCAGCTGCTTAGCCTTGCTTCCGATCGTCGTTCGAACGACTTCGCCTCCTTGTTCCTTGTCTTTCGAGATCTTTGCAAAAACGCCGTACCGAATGCTGGCCATTTCAGGACACATGTCATCGAGACCGGCTTTGTCCTCGGCATCGTTTTCCTCCCTCTCGCTGGCAGACGAGGGCCCCAGACTTGGAGGCAAATTTAGGTGAGCCTCCCGGACGGTGTTGCTAATGATCTTGTGTTGACAGATTTTTGGCAAAAGCTGATCCGGAACCACGAAAACAAACGGGAAGTCGTATCTTCTGCCGGCTAGCAGGAGGTTGCCTTCGGGATACAACTCTTCAAGGCCTGGTTGTTGCAACTTCAAGAATTGGTGAAAAGCCTCTGAGCGGCCTGAAACCGCTGCAGCAGTTGTAAGGCGTTCGACATATGTCCTCGAAGTACCGACAAATTCGACATCGATGTCGTCAAAGCTGGTGTCGCACGATGGGATGATGGAGACCACTCCTTCCAGCTGTTCGTGCGTAGTGTATGATTTTTGCTTGTTGTTGATTGTGATCTTGATTTCGGGTTTCTGCCCATGACAAAGGCCGCGTATTTTGGCCTGCATGTTTACGGCATCGCTGCTTGAGTTTGGGGAGGAGAACATGGTGTCCAGCGGAGGGTATTGAAACCGCGGCAAAACAAAGAAATGCTCTCTGACTTGGCTTTCACAATTTTGCTGGAATGCTGAGATTATCGATGCAATGGGAACGCCTGATGAACGAAAATTTTGATAACAACAAGAAAATGCGGGCATCGAGAACTTTTATAACAACGCCCCGTTTGCGATGCTCCCATGAGGAAGAGCGTGTCGGTGCGGCTCTTGAGTCACGGATTGTCGCCAACAGAAAATTGACGCCACAGCTTGACGATGGTGACGTTTGATTGGACCACCGGACTCTTAGCGCTGGGCGCATGCGCTAAATGTCTTGAAGTCCGACCCTTCGACAAGCAGCTCTATAAGCTCTTCTTACGCGAAGGCCGTGCCATGCAGTCGACCAGCAGATCAGTCTCTCAACTACCCTACTTGCACTTCCCCGGACGCAATCGTGCGACGGAGCAGCATTCTCCTACACACCTTGACTCCCAACGCAGTCTTTTTGCAAGCCCTTTGTGCGCCCGGGCGAGATTCAGCCCGCAGCCAGGTCGCGCCATTGTGAGCGTACGGACCTGCACCATCCAAATGCGGGCAGGAATTCCATGGGCAAAAGTCCTGGCATGGCGTATAGGTAAGGAGCAGGCGACGGGCCGTTGCCGGCCTTCAACGATGCGGTTTTACAGTGTCATTACGCCGTAACCGCCTTGCGCAAGTCCGAGTCCTCGTGGACGGGTGGGTCGTGGCGCCTTCAAAACCCGGGGTTGGGAAGAAAATTTTGCGAGAACGTGCTAGATTCCGATGTCTGCGGGAAGTATTCAACCGAATAGGAAACTGATCGGTATTCTTCTTCACACCCAGCCTGCACTCCGTGCGAGTCCAGACGCAATGGTGATGCTGCTACCAGGCGACGGATCAGGCAACATCGAGTGATTGCCCTGTCGGAATCACGTTGTCGGAGCCCGGAGTTCGTCGGCTTTTCGCAGGTCTGCCTCGGATTTCGATCATCTTCTTCTGCATACCAGCAAGGTGTCCAGGCCAAACACACGTGGGCATCGGAATGGGACGCAGCACCCCAGCTCGTGATGAAAGCCCAACTCCGCAGACATGGTATCAAGGAGCGCGTGCTCCATAAGCCTGGATCACCTCCGCCGGAAATGAAACCAAAAAGGAGATTCCAGGCGCGTTCGTCCAGCGTCGCTTGGGATTCATGCCGACGAAATGCCCATTGCTGCTTGGTGTATGCGTCGACAAGGCGGCGGAGAGAAGAAATATGTTCATGCGAACAGCTTGAGGAGCTTGAGCATCCCCGCCGGTCTTATACACAGAGCAATCGCACAACTTTCCCTTGATTGGCAGTCTTTGTCAGGCATCTGCTGATAGGAGATAGTGCGGAGCCACTTAACTTCCGTCTCTCGTAGGTTGAGCTTGGGTAAGCCTTGGCTACCTTCCAGTGAGGCTTCAAACTACCTCACCACCGTGCTGCGCACCAACAACCTTCCACTCGATGGTCGATTGATCATGCATAGCAAACCTCAATCCTGGCCGTAACGTAGGGATCAAACTTTGGCGAGTCGTATATCGCAGGAGTCACTGGATCAATCAAGGTGCATTCGATTCTTGCCTACGTGGGTAGATTGGAACGGATTGAATTGCCGCCAAACGGAGGTTTCTCAGCCATTATACCGCTGAAACTTGAAAGATATCTTGTGCTTTCACAGAGAGATCTCCCCTTCAGAACCCAAATACCCTCGAGGTACCGTGAAGATAAGAAGGAGCCGATCATCACGGCCATGAGAAGAATCAAGCAGACTGGTGTTACAACAGCTACTGTGCGAGGAGACCATCACTCGGCGACATCACATCGGAATGTATGTGTCAATGGCTCAGGGTATGCGTCGGAGACAGCGTCTTTCAAGGCMAAAAGATTCTGAGAATCTGACTCTCAGCACTACTTGCAAGCGACATACGAATACAGAACGGCCGCGTCGACCTTTCGTGTTGCCGATTGAAAATAGTCCTCGAGAGCCTCAGTGCGAATTCAGTCCTCGACGTTGGATCGGCCTGCACTGGCGTATTTGCAGCCTTTCAACATATCCCGACTGGTAATGACTTCACAAGCCGTGCAGGGCAATTTCGGCAAGCAATCGTACACGGCAGGTCTGCTGACTTCATGAAAACCATCGAAGCCTCCGGCAAGGCGATATAATCAAAGAAATACTTGTTTGCCTTGTCGTTGTGGAAGCAAGTAGCAGACAGCCTGGAAATTAGGCAGCAGCCCAGTCAGCAGCTTTATTTTGGATAAGTACCTATTTGTGATTCATCTCTTGTACTCTCACTCCCCACCTTCAGTTCTCCACTTTTACTCTCACGCATAACATCACGCTCGATAATCTTCATCAGGACACAGCACTCACTGAACGTAACATGAGCACCATGTCAGGACTTAGTGACATTAACATCTGCGGATGCTACTACATCGTTGAATACGAGCGCCAATATCTTCCTCAAGTCGTTTTGGAATCTCATACAACCATCAGCCCGCTCAGCTTTACCACACAGCTGAATCAGACTTTCAGCAACCCGAGTACAGAGAATCTGCCGAAAGTGCGCTACTGTTTCCCACTCTACGACGGAGTGGCAGTGAGTGGCTACACAATCACATATGCCGGAGAGACTCTTCGGGGTATCGTCAAACAAAAGGATGATGCCAAAACAATCTATCGAACGGCCGTCGACAGGGGAGATACTGCTGGCCTCCTCGAAGCTTTGCCTGCCGGTATCTTTGGAGTGACGCTTGGCAATGTACCACCCGGACAGGACATCACAGTCACCATCAGTTATTGTGGAGAACTCAGACACGACAGTCAGATTGACGGACTTCGATACACCCTTCCTACGAGCATTGCACCTCGCTATGGGAGCTATCCAGGCAACCTTCTCCAGTCCAATGTCCGCACTGATGGAGGCATACGGATCAGCGTCGATCTCGACATGGCAGTCTCCGCAATTCGCAAGGTACAATCACCTTCCCACCCACTTGCTGTCAGTATCGGACAGCTCTCCAATCCCGAAGCCAGCGGATCCTTTTCGTCTTCTAAAGCTTCAGCGACTCTTTCTTTGGGCTCCGCAGAACTTGCGCAGGACTTCGTGCTGCAAATCTTGGTCGACAATGTTGGCGATCCGAAGTCCGTGGTCGAGACCCATCCGACTCTACCCAACCACAGAGCGATCATGACAACACTCGTGCCAAAGTTCACCTTAAAGCCGGCCAACTCAGAGATCATCTTCATCGCCGATCAATCAGGATCTATGGAGGGGCCAAAAAACAAAGCTTTGGTTGCCGCCCTCAAGATCTTCCTGAGATCACTCCCACTTGGCGTACGTTTCAACATCTGCGCTTTCGGCAGCAGCTTTCAATTCCTATGGCCAAAGTCACTTGCATTCAGCGAGGACAACTTCAACACTGCGTTAGTTTTTGTGGACACCTTCGACGCACGCTTGGGTGGAACCGAACTCTTGCAGCCCATTCAACAGGCTTTTGAGCGCCACTTAAATGACCTTTCYTTGGAGGTCATGCTACTCACGGACGGCCAGGTCTGGGGTGAGTCCAAGGTCTTCGACTTTATCAACCAGCAAATCATAGAGAAGGGAGTTGACGCTCGCGTGTTCGCGCTGGGAATCGGAGAGGACGTCTCACATACGCTCGTGGAAGGCATTGCTAGGGCAGGCAATGGCTTCGCGCAGTTCACTCAGACTGAAGCGGAGATTGACCAGAAAATTGTGCGCATGTTGAAAGGTGCACTGTATGCTCACACCAAGGACTACACTCTGAAGGTGCATTACGAGGAAGCGAATGCGATGTCAGATGATGGTGACTTTGAGATCGTCGAGAAGCCTAGCAATCTCGTGGAAGAGGCTGCGGAGGAAGGCAGGACATCGACTGCCAAAGCCAAGTCATTCTTCGACCCATCGGCCGATCTCGACAAATCCGTCGCTCCAGCTGGTCGCTATGCTCACCTGCCGGAAATACAAACACCTGCTGTCATCCAAGCCCCTACCAGCATCCCCCCGCTGTTTCCATTCAACAGAACTAACGTCTACCTTCTTCTCGGCCCAGAATCGCCACAAAAGCACATTTCTCACATTACACTGCGAGCAACATCCTCCGAAGGCCCTATTGAGCTGGACATTCCTGTTCATACGGTTGAGGTCGGAACCAGCATTCACCAACTTGCAGCCCGAAAGGCCATTCAAGATCTCGAAGAGGGCCGAGGGTGGTTACAAACAGCCATTGTGAAAGATGCCGTAGGAACTGAAACGATGCCAGCTAGGGAGAAGTATGAAAGCCGTTTCGATGAGATTGTGGAGCGGGAGGCTGTTCGGCTCGGAGAGGCGTTCTGTGTAGCAGGGAAGTTCACATCTTTCGTGGCTGTTTCTGATCAGAATTCCGAAAACGCCGAAGAGATTGTGCTGCAAGCTGCGGACCCCCGTTTCACGAAGAAGAGGAAGGTTTCGAGCAGAATGGCCCGAGCACGCAGGGTCGAGATGCCCATTTCCCAGACTTCGGACGCAACGGTGAACATGCTCCCACCTGTTCCAAGAGCGAGCTACCGTATGACATCGGTATCGAAAGCTGCGGTTTGTAGACCATCGGGTTCGTTAGGTTCCTCCTTTGGGTCAGCGGCGTTCTCCGGCCGCTTTGGGTCTGCTGCTACGAATGATACTGGTCATCTCAACGGCCTCTTTGGGTCTGCTGCTAAGAAGGATACTGATCATCTTAAAGATGGGAACGTGATACATGAGATCATATCTCTACAAACTTTCGCCGGTGCCTGGATCTGGGGAACTGACTTGCTGCGCCTCGTCGGTAAAGCTGAGTCGCAGGTCGACATTAATAAGCTGGGGAACGACAAGGACGTGGCAGCCACGGTTCTTGCTGTCGCATTTATGGAGAGTACGCTTCGCGCGAGCAAGGACACGTGGGAGTTAGTCGTGAACAAGGCGAGGATGTGGCTTGGCAAGAAGATGGGAGGCGATAATAAGGCAGTCGAAGCGCTTATTCGTGCAGCCGCAGAAGGATTTCGGTCTTCTTGAAGCGCTGATTTATAAGACTATAAGTCGGGGCGGATCGATTGAATTGGCGAGATGAAGCAATCTGTATGCCCAACAAGCATGGAAAGTTGACGATTCAAGGAGCGACATTGGAAGCTGCGCTCCTCCAGATCTTTGGAAGCGGACCATCACGACCATAGATAGGATCATAGTCCGGTATCAAAACGCTTCCAGCCAGCTCACGCTTAGCGTTGGTAACTTCCAAATCATCATTACAATGATTATTGTCCCAGTGTGGCGATCCCTAGCAAGTATCAACGTGATGTATGTATTGACGTAAAATCTCAACATACTTTCGGATAGAGTCCGACATATGTGTAGTCGTCGCTACTCTCGACGTTTCGATGAGCGACACCAGCTGCATGAACTGCTATGTCTCCGGCTTGCATCTCAAACTGGATACCTCCGTTCTGATCATCGAGTGGGCCTACGCCGTATAGACTTTGTTCATCGTCAACAATGAAGCTCATGCGTACTCTTTGGTCCTTACTACGATGTCGTCAGTCCCCGCGATTTATCCCTCAGAGAAGAGGTGTCGCCAGCCATTACCCATTTCGTCTTGCCCTTGATGGCAGCGTAGCACTCGTGCGTGTTGGAATGGAAATGTGCGATGGGAACATGCTTGAAGACGCCCCCTTTCACCCAATCGTTGCATCTAAATGCTTCAGTCGTTGATTCGATGCTRAGATCTGCTGGTAAGACGTCGCGGTAGACCAGAACGGGTAACTTTGAGTTTGGACAGTGAACGGTGGCTTTGACCCAGTAGAGCTCGGGCTGCGGTGGAATTGAAGACATTTCGCTCGTGTAGATGCTTCAGAGCACTTGAGTGGATTCTTGCTTTTATTTAAAATCAACAATGATGTGACTTGCTTGTGACGTTGTGATGAGCTCGAAAGCTTCCCCGCCATAGGAGGAGGGTCGTTCACTCACTCGTTGCAATACGCGAAGGAGCTGCTAGCGCTAGGATTGGCCTGTGCACACAGATCAACTGCAAGATCAATTTCAGTCTAATGTCCAACTCACGTACTACATAACCACTTTTCTCAATGGATCGCTAGCTCTTTGGACGTTCTTGAAGGCCTAGCAGATATAGGGTCCATGGCCGGCATAAGATAATGCTTATGCGCAGTAGTTGATGTGGCCCAGCTCCCCAGTCCATTGGTAACGGACGACATCTACAAGCTTCCTCAAGGTATCCGGGTGCAAGACGATCCGAACAGCATCGGCCGTCCACTTGCTATGGACTTCAGGTGACGGCCTGTGCTTGGCATAGAGCAATCGTAGCTCTCTACGCTTCGTGTGGATGGAGGGGCCGGTTCTTCTCATAGTCCCGTAGGGCTCGAGTGCCTCAATGAGTATGTATCTCATACGCTCCGATATCTTGAGTCTTGCAATGGCAAGGTTCGTCTCCAGTGATCCGCTTGATGCCATGCAGAGTCTCATAAATTTTGTGTCCAGAATCCAAGAGCATCCAGTTGCGGAAAAACATTACCATCAGAGCAAACATGTTACCACGATGGACCACATCGGGGGCGTCACTGATGCATTGTACGAGAAGGCCGTCCAAGTAGGTATTGCACCTACAAAGACAGCCCCACACCCCACGTAGGACCACATTTTCTCGCTGGTTCCTCCGACATGCAAAAGGAATCGATCCGCTTCTAGTGAGTTGCCCATCACCAAATACTTCAAAAACCTGTAATTTCCATGTGCAGCCATACTGTGCTGCATCTAGCGACGGCTGCTCTGCTGCGATGATGTTGCGATGCCCCGGGTAGGATGTCCGATGAGTGTTGGGCTTTCCTGTATTCATGATGGAGGCCAAGAGAGAATATCGTGCCGATTTTTCCGACTCTCCAGATCTGCATGCAAACCGAAGCTTCCGCTTTGGACAAAAGAGGCATGCCGTGTGTCGCGTGTCTCTCGAACCAGTGACGCCACGCAGACCAATCAAGTTCAACGCCTCCGAGGAATCTCCACCGGAGCCTTCATGTTGTTCTTGGCGCCACGAGGACTTGCATGTTGACGCAACGCTTGGAGACAAAGCTTGGAGGGCTTCTTCTTCGACCGTCTCGATCGATAGCCGGGCGCGATAGCCATGGTATATAAGTCAGTAAAATGTCAATCAGAAGTGGTTACCTTTGAGCTCCAACTTACAAAACATCTTCCTCCTACGGGCCCAATATGTTCACAAGCAAGGCATTCGCACTCGTCTTCGCATTCACCTCTCTTGCCTTCGCTCAGGATGTAGACTACAATGACCTTCCATCCCAATGCACTCAAGTCTGCGACCCTGTCGTGCGCCTAACACAACAATGCGACCAAGGCCGTAGCGATGCGGATCAATTGTCATGTGTCTGCCAAGCAACGAACGCAGCAGCCCTGCTTCCTGCATGCGAGGCATGCTACGCGATGTTCGACTCTGATGGCCATGACAACGGTYAGAAAATTGACAAACTGTCTTACTGGCAGAGTTGTGCTAATGTCCTGGCAGATGTCAATGATCTTGTCAGCAAGTGCTCCTTTACAACAACTAGCTATGTTGCGGCYGCTACGACCCCGGCATCACAAACAGGCTCGGTGACGACTGGCGATTCCGGAACTCCAGTCACGACTCAGCCCGCCTCTACCTCCTCGTCGGGTCCGGGCTCCGTTGGGATGCTGTCTGGCACCATGACCAGCTCAGGGAGTGATGCTCAGAACACTGGAGCCGCGGCGGCTGTCGGATTGGACGGAATGCTGGGCGTGTTGGCCGGTGTGGCCGGTGTCGCCGGTGTCGCAGGGTTGTTGTAGAACTGGAGGCTGGTATCTATGTAGCGTGGAAACCATTCTGGGGACAGTCGTCGCGTGAGAAATGTCTAGACATCTTTGCCAGACAAAAGTGTTTCAAGATTGCCATCTGATGAACGAAGTGTGCCGTTACCTTCAAGATTTGCTACTGCACAACTTCCGAGCCATTCTTCTCTTTTCCTAGACACACAGCAAATTTACCCTTAATGACTTTGTGAGGTTGATGAGAAATGGCGCGCAATTTTTTGGCCGCCGTACTGAGCTGCCTTGAAGATAAATGGTTCTCACTGGCATCTACCTATGTTCAGCGCGGACCAAGCTGTCTCTCTTCGGACCTTTGCTGCCTTTTTTAGTTGACTCATGCGGCGCGGCGGCAGTCGAGCCTTGCAAAGAGCGACTCGCTACAACGATGTTGCTTCTAGCTGAGCTCGATGTATCGCTTGGAGACTCTCTGACCGCTTCACGCTTCGATGCGGACTTTCTCCGCGATTGTGTATCTGCGAACGGGGTTACGAGTCTTGTAGAATCTGAGACGGAGTCGTGCAACGGTTTAGATGGTTGCTGAGGCCTCCTTGGCCTGGTCGACTTTCGCTTGACTGGCATTTCATCATCCGTGGATACCGCAGGCGGGAATGGAATCTGTTGGGTCATGCTCGATGCCCGCTGGGACATCCTCTCCTCGTGGGTGTCTGCTAGAGGAGGGGCCCGGTGAGAGTTCCTTGGACGGACCGACTTTCGCTTGACTGGCATTTCATCATCTGTGGAGACTTCAATTCGAGCTGAACTCGCCTCGATGTCACTTTCCTCACTACTTAAAATGCCGGCTGGTATGTTCTGGTTCGTCGAAGCTGGCAATCGAGCTCGTTTCCGGCTTGTAGGCGGGTCATCGTCCGACGATGTCGCCTGACCCTCTAGCAGTCCAAATGAGACTCGTTTGTGCTTCGAGGGATACGACTGCTAGGCTGTTATCCGCGTGGTATCGCTTTGCTTCGACGATTGTTCACTTTGCTGGCTTGACGACGAAGAATCATTTTGTGGCGTTGACGATTTCTCCTTCCTTCTCTTCCCGTTGGTTGAAGAAATGGAAGATCCTGCGACGTTGAGAAGGCTGTGGTCCTTCTCGGGTAATCTTAATTGAGCACTTGTATGATCTCCGACTGTTGATCTTCGTGATCGTCCTGAAATCGGTGTCCTATGGTTCCCACCCTCGATCATCCTTGGTATTTGAGGCACTATCGGAGGAGGAGGCACGTATAGTGGGAGACTGGCGAACCCAGAAGCGCTGGTTGAGGAAGCACCTGCTGTTTGTTGCCGAGAAACCTGCCGATGGAATAGCGAGAGAGGTGGTGCGTACAGTGGGACATTGTTGACTTGAGAGTTTCTGGTCGAGGAAGAGTGTGAAGCCCGTTGAGGAGTAGCCAGCGGAGAGGGAGGCACATATAGGGGGAGGTCATTGAAACCTGAGCTTTGGTTCGTGGAACAGTCCGGGGTTCCATGCGATGGAGGCAGCGGAGGAGAGGAAACGTAGGGCGGGAGGTCATTGGAACCAGAGCGTCGACTTGAGGAGCGATCCGGCGTATTCTGCTGGATAACTAGTGGGGGAGGAGGTACGTAGAAGGGGATGTCACTGGAACCTGAGCGTCGACTTGAGGGCGGATCCGGGGACTTATGCGGTGGAGTCTGCGGAGGAGCGGGTACGTAAAGCGGGAGCTCGTTGGAACTTCTACTGGAGGATGAATCTGGTAGTTGATGCGACGGCTCAACAGTCTCATTCTGAGGCTGCGACATGGTTGGTAGTAGTATGCTTGCGGTGGAAAGTGTTGAATCGGACTACATAGTAGCAATGTAGCCATGTGGATGCTGTCAACAAAAGCCTGGGACGATGATATTGTTAATGCGATGACATTTGCTGTTTACCTTGATTGCAAGCGCGACTGCTTATCTGATGGGAAGAACGAGCCAGCGACTCAACAAACTGACGAGGCATAGTCGTTAGCCAGTTCCTAGAATCCGTGGCGATTGGTGGAAATATCATGGATCAACATGCGTATAGTTTGCACAGCCTGCTGCTCGTCTTGTTGTAGAGGAGGTGATGAAGTTGGGAGATGCACAGAGGTCAAAAATGATCACACTGAGCAGAGTAGACTGTGTGCCAGTAAGTTAATGGCGGGGATTCCTTGGACTTTCACGGCATTTCTCCATGTAGTCTTAAGTGTACAGCCTGACGGTCTTCGATTGGAGTGAATCCTTCCTTACGATACTGTTGCTCCCGCGCTCTTCTCCGCGGCTTCGCGGCGGCGACCGGAAACTGGGCAAGGCCGCGACTTGAGAGCAATGTTGAGTTCCTCGTGTTCATTGCAGGAAACGCCACTCTCAAAGATGCCCCGGCGAATCAACGCTGCTACCCAGGCATTGCGCAGCTGATGCGGGTCCGTCTGGTGCAGATCCATGGACACGATCACTTGCAATTTACATCGGTCGTAAAGGAGCCTTCATCCGAAGCAATCGCTTTGCTGCGTCGAGCTCCTACCTTAAGCATCGTGTGGAGTATAGAAAGAACTAAGGTAGGAGTCTCCGGTCACTATTCGGTTTCGGGAAGCTGGAAGGAGGTGGAGTTGGAGATGCAGAGAAGCGGATTTCCAGCAAGGGAAGATCTAAAAATACAGTTGTCCCGGCGTTTTATTTGCCGGTCGCCGACAACATTTTCTTTGCCAACAAATGCTCTTCTCGAACTGCATCCTACAACACAAGATGGCCACAGCGACAACACTCCCAGAAGTGCTTGCAAACTTCGAATCAGCCACAGAACTGGCCATACAAGGCCTGCCCAGCACAGAGTCGCTGCAGCTTCCTGAAAATGGCAACACACTCTTCGACACCAAAAATGAAATATTTTTGTCCTATCTGCAGGCACTGGCGCTGCGTAATTTGAATGTCATCCGAAGCATCAAGAACGGAGATGATGCAGTTAAAACGCAGAAACTTAGCAATGACATCACCAAAAAGCTGGTCGAGCAACGCGTCTACCTAGAGCGAGGCGTCAAACCGTTGGAATTGAAGCTCAAGTATCAAGTCGACCGCGTGGTCAAGGCGGCCGATGATCAAGAGCGCATTACTGCGCAGAAGGACAAGCAAATTGAGCAGGCCAAGGCCAAGGCTGCTGCAGAGGACGGTAGCGAAGATGATGACGACGAGGATGAGGACAGCGATGCCGAGTTGGGCGCCGACATGACCGCCTACCAGCCCAACCTCGACACCATTGAATCCAAGCAGACCGAGGGAGACGGTATGCGCCGCGGCAAGAGCAGCGAGGACGGCGTCTATCGTCCACCCCGCATTTCCGCCACRTCAATGCCCACCACCGAACGTCGTGAGCCCCGCGCAGAACGGCGGCCCAACCGATCTGCCACGCTCGATGAGTATGTCTCTACCGAATTGTCCACCGCACCAGTGGCAGAGCCCAGTAWTGGTAGCAACCTCGCCTCGGGGGGGCGCCAGACCAAAAGCGCGCGCAACTTGCGGGAGGAGGCCGAGAGGCGGGACTACGAAGAAACGAATCTTGTGCGTCTACCGGTCATGTCAAAAAAGGAACGCGCCAAGATGGGCCTTGGGAAGCCAAGCGATGGTGGATTTGGTGGCGAGGAATGGAGAGGTCTGGGGCAGAGCATCGATCGCATTGGCGATCTCACAAAAAGGAAGGGTAAAGACAGCAGCTTGGACAAGAGTCGGAAACGCCGCGCTGTGGAAGACGGACCACGAAGCGACGGCACCGGCGCTGCATTTGACGTCAAGAAGCGGCGGATGCAGAAAAAGGGTTGAATGGACAGGGCTTCCTGCGTGATGAGAGTCCTCGAACATGAAAAGCCCGGTGTCGACTCACCCGGGAGTGGGGCCGTCCTTGCATCGGACACTGTCATGGTCTGATCTGAATGCCATGGAGCTTCGGGAAGCTTCGGGAAGCACCGCAGGAGGACGACGTTATCGGGTCAAAATTGTCAAGTACTTGAGATCAACACTTTACGGTACAAAGTGCGAGAACTCGTGGCAAGACCTCTATTGCACGAACCAGCGTGACATGGACTAAGACTCTTATTCGCTACGAGAAGGACTTTACTCCGATGCGTGAATTGGCTGTACACAGCCGGCAAAAGTGAACCTCCCTCTGTTGAACCAAGTTCTCGMAACATAAGCACCCCATCATCGACGCTGTCACGAGATCGTGTTCCAGCATGAACCTGGTCCGCGCATTGCCGGCACGTCCTTCGTGGAACCCTAAGCGCCTGGGAGATACCCTGGGCGTTCACAAATCATAAAATCCTCCGCAGTTGGGCCAACTCAGATTCGCCTCCAAGTTAAGGAGTTGTCCGATTTAATCATACATGTAAATGTTGCCGTCTATCTAGGACTTTTTGATCCGCAAATCACACCATGAGCTCATCCACGAGCCGCATCACGGAGCTTGCTTCAACAATCTCCAAGAACACCGCCATAGTCGACCAGTACTTTACCGATAATGGTATACCCACTCCTTCCTTCGCTGCCGATGGCCCACTGCTCGAGCATCCTTTGCCTCCCGTAATCAACGCCGCCCGGATTGAAGTTATCGACGCTACTATCGAGCTGCATGAGTTGTTACAAGGTCCTCGTCGCATGATACAGAATGCCGCATGCGATATTAGGGTCGATTGTCGTCTACTCTACAACCAAAAGCTCGCCTTCATAGTTCCACTGGACAATCCTGAGGGTATTACCTATGCCGAACTCTCGAAACGAACCGGCATCGCTCAGGATGCTCTCACCCGGATTTTCAGGTCGCTCATTCTTCATCGCATCTTTGTCGAGCCTAAAGTTGGTCACGTCGCTCATTCCGCTGCGTCCCGATTGCTGGCCACAGACGCAATAATGCAAGACTGGCTGGGGTTCATGCTTGAAGATCGACGTCCCGCAATCGACCATCTGGCGACAGCATTAGAACTATTCCCAGCAGCAGATGAGCCAACGGAGACCGGAGCCAGTCTCGCCTTTCGTCAGGACTTTTCACAGCCACTTCAGGGCTTCTACACCTGCCTTGCTCAACAGCCGGATCGCTCAAGGAGGTTTGCGGTGACTATGAGTATGTATCACAAGCAGGACTTTTTCGATCCTCGACACATTGTCGAAGGATATCCGTGGGCAGACTTACCGGATGGTGCCACGGTGGTTGATCTTGGTGGCTCGCGAGGCGAAGTGGCCATGACCATCACGCGTGCTTTCCCGCAGCTCAAGTTCGTCGTCGAAGACCTTCCGGACACGATCGCCGCAGCTTCTAGCCCGCCGGATGGTCTCAACGTATCCTTCTTGGCACACGATTTCTTTCAGCCGCAGCCCGTAAAAGGTGCTGCGGTGTACATGTTTCGATGGTTCGAACCTACTTTCGTAAAATGGCATACAGATACTACAGCGCTAACGTAATAACGTTCTAGGATCCTTCATAACTGGCCAACCAAATTCKGTATCAGGATTCTGCAAAATTTGATCCCTGCCTTCACCAACGGGGCGAGAGTCCTGGTCATAGATACTGTCACTCCGCCGTTTGGATCCCTACCGAATACGATTGAACGCGATATGAGGTCCTCGGATCTCTCCATGTTGGCAAATTTCAATGCAAAGGAACGGGAGGCGTGGGWGTGGGAGGATCTGTTTGGTCGAGTCGACGAGAGGCTCAAGTTCCTTGGTATTAAAAAGAAAGATGGCTGTCGAGACTCTTTCATTGAGGCAGTTTGGGAAGGCTAGCCAAGTCGACAGGTGAAGAATAGTAGTACGTATGTGAAGACGAGCGATCCGTCAAACCACTCTGACTTTCGACCAAGGCCCGGTGAAACTGAAGATTGCCGCCCTATTTACAGCACGAAGAGGTGTCATACTATTGCAGTTAGCGACAGTACGAATGACAATATACATTTGATAGGATGTCTAGCTCTCCAAAAGGTTGCTTCGTTGTGGTCATAGCTACCTGTTAGCGGGCTTTGTCGTCGATTCAATACACGGAGAGCCGGCAGCGTTCGATTTCACCTGCCCTTGRACCAGCAAATCTCTTATTTCAAACATCGTGAGCTGTAAGTTTCACGGAGAGCACATCAAAAATTCAATGTGGTGTATCAACATCGATACTGCAATATCATCACAAGAAGGATACAAACTCATACATATGTAAGCTGAACGAAACCACAATCCCGAGCAACAACCATACTCCTGCCCAATTTGAATCGACTTTACACATCATTCATCAAAATCGTCCCATCATTCCATAACTCCCCGCTTCTCCGGCTTCTGCGATGATTCTTCCGCTTTCTTCACTCCCTTGAACACCGAGTTATACCACCCAGCAACAACACCACCAGAAGAAGCCAGCTGCTCAGACTGGCTAGCCCTTCGCATCTCATAATCCTCGCTACCACGCTTATGTTGTGCAAGATTTCCGAAACGCGCAGCGGAAGCCGCAGAAGACTACATACATCAGCTCCAGTCAGCCCTTGTCACCCCTCGATGACAAGATGGATGAGCTTACCCTTCTCCTCGATCCAGACGCGGTGGGGTAGTTGGCGGTAGGAGAGGCARGGTCATTACTCAATGGCTTATCGACAAGTGAACCGTTACTGGCGGTCGAAGCCCTTCTCACGGCCTCAAAAATCCCAGYGCCACTTTGAGAAAGCCTTCTAACGCCTGCATTGGGCTCGTGTACTTCTTTTCCCCGTTGGAACATTCCTCTACGATCTTGCCAGGTCGTGGCCGGTTTGTTGGAGGCTGCGGGCAGCGAAGTGGGTGGCTGATCGATTGGTTCGTTCATCTTGGGCTGGATTCGAGAGATGGAGCGATTGGTGAATGGTTCTATCGTTCAAGACCTCGAGGGAGATCGTAGAGCATCATTGACTCTGGAACATGTATACATACATATAGCCCATTTGCGGGGTAGCTTGCCGATTGATCGTGTGAGGGTGTCACCACGCGACAATGCCTCTTTGATCTAGCTCGGACTACGTACCGCAGTGCTTACCTTTGGTCTCTTTGTCATACGATACGGCGATGAGCTTTCTTGAGACGAGTTGGAAAGCTCAATGTTAATGGTCGACGCTTGGAACGTCTCTCCCAAGCTTCACTCGTTGCACATGCATATTTTGTATTAGCCTCTCTTGGCGCCCGACCACAACCACATAGCCATCTTGGATAGCTCAAGATTATCACGCTTAAGTTAGCTCCTCTGCCGAGGTCAAGCTTCTCCTCACTGGGGAAGATATCGCGGTTTTTGACATGGTTTTGCTGCAGTGCCATCCAAATAGGTAACGCCCACCAACAGGGTACCAGCATCTTCTCTCTCGATCTTCTTTGCCCAATCGATCCACTGCTATAATGTCTCAACAACGAAGCGGACCCATCGCTCCAGGCGTGGCATTCATCACTGGCGGCGCTCGTGGTCTTGGAAATGCTATTGCACAGTCTTTCGCAAAGGAGGGCGCAAGAGGTGTAGCCCTGATCGACATTGGTGATGACAAAACGTTCGAGGAAGGCAAGGCAGCTGTGGAGCAGCATGGAACAAAGGTAAATTGAAAGTGAAAGTGATACTTTCGCTCCACATTTTGACCTTTGTGGCAGTGCCTGACGATCCGAGCCGATGTCACCAAGGAAGAAGACATACAGCGGGCCATCGACGAGACTGTCAAGGAGTTCGGCAGAATCGACTATACCGCGTGAGCTCTCTCGGTGTTGACGCTGCCTTCATCATTGCTTATCATCACTATAGTAACTTCGCTGGAATYGCCGGTCCACTGGGCATGTGTTGGGACATCTCGGTCGAGGAGTTCCGCAAGGTCATAGATGTAAACCTGATTGGCGTATGGGTGTGCACAAAGCTTCAGCTCAAGCAGATGATCAAGCAGGATTCCATCGAAGTGTGAGTTGCAAACACGTCCATTGGTCGCGACTTTGATGTTGATAGATGTGACTTCTAGGGAGGCCGGCCGCGTCCCTCAGATGGGCTCCATCGTGAATTGCGCAAGTGTAAACTCCGTCCAGGCAGGTGCAGGTACTAGCGGTTACACGACTGCAAAGCATGGTGTTCCTGGTWTCACCAAGACTGTGAGTGTCGATGCATAATCCAGCTTGGTAGAAACTAAACAACAACAGGCCGCTCTTGAAGGAAGAGCTCATAACGTCAGAGTCAATGCAGTGTCCCCGGGTTTCTTCCTGACTGAGCTGCTGAAGCCGGCGATGGACAGAGGCGAGCTTAACACAGCTTTCTTGCAAGCCGCCGAGGCAAGGCAAGGACGGGCTGCGACCTTGAACGAAGTTGGTGATGTTGTGGTATTGCTCAGCACCCCTCGGATGAGTCTTGTAAATGGCGTTAACCTCCCAATCGACGGGGGTTTCATAATCAACGAGAACCCTTCGTAGGAATATGGCTACTCCCCAAGCGGTAATGGTCGCAGTCGACGCTCGGAGAGGCCGGGCTGTCTTGCAATAAATTGCAAATCTTTCCAGTGCTGTCGTTCGTTATCCTGACACTACATTCCGGCTTTGGGAGTCTTGATGGTGATATTCAGGCGCCTCGAGAGGCTGTTCTTCGCCTGCGACCCAAACCTTGCCAAGATCGTTGTTGATCTCATCTCGCCTTCGCTTCCACTCGTCCACCATGGCGAGCTTCTCGCGGAGCTCCTGAATTTCCTTCTCAACGCTGTCTTTCTCACTTGCAGTTCCAATGCGAACAAACTCGTATTCATTCGCCTCCTCACCCAAACCGAGCGTAAGCGTGTAAGAGTGGTATCGTTTCAGCGATGCGCGTGTCGAGATAGTGATCAAAGCTTTTGAGAGTGTCAGAATCGGACTTGGAATGATTCGCGTGAGCCAACTTACTGATACCTCTCGCCTTTGCAGTCTCATACAAGATGCCTTCAACATCAGAGCTCACAGCCGAAGTGCCCTCATCAATGAACGCATAGCCCGGCTCATGATACAACAGTCTAGCAATTGCCATTCGCTGCTTTTCACCGCCACTGAGAACGTCTTGCCACATCTTACGAGTGTCCCAGCCGCCTTCACGTTCGGGGATATAGCCGAGCCTACAATCCTCCAGGATAGCTTGCAGCTCACTTTCGCGTCGACCAGATTCCCGCATGTCCATTTCGGTATGTGGGTAGATGACTTGATCACGGAGAGTCCCGGGACTGAGATATACCTTCTGTGGTAGGAACATGATGCCATCTTGGCCGGTGTTCCGTGGTCGAGATGTCAAACCTCTGTACGTGGGCCAGAGCCCGGCCACAATACGAGCCACCGCCGACTTACCAGCGCCATTGGGGCCCGTGATCAGAAGGTGCTCTCCGGGGCCAACGATGAAGGAGAGATTGTCTATGAGCTCCTCGCCTCCGAGTGGGAATGGTGCGGGAGCAACAACAGGAACGTTCTCGAGCCGCACACCGTCGAAACCCTTGTGTAGTGTACCATTCACATCACCAAGACTGAAAAGCTCGTTGTGTCTGCCACTCGGGTACGCCTGAGCGTGTACGCGGTGCAGGGTGCTGATGAGCATAAAGACTCTGCTGGTCTGTCCGGCAAGCTCCGACAAGTCTTTGATGGAATACATCATTCTGCTGCCGGCATCCGCAAGGTTGAGCATCAACCGTTTGTTGGTTATAAACTGCTTCGTTCGGTCACCAGTGTCATCAGAGGCACCACTCAGTACATCCGCGCCTGACTTTGTGGAGGATATCGGATCCGGTGCAAGGCCAAGAGTGGGCAAGAATACGGGCAGGCTTGTGATTAGATATCCCAGAGCAGACCAGGTGTACTTCAGGACAAAGTCTTCGAGCATGTTGTAGCCGACCTTGACGCGATAAATGCCCTCCATCCATTTCTTCAGCTCTTTGAAGCCATTGTCAAGTAGTACATGCTCCATCGGACCACCCGCATAGAAAGCAATCTCTTCGGCGTTGGCAATTAGTCTGGCATGGAGTGATCTAAAGTCGCCTTCTTTCCGACCTTCGGCCGCTTTTAGCTTTGCGAACGGGGGACTCAGCTTTTTCAGCAAAACAGCCGTGGCAGCGTAATTGCTGAGCAGCGCAGTAAGCGCCACTGGCCCGAGCGAGCGGTATAGCTGATAGTTATACGTGAAAAGATCAACCAAGGGCTTTCCCAGGCTTGAATAAAGGTTGGCAGCGTTGTCGCAGAAGAGTGCTAGGATGGTCAGCTCTGTTAGCATTCCAGTGATGCGGCTACTCACTCAGATCGTGGCATATGAATTGGTCGGCTCCGTGCTGCACCCCGCCATCGAGATTGTGCATCTTGTAATATGCCATCGTCGGACTCAAATACAGATCGTGAATGTACCTCGTCAGTCTAGTGCGGAAGGCAATGCTGATCTTCGCTTGCAGAAACTTGATCATGGAGTTTGTGTAGGAGCCCACGACACCCAGCGAAAGCCACTTGAGTAGTCCGAGCAGGAACTTACGACCAGATCCAGCGACCAGATCTCGAACGATCTCTCCGTCCATTCTCGCAAGTACAAGTGAGAGATACGTTCGCAAAAGTAAGAAGAAGGCGTGGAAAGTCAACAAGCCCGACTCCTTCGATCCAAGCCGCGGCACGGCAATCTGCATGATTGAGATGAATTGGTGCAAAAAGGCAACATTGAGCCCGGCCTTTACATTGGGTCCCGGCACACCCAAAGAGTACTCTTTCCCAGAGCTACGCTGCCGTGTCGGGTTCAAGAAGAACCGTCTATGAGCGTCAAATGTGGTGGGTTTGATGGGATGGATCACAACCTTGGAGGTCTGATCCTTGTATGGTACGTAGATGGTTCTTACTCCATCTTTGTTCTTGACGCCGCTGTTCCTCCGTATCAACTGGCGGCCGACAAGTTGCTCCGCCTGGCGGTGTTGGTRGAGGCGATATCCGCCATATCCGCCGATGATGGCTAGACATAGGGCAAGGGTAGCGATGAGTCGCGATGTCCGCTGGCTGAGCGGGCCACCGCTGCGAAGAATGGCGGCGCGTGCGGCGAGTCGCTCGGAGAAGTGGTCGAACCAGATCGAGAGTCTTTCGGCGGGAGCCTGACGAAGGGTGGATTGGTTGGCCATGGTCCAGGAATCAAATCTCGTTCACCAGTGCATCTTGGACGGAGAAGATGTCGGTCTGCGCACAGTTTCTGCTCTGCCAACAATTGCGATGATCTCCGCGTAGAGTCGTGGGATGTCTTCGAGTGGTTGTATAAAGCATGGCCGACCTTCATGTGACAGCGCGTGCAAGGGTGAAGTCAAAGAGCCTCGGCCCGCAACTGTGTCAGCCAATCAGAAACGATCTGCCATGTGCGCCCCCGATTGGATGCAGCCCGTACCGTTCCTTTGGAGACAACAACATTGATGCACTTGATGAATGCATCAAACGCTTCGATACACTGTATCGATCTTTCACATAATTTACATACGTCGTATGACTTGCTGACTATAGTCCAATATTATCGGGACCACCATACGCTGGCACCTGTCCATGCTGTCCGGGACCCAGCAAAAGGCATACACCCTCATCCTGCGAGCCCCAAGGACTCCATACCAGCACGCCGTTCAAGTCCACGCCCACTGCTTTGCACAGCTGTCTGCCAACATGCAAATCCCTGCCCGAGTCCCTCAAAAACTCTTGTCCGCACCGCGGGCACTTCGGTTTAGCATATGCCCGACTCTTCTCTCTACAATGTCGCAAGTAGTTGCTACGATTTGTGAATGATCTTCCATTGCAACCATGCTGCCAGCAGAAAATCAACGGCTGTTCGGACCCTTGCGAGGATGCGTGTGCCTTAAGTCCGGTTCCTTGGGGGAGTGCCTCTTCCTTCTGGGATTCGTCCGACATGTGGTGGAGTGTTCCCGTTCCATTCGGCAACCCTTCGTTCGATTTCGAAAGACTCTCGTCGWCCGAAGATGATGATGTGTACAAATGCCGAGGGGGTGGTGGTTGGAAGCGGGTAGCAGGATCATGTGGCAGCGCCGGCTCAGCTTGCGCCCTCCAACACTGTGTCGTCCCAGACCAGCGCGGATCTAGCTCTTGGTGCTGACGGTAGTGGTGGTAGTGATGTAGTTCGTTCGGATCGGTGCGTCGTGGTATGAGGAAGTCACCACAGGCGTGGCTCTGAGTAGCCATTGCTTCGTCTCGATCGGTTGCAACAGAAGACTAGTGGAGTCTGTTTGAGCTGGAACTTGGTCTTCACCTTGACGGAGGGCTCGGGACCGCTATAATCTGGCTCTGGTCTGGTCCAACATTTCGCAGGTCCGGAGCAAAGCGTTATAAGTATCAACCACCAAGGCCTGAATGCACGGCGCGCAATCTGCAACCACATCATCTAGAATTCCATACCCGACATGGCACACGGCAGCAATCTTGCATCTGGCATGCGAGCTCTACCTCAGAAGATCCTGGAAACTCCACTCGAATTACATCCCATGCTGCGAATATGATGCGTTATTGGCCAGGAATCCTTCGAAGCCGCTCTGCAAACACGCTCACGATCAAGAAAGCTTCGACGATATCTCGGAGCTTGCTGAAGGATTTCGCCCAACATATAGCGGCGTCGGCACGTTTAATGGACGTCGCATAGCGTGTTTGCCACGTCAAAGGTACTCCACTGTTTGTTGTACCCATGCAGAGCTACAGCACGAGGTCAAAAAAGGTCACGTTCCGGCCAATGGGCTCGCAAAAGGCTCCGGTGGTCCTGCGGTGCATGAATTCAGCGGACATCCATGCCGTTGATCATTGTGTTGGTGTCACGGAGAAGCATTCCCAAAGCCGCAAACCCCAATCTTGGCAGTCTTGGTCGTAGTGCCAAGACGAATCCTTCAGAAACCAACATCCTTTGTTCGGGATTTGCAACCGATGCTTGCATCATTGCATGATCATTTCACGAGCTCCGCTTTGAGATATGAGATCGCGATGTTTCGAAGGATTCGTTTTCGCCCGTGCCCGCTATCGTGGGACTATGATTCAAGCAAGTCGTGCTGCCGGCACAGAAACCATAAGCCTTGAAGGCATACCATGTTATGGCCCGTCAATTCATTGAGAGTCACACTCGGCCACAAGACTAGCGAATTTATTGTTCTTGCTGTTGAAGGCAACACCGGCTCCCAATCATTCGTACAGTAGCATTGGCATTGCGTCCATGCCACGGCCGATTTCCGAGCGTCCATGGCTTCAGGGTGCGAGAGTCCACTCCACTGCTAGATCAACCAATCATGAACCAGAATCAACGCCAGGGAAATTACTTTCATCGCCAGCGAAGAGCTCCCACATACTTTTTGCAACAACGGCGACGTCAAGTATGCTTGGCCTGACAAATTTGCGCGCAAGACCCCGAACTTTGAACACGAGAAGAGCAAATCCATTTACCCTATCGGTCAACGTCCAGGGGGAATTGAGTCAAAGTACGTGCCACATCATGAGACAAAATCAGTGCTCAGAATTCGTTCATTCGCAGCACAGACGATAAGTACACAATCGAATCGCTACCATTGACAAGCTGTTCCCACAACCACTGCTTGACGGACATTACTTCAAGTTCGCCCTCGCTGAAAGTACAATTGCTCCTTCGGGCTGTGTGTAACAGCCATCCTGGGTCACGGTCTATGTACCAATCAGTCAGCCGTGCGCTAAAGACGATGGCTATGCGTGAACTTACAAGAATCGGGTTATTGCAACCTTCGCCGGAGAAAAGCTCAACAGAATAGCTCGCGTCGGAGTCCTGCTGGAGTTTGACGCTTTGCCAATTGTACGAGGGAGTCGCAACACAGTCGCCAGGGTAGCTGGGACCCTCTGAGCTGAAGACGTAGGTGTTGCTGTTGCCAGGACCGTCCGACGGGTTGGGCTGTGCGCATCCGTTGTCCCACCAGGTGAGTAGCATGGGATCGCTCGATGGGTTGCGAGAGAGTATGTTGCTTGGAGCGGCAGCCACTAGAGTGAGCATGCTTGAGAGGACGGTGACTGTTGAGGGCAGCATGATGACTGTTTTGAAGTTTGGAGAGGAAGTGTTTGATGTGGGCAGATTCTTGTGGCTTGGACTCAGTCATTTATAACCATGCTATGTCTGACGGGGAACAACTTGTTGGGCTCTCATCCTATAGGAGACTGGTTGAATATTCTGAGCATGCCAATCGGTGTATCGAAAGCACAGACGGACGAGCTGTGAATGTTCTCAGCAAATACCATTGCCTCGCGATCTGACGAGTGGGATGGAGTGGATCGGCGTCGTCATACAACAGTCATTGTAACATTTGACGACATGCACGTCCTGGGCAAATGTTGGAAACCAGGGGCTAAGAAACCACTAGATAGGGGTGTCGAGGTGTGCAGTTGGGAAACTGCTGGCTAGGAAGGATTAGCAGCAGGATTTCTACCAAGGAAATCGCTCAAACAGTGATTAGATCCACACGTAGGATTGCTAAATGAATTAGCGCGTGGATTAGCGGCTGGATTAGAGCATGGAGTCAATGTGGATCAAAGATAATCCGTCCCATTTGCCGAATGCGGAAAAAAGATGGAGCGTGCAAAGTGTTGGTTCTCTTCCTACAACACTTCTATGGTGCGAATCACTATGATTTTGGCCAAATTGGGGAAGATGAAGAGAGACGGCGTCATTCGTTCACCAGGCCTCATCGTAGATTTTATGGCCGCTGGATCATATATAGAGCCTGAAGGTAGACACCGTTCACTCCTCCAAGCCTCTCATACACAACCCTTCCAACGCAACACCAGAATCCCTTATCATCCTACCCGAGCAAGATGTCTCTCGTTAACTCCTCACGCAAGCTGTTGGCCGTTCTCCTGGCCATCGGCGCCGCTGYTCAGGATGGACCTCTTGCCCTCTGCTCCGATGATCAGTGCGACAACTGCCCAAATGCCGTCACGACGACTGGCACCGGTTGTGAGTCCATTGCTTGTCCACAGTAGAACGTGGCGGCCAGAAAGTACCCATACAATCAAGAGTTGTGCTGACGTTCCACTTCGTTCAGACCCAGCTTGCGTAATCTACAACCGTGACACWGTACTCGGTGGTACCGTTGACGACTACGAAGGGCTGGAGAATGACCTGAGAAAGGTCTACTTTGATGTTGGTGAGTCAAAGATCAGGAATGCTTATTTGAACCTTTCGAATACTGACGTGGATTCAAATAGCACCATTGGAGAACAAGGAATGCAGGACCATCATTCGGAGTCCAGCTTACACAACCGGTATGAGAAATTGCCAGTGATGACAGAGCGCTACTGATTATCGTTCAGATCCAAACTGCGGTGTGCCAGTGTTCGCAGGCAATCAGGGAGGCTGCTACCCTGCRGAGGTCGATACTACTGTGAGTACACCAGCCTGGAAGGGACCATCATGGATACGGCTGACGCTTTGTTCGAACCCTCCAGTTCATGGTGCAGTTCTGCTGTGGCATTGGTGACTGTGGCGCTGCTGGCGCCCAGCGTCGCGACGGCGGCTTCTCCTCGAGCTCCAGCTTGGTGCTGCGTGACAGCGAGGGAAGTGTTGTTGTCCCGCATGCCGTTGGCGATATCTTGGGAGATATGACTGAAGTCTTCATGGAGGATCATGGCCTCAACTCCACGTCCGTGAAGAAGGTCCGCTCCGCCGATGGAACCGTTGTATACAAGTTTGGCTACGGCATGGAAGATGCTGTGCAGAAGCGCGATTGCGACACCTACATTGCAGATGGTGCGCCTTACACCAAGATCAGCAGCGAGACATCGTGAGTCCCCACCCTACGCTTGCTCGGATAGCAAAAACTGACCAGCCTCGAACCATCCAGTATCATCTCTGGAGACATCTGTGATACCACCACGGACAGCACCGTCCAATACTCAAGCAGTGTCTCACGCTCCACCACATTTGGCGCGTCTGTGAGCGACCCATTCGGTATCGTGTCTGCCTCAATCGACTTCACCATCGAGGAGAGTGCGTCGCAATCCACCAGTTATACAATTGGGCCAAAGGAGCATCAGTGYGGACACATCACTTGGACTCCCATCCTGCTTTGCACAGGCGGGACCATCACTGGATGTGATGGCGGCGACCAGACTGGCGAAGTTTGCACCGCAAGGCGTATCAGCGACAACGAGGTTGATGGCCGCTACTCGTTCGTTCAGACAAGTTAAGCATGCATACGGCATGATATCATACTCGCTAGCTAGCAAGGCTCCTGATAGCCCATAGGGCTCAAAGATGCCTCAATGGCTTGAGAGTCAAGGAGATCTATAAAGTCTGTCTTTACAGCAATTCGCAATGGAAAGAAATGTCTGATTCTGATTTTTTGGCATGTTTCATCAGCAGCTTCTAAGTGCAAAGTCATGGTAGTGCTGGCATTGGTAGTGAGATTGTCCGCCTAGAAAGGGTGTGACAGGTCGGTATTGCTCGTCGGTCTGTATGGACAATCACTCAGAATCCATTGTTATCATTAAATTAATCACTCAACGCATCAAAATGCAGCAAGCGCCAGAGCACGATCGACATCTTTTCTTCTGAATCCAGGCATGTTGCCAAGACAGTGAGAAGAGGAAACCAAGACTGCSAGCGAGCGAGGGGTGGTCAGCACCAAGCCATATCATGAAGGAGGAAGAATGCTCTCACCATTTAAAAACTTAGCAACATCGATTATGGTCCGCTTATTCTGGTTTGAATCAACGAAAGGCGATCTCCTCGGTCCTGGGAACCCATCGGACATGTATTGCGACGAGACCGAGTCATCCCATTGCGTGTTGTTCGGCAGACATTGCTTAATGGCCTCACCCGGTAGGAGAAAGTTCATCCAGGATCCGGTCGAAGCATCGGAATAGCCAATGTCAGTCATGGTATGCATGGGGAAGTCAGCCCAGTCGTTGGCACTCGCCGGCCAATTGTTGTTTCCCTGCGGGACAGATACATTCTCCGTGATTTCTTGTAAACCTGGTGACATGGCCATGGACGAGGAGCTCGCTGAAGAGGTTACAGCGGAAGAGGGCGGTACGATATCGGCATCCGCCTCTGCAAATGAGGAACCCGGGTCAATAAATATGCCCTTCTCTGCGAGATAGCCCTCGACATCATGCGGGTCAAACCATTCACCTTCGAACCCTGTGATTTCGACAGTCACATCGGTTTTGATGTTTGCTTGTTCCAGAATATTCAATGCTTGTGGGCCAATTGTTCCCAGGCTTTGAGCTTGCTTCTTTGGCTGCAGCACGCCAAACTTGTCTTTTCTGCAATAGTGTGTCCCTGCGCCACCTACACGGACCCTTGGGAAGCCACTGTCAAGGCTTTCATCAGGACCCCGGTCGAGTAGGTTCTTCAATAAGAGGATGAGTTTGGTACGATCAACGATCATGAGAGACAGCCTGAATGCCCGATTGAATATCTCCGGAGTTCGAGAGGGGTCCAGAGCAAGCCGATAACCAGCCTCTAGCGTTGCTTGGTGTAGTCGGCGGGCAAAGGTAGTTTCTTGGAAGCTGTAAGTTCGTGGTGGAGGTCCTATTGGTGGCATAGGAGCTTCGACGCGGAATGTGGTGTATGATTCGCTCTGGGAAGAGTGTCGCTCGTGGACTGGGACCAAAGCTCTGCTTTGAGCCGGGTCCACATAAAGTGTGTAGCCTGTCATCGAAAAGTGAAGCGGTTAGCTACACCTTATCTTCATTGCACGGGAAAGAGTTGACTGGTATTATTCTCCAAGAGAAGCTAATTTATGATTCACTCACCCATTCCAAGCTCATGGGGTGCAGGATCACTCCRTGTACTTGCCAGAACCGACTCGTCCATCCAGGAGGGGACGTTCTTGGGCTCGAGGACAGTGGGTACTTCGTTTCTACTGCGAGAGGTAATCGACGCCCGATGTTGGGGCTCGACAAGCCCTGGTACTTGGTTCTCATCCTGGTTTCGAACACTCCGCATTAGATGTTCGTATCGCATTTCAGTATCGCGTAAATGGCTTGCCTGATCCGCAGATAGAGCGGAGATTKCAAGTTGGTCGCAGCAATCCACAAATGCCTTGTTCATGAGTTCCATCACGTTGGAAAGGTCTGCGACCCTTCTTCGGAGTTCCTCGAGCGTGCTTTCTTTTCGCTGGCGGTACGCTCTCTGTGCTTTGCGAATCTGGGTTCGACGACGATCTGCGGCTGATTCGTCTTGCTTCTCGACTCGTGGTCTCCCACGCTTCTTGCTCTCATCGCCGCTGTTGTCTGAAGATTGGCTTGTGTCCAAGCGTCGTTTCTTGCTCTGTCTTGTATTAAGATCCATCGTGGCGTGTAATAAGGTGTTCCTCTTTCGGTGGACTCCGTAGCAGTACAACCAAAGTTGATCGACAAGCTTTCAGTACCTGAAGATGAAGGAGTAGCGGTTGGAGTTGACAATCACCGATGCAATTCTACATGCAAAGACGATGTAAGCCGTCGTGATAACTGTCAGCCCCAGTCAGCACAATCCAAACCACAGCAGGATGCTGTGCAGTGGAAATCGAAGGCGAAGGGTCACAATGCTGAGGTTGGCATGTCCAGTGAACTTTGTATGTGTGGGGAAGAGGGATGTTCACTAATCAAAAATGCACTAAGATTAAGATTCATGGATTGCCCCGWGCCCGACCCTTGGACCAAGTCTCACTTCCATCGACCGCCCTGCTTGCCTGATGGGACCTTGGATCGGGACATGATTGAATCAATAAGCAGCTGCACTGCTGCAGGAATGATTCTGACAAGACCCAAGGGTCGGAGGACGACACGCATTTTACCAATTGACACGACACTGGCCTCACGTGGCGTAGACCTCCCACATGCCGGCATCAAAAGGCAGGTTGCACAGACATAACGGAGACTCTGGTACGGAGACTCTGATACATCAGCAAGTGCTGCCAAGGCTTGTAGGTTGGTCCGTAGAGCCAAAGTGATGAATGGCTCTCGAAAATATTTCATGGCATAAGTAGATCGCTGTTAAGCGGAGGTATCATAAGTCGGAAGATAACGCTCAGCGCCTGCGAATGCGAATGCGGGACCTCAGCATTGATGATGGGCCGTCGAAAAATGCTTATAACATCACAAAGACCTYGCAGTAGGTCAACTCAGGAACGCCGAAGCAGACAGCCATTCCACCGAGAATTTGTTCTCTCTGCACAAAGGGTCGGCCAGTAATGAGTGCCGAGGACGGCTGGAAATGCCGCCTTACAAACAGGAATGCAATGCTTGTCATCAACTGCTGTGCGCACGGACGAGACTCTCCTGTGCTCATGTCAGCAACTCATTCGCGTATCTACGCCATCATAGTCAGATGTGCTTACTCGAATCATTGGATCGTCTTGCTCGGCAGTCACTATTGCCGGGCTTTCCAGACCGGGTRGTCCGTTCTCCGTATATCCTCGTTCGTTCAGGCCCGGCCGTTTGGCAGTCGTGAGTAGTCTGTTGTGATCTGGGCTAGCATCAGATAACTTCATTTCCTCTTCCATGAGCAGGCCACGCCCATCGTTCTTTCGTTCAAGTAACGCACCACCTAGGGTAGCACACTTCAGAATCGTCTGAATGAGCTGGTTGGGTTTCAACGGCTTGGACAGGTACTCGTCCATCTGCGCTTGGATACACTTCTCCCGATCGCCAAGCATAGCATGCGCTGTGAGTGCGATGATGGGGGACCGAGCCAGCTCATGTGTCCTCTCATATTCGCGGATCTTGGCGGTTGCTTCGAAGCCTCCCATGACGGGCATTTGCACGTCCATGAGCACTACATCGAAACGCTTCTTCCTGATGGAGTCAAACGCTTCTAGTCCATTATTGGCAACAGTAACCTTGTGATTGTGCTTTGTCAAGATTTTCACGGCCAGCTTCTGGTTCACGGCGTTATCTTCTGCTAGGAGAATGTCGAACGTTCGGGTGTGGTCAGCGGACATTGGGGCAGCACGACCTTCGAGCGCGGGGATGAGCGCGTTGCCAAGGTCGATGGGCAAACACGGAGTAGTCATGTAGCTCGAGATACCGTTTTCCAACGCGGTCTTGAAGTTTACCGAGATGGCCGGCGCCACCATAACAATTGGGATGTACTTGAAACGTTCCAGACTGCGAAGCTTCAGAGCTGTCTCGCTGTTGTCGACGATGACACAGTCATACTGGTCATCAGGACTGAGCTCGGACGCGGAGACCTTGCCATTACCAACGACGCACGGTACTAGGTCCAAGGCTCTGATGCTGTTCGCAATTGAGTCGGAGGAATTTGTGTTGCCGTTGTCAACGAAGAGCACATTGTGCTTCCGATACTGCTGTAGTTGAGGCATGACCTTTGCGACGTCGGGATTACCAAGACGTGCAACGCAGGTGAAGAAGAATGTGCTGCCAGAGCCGTAGGTTGACTCRACCCACATTTTACCGCGCATTAGCGTGACCWGCTTCCTGGAGATGGAGAGACCCAAGCCAGTGCCTCCAAATTTGCGTGTCGTTGATCCGTCCGCTTGTTGGAAGGTGTCAAAGATGAGGTCTAATTTGTTGGAGTGTATTCCGATGCCTGTATCGGACACGGCGAATTTGACCACAACTTCTCCATCAGTGCATCTGACGCTGTGGTCGGAGAAGATCTTGACGCGAACTTCTCCGTGCTCGGTGAACTTGATCGCGTTACCGGCCAGGTTAAGAATGATCTGCCGTAATCTGAACGAATCACCAACAATGTAGTCGGGCACTGAGCTATCYGTGTCGTAGACCAGGCTAATGTCCTTTTCGTTGGCCCGCACAGCCAGTGACTTCAAACTGTTAAAAACAAGTCCTCGCAGTGAAAAGGGCTCTTCCTCGAGAATCATGCGGTTTGCTTCGATTTTGGAAATGTCAAGGATGTCGTCGATAATGGTTAGCAAGCTGTTGGCGAGCGAGAACACGATGTTGAGCATGTCCCGCTGGTTCTGCTCCAATTCTGTGTCCAGCGTGAGCTGTGTCATGCCAATGATGCCGTTCATGGGCGTGCGAATCTCGTGACTCATGTTTGCCAGGAACTCGGATTTGGTCTTGTTGGCCAACTCGGCGGCCTCCCTTGCTTGATTGTTCTTCTGGATACTTTCGCGCAAGTTGAGTACCATCTTGTTGATCTTGTTTTTCAGCTCATTCATCTCGCCAGATGCCTCAACGTTGATCATCTTCGTAAAGTCTCCTTTCATGGCAGCGTGTGTGATGTCGGCGAAAGCGCGCACTTGGGACGTCAAATTCTGCGCCATGATGTTGACGTCCGTAGTGATCTCCTTCCATCTTCCGGTGATGCCTTCAACCTCAGCTTGACCGCCCATCTTGCCATCCACACCGACGTCTCGAGCAACACGCTTCACGGCGAGCGACCAGGCATCGAGCCTTGTCACCATGTCGTTAATCGTATCCTTGAGAGTCTGTATCTCGCCCTTTGCATGGACCTTGATACGTTGACTCATATCTCCCCGAGCGATGGCTTGTGTAACATCGGAGATGCTTCGTACCTGGCCGGTCAGATTGTTGGCCATGGTGTTCACATTGTCAGTCAAATCCTTCCATTTGCCTTCCACGTTGGCGACCTCGGCTTGTCCTCCCAGCACACCATCAGTTCCCACCTCCCGGGCGACTTTGCTGACCTCAAAGGCAAATGTGCCTAAACGATCAACCATGCCGTTGATGGTGATTTTCAGAGCGAGGATTTCACCTTGTACCTCAGCTTCGACCTTTTTGCTCAAATCACCTTGAGCGACTGCAGTCGTGACCTCTGCGATTTCTCGCACTTGAGTAGTCAAGTTCATGGCCATGCCATTGACGTTCTCCGTCAAGTCTTTCCAGGTACCCTCGACGCCATGTACAGTAGCCTGGGCTCCAAGCTTGCCTTCTGTACCCACCTCTCTTGCAATCTTCGTGACCTCATGTGCGAACTGCCGAAGTTGGTGTACCATGGAGTTGATGGTTGTCTTTAGTGCTAGGATCTCACCTTTGCATTGCGCTTTGACTTGCTGCGTAAGATCGCCACGGGCAACAGCAGTCGTGACCTCTGCAATATCGCGAACCTGTGCGGTTAGGTTGTTGGCCATGGCGTTGACGTTGACAGTGAGGTCATTCCACATGCCCTGTACACCCTCAATCTGGGCTTGCCCGCCAAGGACACCTTCGGTTCCGACATCACGAGATACTCGCGTAACTTCCGTAGCGAAAGTTCGAAGTTGGCCCACCATTTCATTGATCGTTTGCTGGAGTTGGAGAATCTCTCCTTTTGCCGGTCGTTGGATCTTTCGGCTGAGATCGCCTTGCGCGACAGCTGTTGTCACCACTGCAATTTCTCGCACCTGGTCTGTCAAGTTCTGCGCCATGACGTTTACTGGGTAGTGTTAGCGTGTGCTGGAGTGAGGGTATGATCGTGCGTACCATTCTGCGTAAGCTCGGCCCAGATGCCGTCCACACCAGGCACCACCGCCTGTCCACCAAGACGCCCTTCAGTACCGACTTCTTTTGCGAGATGTGTGACCTGACTCGCAAACTCCTGCAGCTGGTCCACCATTTTGTTGATTGTGTGCTTGAACCTCGCAATCTCCGGGTCTTTCTCGGTGGCGTGGATGAGCACCTTTTTGCTGAGATCTCCATTTGCCACGGCGGTGATGATTGTGCCAATCTCTCGGAGCACCTTTTGGTAGGTGGCATTGATCTGTGCATTCTTCTCGATTTCCCGCTTCAACTGCTCTATAGACTGCGAGTTACCGAGAGTGTCCAGTGCAGCCTTGGTAGCTGTCTGCTGATGGGTCAGCTGGGACTTGATCCCGTCGATAAAGTCCTTCTGCGTCTTGATCTCCTGGGCTTGCTGGTCGATGTGATCACGGAGGAAGGCAAACTGTTCCTCGGTGAGCTGTCGTGGATGCTGTTCACCTTCGCTCTTCGCCAAGAGATGGTTGACCCATGATGACGATCGTTGACGATGTTGGTTGTGGGCGCCGCGAGGCGATGAGGGGCTGTCCGCAAAGGCAGACGCTAGAGGTTCGTTGGGTGTTATGGGGAGGGAACTGGTTCCACTGGCCGCGCGAGCCTCGAGGAAGTGGATGCGTGCCGCGAGGCTCGTAAGCTCACGCTCCAAGGTACGCTTTTCTATTGTGTCGGCGCCCGGAAGGGTGACCTTGTTGTTCTTGGTGCCATTTGCGCTGGCGAGGGCAGGGAACGAATCAGGCTCCAGAGGCGTGTACTGCTTGGCAAAGTTGGACAAGATGCTGGCGACCGCGGCGGAGGTCTCGTGCGACATTATATCGGTGCTGTAGGCGGTGGGCGAAGACGTGGTGGGGTGAGAGCGTCGCGTGGATGCTATGGAGACGGTAGGAGCACCGCGAGCTATTGCTCATGCAGGCTCGGCGATGCCAGTGCGTAGGGCATGGGATTCGGGCGTTGGAGCGGAGAGGGATAAATGGGGACTTCCAAGGGGAGGTCGCGCTGCGTTGCAACTCGAAGTCGGGACGGGGACAAAGGTCTGAAGAAATGACGATGCTGCCCTGTGGATCCGTGGATCTGCGATCTAATGCCGGAACTCTTCCACCRTCTGTTGAGGACTGCTCCAAGTCAGTATCCTGCCCGCTCACAGACAGACGTTCATCTCGCGACACGATTGACACACAGGTACGGAAGGTGGTGAGCAAGTTAGGTAGAGCTCGTCGAAACGCGATTACAGTTGCTTGGTTGGAACCCTGCAGCAGCGATTTATTAGGTCAAAGTATAAAACAGTGGATCGAAAGTTTCGAAACTTGAGAGACAGCTGACAAAACCTAGGTAGGTTTTCTCTCTCGAGGAACAAAGATCGCTATTGATGGAGGTGAATACACCTCCACGTCTATGGAAGAGCGCACAGCGACAAACCATCCCACTCTTGACTCTACACGCAGTGTGCGATCGCAGATCACCTCGATCACGGTGTGCAGACGTCATATTTCTTCCTGGCGCCATCCTCTACACTTGGGTGGACCCCTTTTTAGCTCTACTCCACCCCGATTTGCTTCAATTCCATTCACTCGCACGTGGACAGTAACATAAAGCAGACCATGGGTCCTACAAACACTATATCAACATCGGATGATTAAATTCGGCATTCAAGTACATAGTAGGTCTATCTGCTGCTCCATTCACGGTCTGAGGCTTCCGACAAATGCTGGGCTCCGATCGAGTCCAGTAGGCGAGATCTTCGGTGGTCCGTATTCCGTTTACCCCCACCGCCAGCCTGCAGGCTGGTTCCGAGTGCTTTACAAGACCAGACGGGTTGTCTCGGCATTCTTACCTCACCAGCACGTGGCGAGAACGAGCTGTCAAACGAGACTGTACAACTGTCCTCATGTGGCTGTGAATCAGCCGATGGCAAATCCAAGACGCTGTGTCTTGGCACCGCGTTGAGGACGTGATGGAATCGGGTAGCGAACAACTTAATAATGCACAACGAACCCATGTCGTAGATTCTCCGTCGATCAAAATTAAAGTCGACAAACTTCTGCATCGCAATCATGACTGCAGACCAAATGTATCTTTGTTCACACAATCGCATCGTATCTATACGGCTATGCGCCTTGCATAACGTCGTTTCATTACTCCTTTTCAATCACCGCTGGCGCCTTGACCGTACGACCCTTCAAAAACTCCAATCCTTCTCCAGCATAGCTGATCATCGGACTAACCTCAACACCATCATCTGCCTTCTCGCTAGTGACAACAGCGCCAGCAGCCTCCAAGAAGCGTTTGCCTTGCTGGAGGATGTCCTTTCGCGAGGTGTCTTGATCGTCTTCTCCAGTGCCCTTGGCGTTCTTCAGCGGAGAGAATTCATCCTCGCGCTTTACCTCCATACACGCGAACTTGTCCATGTCAAGGAACGGGAAGCAATCAAACACAAACTGTTCAAGCTTGATACCGTTTGGCTTCTCTGGCTTAAATGCAGCGCCCTTTTCATCGACGGTTGGGATCTTCTTCTTGGCAATGTGGTGTGGGAGCTTGTGAGACCACTGCGGGATCGACTCCAAAAACTCGTAGCTGTAGTAGTGGTTGACGATGTTGGCAGCGCGGAACTTGAGCAAGTCGCCATTCTTCGAGTCCTTGGCCTCGGCAGTCTCCTGATCAATCTCGGAGTACTCAACCACGTCCGGCTTGCCGTTCTTCTGCAGAATCAAACCCACGCTCTCCTTGGCATCGCGCTTTCGCACGACCTTGGTCGCAATTGAGACTCCCTTCTCAGCACTGAAGCCGATGAAGGTTGGATCGGCAACACGCACCAGGCAGTTGTCCACACAGTACGCGTGAATGTGCTTGACACCGCGTTTGTCCATATCGTGTACGATGCCCGAGCCAATGAGGGCAGAGTACAACCCACCGTTGCCGTCTGGTGCAWCGGCAACCTTGTGCTTGCTCTCGAGCAAGATCTWGCCATCCATACTGATGCACGGCAGAACGCCTTGCTCAAAGAAGATGACGTTGTTGCGGTTCAAGCCAAAGTAACTCTTCTCCTCGAAGAATTGTTGAGTTGGCTTACGAGTCGGGCCTGAAGTCATGATATACCACGGTATGACGACCTCCTCCTTATTGTGCACCTTAGCAGCAAGTTGCTGCAACTTCCAGATCCTCTCTGCTTGTAGTTGGAACAGCGACTTGTGGCTCGGAAGCTCAATGTCGTAGCAACCCTTTGGCGCCGAGCTACCCAGCCGCGTACCCTGACCTCCAGCCATGAGTACCACACCGACCTGATTGTCGGCGATGTATTTCAAACCAGCATCGTACCATTTCTTCAGGTTACCGTCGTCACTGTCGATGGTTGATGTTGTTGCGGAGTCCGGAAGCTGCTCGAGTTTTGGTTTCGAGTCGTCATGCTCGGCTTTTGGAGGATTGAGAGCTCTGTCTGTGATCTTGTTGATGTGCTCTGGATCGATTGGTGCGAGTTGCTGATACAGACCGCCCTTCTCCGCTGGCTTGAGGTCGTCCCAGAAGGTGAGCACCTGGCCTTGACCGGCTTTCTCGTACTTCTCCTTCAACTCGGAGTACTCCGAGTCGGTGGGAGGTTCTGCAGGCGCTTCCGAGGGTTGCTTACCGCCCAAATGAAGGGCGGAGGCCATTTTGTTCATTGTATCCTTGACGGTGTCCATGGTTGTCGTTGTGGTTGTGGCTGGGGTATGGTATGGTATGAGAAGTGCTGCTCTTGGGCGGGAAGGGACGACARATGAGTGCGAGGAAAGGAATGGTCGGGGCGGTTCTTTATACTACCGATCAGACCAGGCAAAGTAGCATTTGCACCAAAATAGGGAAATATGAAACCAATTGTTGTTTCGATACGAGACGTGACCTTACCTCACCGTACAGTCCTCGAGCTTGCCCCACCAAGATGCCGCTGCCGCTGCCGCCGATCGGATCTCGGCCGAGGGGCACACGTGATTGAGATGAATTCTTCGCGAAGGTACACAGTATACCTCGCTCACGTATAACTTCGTCCCACAAGCGACACCCCGACAAATCGCACGTCAACTTATACCCGACCACACATCGACCCGCTTGCCCACGCCATCAATCCCTTGTTCTGTTGAGCATTACCTCGAGACTTCGCCATATCAACGTCACAGACGAACCATTATTCAAGGAAGCGACTCGAAGGAAGAGAATATCAAAGTTGAGACCATGGCTGCCCAGCGTCGAGCCTGCTTCAAGTGTGGAGCTCTAGGTAAATACAACGAGGAAGAAGACACGATGGTCACAGGATAGCCCGAAGAGAATGTTTCTGGCTATGCTAGACTGTTGGTCAATGTCCAGTGTCAAAGACATGGCTGACCCATGATTGTTTAGGCCACCATGCCGAAGTGTGCGCCTCAGCTGAAAGATTGTGCTATAACTGCAAAAATGCAGGACACGAAAGCAACAGCTGTCCGCTGCCCAGGACCACCGAGAGCAAGCAGTGCTATTCGTGCCAGGGATTGGGTCACGTTCAGGCCGATTGCCCGACAATCCGCCTGCGCGCCCAGCAGGGCCAGGGCTCAGCTGGCTGCTACTCGTGCGGCTTAGTCGGCCATCTCGCGGTAAGCCAATTGKTTCTGTTGCGTTTTCCATCCTTCAACTTGCTGACCATCGAAGCGTAACTGCCCAACCCCTGGAGCGGCACCAATCGCACCAATTGGCCGTGGAGCAGGTGGACCACCCGTCCGCGGAGCCTTTGGCGGCGCAGGCCGTGGTGGATTCGCCGGCACCAACCGCAGTGCGACATGTTACAAGTGTAAGAGAATCCCTTTCGGGCTGACAGCTCTTCTACCGCCTACTAACTCTTCTGTTCATCACCAGGCGGTGGACCCAACCATTTCGCTCGAGACTGCCAAGCGCAAGCCGTCAAGTGCTACGCTTGTGGCCGCCTCGGCCACATCAGCAAGGATTGCACTGCGCCAAACGGAGGCCCACTGAACAGCGCGGGCAAGACTTGCTACCGGTACGTTGGAAACCACGGCTCTGACTTTATTTCGTTTGCTGATGTTTCATGTAGCTGTGGCGAAACTGGCCACATCAGTCGTGACTGCTCGCAGGCAGCGCCCGATGCAAACGGTGAATCGGGCTTGGTGGCTGCTCCTGGCCTCCAGCCGGATGCCGCAATCATCGCTCCAATCGCCCCGGCGCAGGTCGCCGTGTAGTTGACTTTTGGTCAGCTTGGGCCCGCTTCATTGGCCGAGAAGCGGACGTGGCCCACTCTTCTGGCCGCCATTTTTGAATTATAGCATAACCAGCATTACACTCATCCAGCGTTCGAAACGATCTCACGACGACGACACATGCAGTTTCCTTACGATACCATACGACCCAGAATACCTTATATCCACACCAGACGAAAAAGAGCGGACGATGGAAGCCGGTGACGGCTGTCTTTGCTGGTGCTCCGCTTGCGGGATACCTCAATAGCAGTCGGGAGGAGGTAGTCAAGAAGATATTGGGAGGCGGAGGCGGAGAGAGGAGAGCGAGCTTTGTCGACGTGAGAGGCTCGGAAGATCGGTGCGTTGTGATCCTAGACCAGCGGGATGCTACGCAAAGTTGGAGCGCAAACCGCACATATTGCCCGTAACGGTGAGTATGCGCGACTATGCGTTTTGACGGCGCAGTAATCTATCTCATTGTCTACTACTTGACAAGTCTTTCAATGTGGTTTGATGTCGAGGGACTGCTCGATGTTGTGTTCAATTGCAAATGTAAGGTATATGAGCAGTTGATTACATCCCCTTGCAGGACAGCACGAAGCATACTCTGAACTGGTGCGATGACACAGCCAGCTCCTATCAACGAGTCAGTCGACATGGAGCATACAGATCCTGTTGCCATTAAATGTTTCCGCGATCTAACCACCCGACACACCCGGACTCGAGGGCTCTGCTTGTTCTYCCTCATGCGAGACAGTAGCTCGACCAGATGCCTTCCTCTCTGCGTACCCTACCGCCAACTCAGGACGTATCCCGGTGTTTTGACAACGAATGAGTCGCACACGCTACGTGACTTGCCTTCCCCCATCACTGACATGGTTTGACAGATACGGCCTGACGATTCCAAAGTACATGTAAGAATCGCATTCTGATTGTTGCACATTTACGCAGACTACCCCGGGAATCCGCAGTTCTCCTTTGCAGCCTGGAACTCCCTATGTGGTCCCYACCACGGCGCTAGCGTTATCGAGAGGGCTACGCCTGTCAACGAATCAAGCATACTCGCTCAAGACGAAATGCGAAAGACGTGGATCTGCCGGTAGCATTGAACTATTGTGACTACCGTCGACATGTGGATTGAGGCAGCTTTTTTTGAATTCCTCGCTCCTTCCCAAACATGGGGAGGAGCTTCGGCGCTCTTTCCTCACGAGCGCGTCTGCCTGGACATAAACCTCTCACTCTCATCCTCTTCCTCTGTATCCTCCACATACTCGCAATCTCTTCTGCACTCTGCGACCTATACGCTTTTCTTACACAGCCAAAGCGTCCTCCAGCATGCCCAGTTCCATCGCTTCCTCCGAAGGAGAGGATATTGAGACTACCACCAAGAATGAGATCCCTCTGATAGACGAGCTGACCAACCACGGTGAGAGTCGTCAAAAGCATGCATTCGACGCCTGGACTGACTGCAAGCCACAGGAATCAATGCTTCCGACGTCCTCAAACTGAAGGCCGCGAAGATTTACACCATTGGCGTATGTAGGACCGCCATCACATGGGCCAGATAGGAGAGCTAATAGAGTCCAACAGCAGGTTTTCAGTGCCACGAAGAGAACTCTCGGGAATATCAAGGGCTTCTCTGAAATCAAGGTCGAAAAGGTCAAGGAGGCGGCCAGTAAATGTACCGTGAGTATTTCGTCCAGGACTGTCGTCTTTCAGATATGTTGTTGCTAAAAGTGCTTCAGACGCACTCTCGATTCCTGACAGGGACTGAGCTCCTCGAAAAGCGTAAATTGTGCTTCAAAATTGCCACCGGCAGCACACAGCTGGACAAGATTCTCGGCGGCGGATTTGAGTCGAGCAGCGTCAGCGAGGTCTATGGCGAATATAGGTGTGGTAAGACCCAATTGGGTCTAACCATGTCTGTCGTCGCCCAGCTGCCTCCATCTAAAGGCGGTGCTTTGGGAAAAGTGGCCGTGATTGGTATTCGCCCGCTACGTTCGTCTCGCAGGCTGCAACCATCTAACGTGTTCGCAGATACCGAGGGCACATATCGTCCGGAGAGGATTGCTCAGATCGCCGCACGCTTCGACAGTATGTTGGTCGTCACCATGCCTGCACTGACAATTTCTGACCTCCTCCAGTTGATCCAGACCAAGCCATTGAGAATCTCTATGTTCATCGCACTCCCAACAGCGAGGACCAACATGATTCTTTGAACGACCTCGCGGAAGAGTTTGCCTCGGGCGACTACCGCCTCTTGRTTGTGGACAGTATTCTCAATCTCTTCCGCACCGACTACATCGGCCGTGGCCAGCTCTCAGAGAGGCAACAGGCACTTGGCCAGCATCTCCGCCGGCTGTGTGACTTCGCCGAGATCTTCAACATCGCAGTCTTCTTGACCAACCACGTCCAGTCCGATCCAGGCGCCAGTGCCTTGTTCTCCGGTGCTGATGGACGCAAGCCGACCGGAGGTCACGTCATGGCCCATGCGTCTTCTACTCGCCTCCTACTCCGCAAGGGTCGTGGTGATGAGCGTGTCGCCAAGCTCATGGATTCGCCAGGTAAGCTTCTGACATGAAATATCCATCAAATTGTCACTAATCGTCTTTACAGACTGTCCCGAGGCAGAGGCCACCTATGTCATCACCGAGGGTGGCATCAACGATCCCGAGAAGGCTTGAGCGACTGTTACGACAACCGGACCACACCTGCCGACTCTAACGAAGCCAAGATTTATGCCCATTTCCGCTGTTCTTTTCCTGCCTTTGTTCGAGATGTGTTCGCTCTTCTGTTAATTTTGATTGCAAGCGAGGCGCTCTGGGCTGCTATACTCGGTGGCGGCGTCCATCATGCGTGTTGAGAGAGAGAGAGAGAGAGAGAGAGAGAGAGAGAGAGAGAGAGAGATGCTGTTCGAGAGACGCTGTTCACGGACTGATATGTTTAGCCATGTGGATATTACTACCATGATCAACGACATAATGAACAGTTTCATAAGCCCTCGTCTACCAAAGACCAAGCTCCAATCAGTCGCTGAGCTCTAAATTCAATGTCCATGTATTGTCGTGTCGTCTCTTCGGAAGCCATCCCACGACAGCATTTAAGCTCTAACTAACTTAAACCCTAGAACGAAGATCTGTCGATCAATGAATTTGTTCTGAGACTCCAGGTCCATGACCACGGCCACGACCACGTCCACGACCACTTCCCTCTACCTCCCAAATGGCTCCGATGGCTTCGCACAAAATCGCCACGACAGTCAATGACTTTCTGGTTCTTCCACTCCGTGTCGCACCATCACAAGCATTTGCGAAAGAAACTACACATCACCTCTATCTCCGCGCAAATACACCCAAAGTACCCACCGAGGACACACCCCGAGAGCTCTTCGCAGTCAATGTCCCGGCAGATGCAACAGAGAAGCATTTCCGAAGTCTCTTCGCGAATCAGCTCGGTGGTGTACGAGTAGAAAGCGTGGCATTTGAGGGAGCACGGGTGGGCAAGGGAATCAGTGCCCCGGTTGCGCCGGTTCAGCAGAGCAAAAAGAGAAAACGAACTGAAGATGATGAGGCTACGGCGGAGGAGGTGGGACGGCTACCCGAAGTATGGGACAGAGAATTACATCGCAGTGGAGGAACAGCGATTGTAACCTTTGTCGACCGAGCGAGTGCGGAGTTAGCGTTGAAGGTGGTCAAGCGGGCGGTGAAGAGCAAGACGACAATCAACTGGGTCTCAGACAAAGGCGTTGCCGCTCCGCTCGGATCTGCGCGCTATCTCACACATCATGCACTGCGCTATCCGGACCATGCGCTCCTGCAGGCAAGTGTAGACGCTTTCATGTCGGCATTCACGGCACGGGAAGAGGCAAAGGCGGCAGCACTGGCGAAACTACGCTCCGAGCCCGACGAGGATGGATTCATTACAGTGACGCGTGGTGGGCGGACGGGCGCAGGCAGAGAAGAGGACGCCAAGGCCAAGGAGGAGGAACTCAAGAAGCGGGAGAAGAATCGGATCAAGGAGGACTTCTATCGCTTCCAGGTGCGCGAGAAGAAGAAGGAGCAGGCGCAGGATCTGGTCAAGGGGTATCAAGAGGACCAACGGAGGGTGGAGGAGATGAAGCGGCGGAAGGGCAAATTCCGTCCCGAGTGAGCGAATACACTGATCTGTTCGTATATGATACCCTTTTCGAGTCGGGGTTTTGTCACAAAGAAAGACATGCTTACCTTCTTGGCGTCCTTGTCCTCGAGGCGTGTCTTGAGGGTTCTTCACCTGGCTCCCCTCTTTGTGTCTTTGACGCAAGGTTCACGTCCAAATGCAGAAGCCTTTGTTCTGCACGGTGAACAGGACCCTAAGAATTTCGAGGTGAAGGATTGGCGTATGATCACAATCGCAGTATACCGCTTGCCATCACCAACACATCGAACTCCTCATGGCTCAGAATGGTGCTGCTCTTTGGAGACGCCTTGAGCTCGATGCCTGGGCTAATATAAAGACGGCCGATCGTGGACCTCGACGTAAGCACAGCACAGCTATGAGCCCACAATATGAAGACTTCACTTACAAGTACAGCTGATCAACGCATTGCCGACTCGTGGGCGGCCATAGCAAGTAGACCCGTGAAACGAAATGCATTGGTCGCTTCGATACTCGAATTACAAGCAGTACAGGCTGATATAATCAACAACCCACTCAGCGACGAGATGCGAGTCGCGGACGACGCAGCGGTGGTGGACCAGTGGCTCGCAGATGCCCGGGCAGCTTTGCCTTTGAGGACGAGACTTGCTGATCTAGGTACCGAGATTTATGAACAGATACAAGACATGTTTTCCCAAAAAGAATGTGTAGACACAGAGGATTACCTTGCACAAATGTCGATAGACGAGGATAAAATTGTCGATACTCTAAAGGCACGGATAGCCACCATCGAGAAACGACGAGCAGCTCTTAATGATGATGATGATGACACTAGTATGGATGGAGCATCGTCCGACGAAGAAGAAAATAGAATGTCCTTTGGTCGCCTTTCATCCCAATGGTTCGATCAGGGCTCAGCAGGATCGGGAGGTAACGATAAATACATACAGACCTTCGTCAAGGTTGTGGCAGGGAAGATTGTAGATGTAGGCCTCGTTCAGCGGCATTCCTTCAATCTTCAGCACTGACGCTCTCATAGCGGGTCATCATCAAAGAAGAAACGGAGGACTGGGGCGAGCAGTCGCTCTGGGACTCGACAACAATACCTGGCAGGAATCTACGCACGGAGTGAGTGCATCAGAATTGATTGATACAAGGCAGTCCTAACAATCGCAGGATCGCAAGCATGCTGCGAGTTCGAGGGGGAAATGGCTCGGACAAGATTGTCGAGCTTCGAAATTGGCGAACTAATGACAGCGCTGGGACCGCCCGGAATCGTCCCACGAAGTATCGGCTTTACTTGGAGTACTGTAAGCATTCTTCCCATCCCGGTCGCGGCCGCTCTGACTGATCGTGTAGGCGGCTTCGGAGATCTTAACAAACTGAGGAGTTCACCGCCCGCCTTCATACCGGAACCTTATATGTGGAAGATATTTGAGGATCTTGTAATTGCATGCACTCTACTCGACAGAGAGTCCATCATTCATCGCGATTTCAAAATGGAGAATGGTGAGTGTCCATGAACGTACTTTCGATCAGCTAGAACATAGATTCTTTGGTACCCCGTCGTCAAGGCCTCCTGTATGTGGTTCTTGGTGAAGTGATATCATGCGCTAATGAGCTATGTAGGAACAACTTAATGATATCTTGTTCGACTCTGATGATCTCCATCGAATGGACTCAAAGTCCAATATCTGGGGCATTGGACTTGCGATGTGGGGTTTGGCATCTAACAAGAATGGCGATGCCGCCTTGGAGAATGCTGGGCAAGATGGTTTTAACGAAACACACCAGCAACCTGACGCATTCACCCAGGCCGTCATGAACTTCTACAGTCAGGATCTTCTGGACCTCATTATGGATTGTCTGAATACCTGCCAGACATGCGACCCGATCTGGATAGTCTTCGGGGGAGAGTAGAGCATGGAATAAGAACACATGACCAGGGTTTGCGTAATGCTGGGAAAGGGAGTAAGTGGGATAGTAGCCATAGTCTTATTGGTTGTAGCTGACACAAGTATCGCTTCTAGATGGGGCATGGGCCACACGTATACCTGCGCTTCCTGACGAGGACTGGGCTTTGAGTTGGGCTGGTGTCACGCCACCCGATGATCTTGGGGGTCCGTCAACAGCAATCATGTATTCTCCCCCACCATCAGAGGAAGAGACATCAGGAGAAGACGAAGAAGGGGAAGAGGAGGATGAGGACGTTGATGGTGATGATGGGGTGGATGATGAGTAGGAGGAGGAGGAGGAGGAGGAGGGGGACGTTTGAATGGAAGCTGAATGAGAAGACGAAAAAGAAGAGGAGGAGAAGGAGAGGATGTGGAGATGAAAGAAGAAGCTTCAATAGGAGAATCCGAGGGGAAATCCGAATGAATGTCAATTTGCTGTTCTATCGAGCCAGTACTTGCAACATTGCTGACCGACATTGGAAAATTTGCAGACGAGAGTGAGACATGTGATTGAAGTCCATGCGGAGGATCTACACTATGTTGATCACGATAGTGAGTGGTATTATAGTTGTCGTTTGCTTGAAAATATCTAATTGTTATTCGTTTGCATGGAACGCACACATGCCGAATCACTMTTATGAGAAGCGGGCTGCAACAGGGATCGCGGAACGAGATGATGATTTTGAGAATCAGGGAAGTAGTGTCTCCATGTTTCCTCCAACTCCGAAGGCGACTTGTCTGCGAGCACAGGAGTAAGATACCCCGTTCGACTTGGATCTTCTCTTCTTTTCTCTTCTCTTCTCGATGTGCAGTGTGAGACAAAGAGACTGTTTTCTATAGAACTGCCCGGATGCGGGACCGATTCTGACACTGGAAGCACTGTTGAACAAAGCGAAATCGAGCATTGTCCAGCAAAACACAAAGACCAATGGAGCCGCTGTGAATCCCGAAAGCTCGTGGATGAGACGTTCTCCATTCACAAATTTCCTAGAATTTTGGAATTTGGGAGGAAATGGCGACGGCCGTAGATGCATACATTGACCTTGAGGTGAGAGCATGGGCACACACCAAAAATGGGAGAATGAAAGGAGTCCACGGTGAGACCACCACGCCATTGAAATGGCCGAAAAACGCTTCCTGACTCTCGCACAGGTATCAGAACGAGAAGTAGGAATCTCTGGAATCGTCTCCTTGTCGCCGAAAGAAATGCCCTTACACCGACTATTGACGCCCTACGCACTGCTCTGGATAATGCAGGCACTCCCGCGTTTGATGTGCCGCCTCCTCCAGATGTCACAGACAATAATGCAGTAGCGGCGTACTCAACCGCAGTAACAGCCCTCTCGGTTGCTAGAACGGAATTCATACAGGCCATAAACAATTACCTCACTCTACGGGCCCCTTACCCTAAAGCAGACTTCGCGGAGGCCTGGCTTGATAGCCTTCGGATTGATCAAGAACGCAATAGGACCGCGGAGGCGGCGGAGCGTGCGAGAATTGTTGGTGGAGATAGGATTGCTAGTGGTACTCTCTCGTCGCGATGGACTGCTGTTGGTCCGGCGGGTACGGGAGGCAACAGGAAGAGTATCATAACTTATATCAAGACGGTGGCGGGGTTGGTCGTGGATGTAAGTCCTGCTGGGTGGTGGATTTTGCGAATGCCAACGGTTCTAGGCACTGACTGACCTTTGACAGCGAGTTGTCGTCAAGGACGAAAGGGACATGTTTGACTTTGCTTCCGTGTGGGATTCRGCAACTATTATTGGCCGGAACTTGCCAACTGAGTGAGTTTCTCCTTACCTTTGGTGCCAGGGTCGGATGCTAATGTTCGTAGAATTACAACTATGCTTCGAGTGAGAAGTCGCATCGGTTCTCAAAATATCGTCAAACTTCGGAACTGGCGCGTGGATGATGCCACGGCTCATGAATCGGGTCGTCATCAGAGTTTCCGAATCTATCTAGAATGCTGTAAGCACATCTGATAGTTGTGGGTAGGATTGCGTAAAGCTAACAGAGTAGGTGGTTTTGGTACCCTCACTGAAGTTGAAAGGCCTGTGCCTGAGCCTTTCATTTGGAAGCTTTTTGAAGATCTTGTAAATGCCTGCGTGATTCTTGACAGAGGAGATGTCGATCCTGGTGGAGCTTCGTGGGATCCTATCGTCCACCGAGATATGAAGCTCGATAACAGTGAGTGCACCCGAACAGCTTGGGAGATGCGCGAGGTGTTGACCAACTGCCAGTCTTCCTTAGCGACCCTGGGAAGAGCTTCTGCTGGTATCCAACTGCCAAGGTGAGCCAGCTCATATGACACCCATAACTTTGCACGCTGACACGACATCCCCCTGCAGCTTGGAGACTTCGGCCCGGCAATGTTTGTCTTACCAAATGATCGACGTACTGTCGCTCAGCTAAGCCATGTTGAAGTTGGTACGCCACAATCGAGACCTCCAGTAAGTCTCGCAGGTGTCTCAATACGGTGCCCTCTAACCTGAGATAGGAACAACTCAACAGTACCTTGGCAGGTTCTGCAGGAGTCTGGCCCATGAGTACCCAATCCAACGTCTGGGGAATTGGGTTCCTGATGTGGCGTCTGATACAACGTCGACAAGCAGGCTGTGAGCGTGAAGATGAGACGGGCTTTAGGGATGATCGTCGCACGCCGGATGACTTCAATGACGAGGCTCGTGCAGAGTTCTCTCCGGATCTCTTGACTCTTATCATGGACTGTGTGCAGTATCTTCCAATCAATCGACCGACGCTGTATGATGTTCAGAGAAGAGTCAGGTTGGGGATTGAAGCTCATACGCAAGGACTGCAGAACGCTGCTGAGGACGGTAAGTTATTTTCGAGTGCGAGGAACACACATATGAGCATGAAGAAATGATACTGATGGCTAACTTATTTTCTGTCTCAGATGCCGTGTGGGCCGACGACTTGCTGCCGATTTATGCTGATGAAAATGAGAACTGGGCCGTGACCGGGATTCAGACCGGTGGTAGACAAGAGGATTTGGGTGGATCTGCAGGCTTGATCATGACATTTCCCCCACTCTCATCTTCTTCTGAAGATGAGGGATGAYGATAATTAGAAGGACAATCCAAAGGGCAACCCGAATGACTGTCGATTTGCTGTTCTGTCGATCTCTATACCGCGACACATCCGTCTGTATAAGGTAGCTTTGATTCAAGTGATGATGGTGCCGGCCGCGTCTTGGCAATAGCATTTGCTGAGAGTCATGGTCAGTTTGCTCTCATCTCGAGCTAGTGCTCTCGTCTCAACATACTAATCAGGGGAGCATTGGCCTGCGGTGCTGGTCTTGAGCTGGCACTGCACACTGCAAAGGCCAGTTCCAAGAAGAGGGCATAGTAGGAGTTGGTTGAGCTGGCGAGCTTCGATGTCGTCCGGAGTGGCGAGGGGCGATGCTGCGGCGAAGGTGATGAATGGCAGGAGGATTGCCAGGAAGGATCGGAACTGCATGTTGTGTCTCTTCCAAAGGTTGTACCTCTGGTCTCTGTTATTTTGAAGGGAAGTCGCAGATGGGAAGGAGCGAAGCGGCAATTACATATGGGATTACTTTTAYTTTGTTAGTCTGTCGGTGTTCCAGGAGGACCAATCAATAGGAATGGCATTTTGAGACAAGCGAGACTGCTTATGCCGATCGCTGTCGTGGACGCAGGTACGACTCGTAGGTGACTCTGATGTCCTGGTCGGAGGAGTAACGATAATAATAATATCCCGTCAGTCAGTCAAGCATATCCGAATGACTTGTAATCATCCCCACGCGGCCGAGCCATGCCCTTCCGGAGCCCACGTGACACCTACCTCATTTAGTCTAGCAAGACGCTCGGGAAGTCGAAGACGAAGAATGGTAGTACCTTACCTCATGCCGTACGGAAGGACGGAATGGGCAACATGCCTCATGTCGGAGGGTGTGCTTCCATTATTGCACAGTACATCGACCCCTACTTCTCCAGCGTCTCAGGAATCCAATCTAATCCTTCCCACTTTTCCTGTCCTCCCGTGTGAACGGGTAGGGGTGTCCTTACTTACCCCGTCAAACAACACCGCACGTCGTCCGGCGCGACACCAGAAGCTTCTCACTCAGCATACATCCATAGTTTACAGATATCACTAGATCTCTCTCCGTCACCGACTGTCCTCCGTCGTCCACCGCTTCCGCTTCGACCCCATCGTCCACCATGGCGGCTCACACTCCAGACAGCGAACGCCGAACAAGCAGTGAATACTCGGGCGTCCCTTCGACCCCACGCCGGAATCTCAATGGCAATGGCATTGGAAACCCCTTTGCGTCCTCCAACGGACACTCGCGGCCTAGCAGCAACACGCCTTACGTTCCCTCGTACATGTCGCACATACCTTCGCGCTCGCAAGCCTCCAATTTGTCCATCAACGTGCCCAAGAGTCCCGCATCTTCCCAGCAATCGGCAGTCGAGCTCCCAGCGAACGAGGTGAGCATTGGAGCGCCTCGGGGACAGCTGCTTCTCCTGGCTGCGGGCACTCTCCACCAATCTCTGCTCTCCTACATCGAACTGCTGGTCACTCGCCAGCCCTTTTCAGGCATCATTCTCGTTGGAAGCCACGATGAGGAGGCCGCGTTGAAGGCGCTGAAGATGAACTGCTTTGCGTTGATTGGCAGGCTGAGCAAAGAGATGAGCGTGAGTGTGTACTTTCAAGATCAGTGGACTCTTGGGGATATGGAGGCCACCTTACAACAAATCACAAAGACGGGAGAAGGTATACAAGGCGTGATATGCTGTCCGGACACCCTGCCAGAAGAGACGGATAGTCGAGGAGTCCTCGCCATGTCTGGAGGTCTGCTTCAACAAGCCATTACAAGACGCGTCACTTTTGTGGAAAGTGCTATCCAGGTTCACAAAAATCATCTGATGGACAGGCCTAAAGCCAACAGCGGCAACTCGTCTCGTGCTCCTCGAGGACCGTTCTTCCTGGTTGCTGGTCCTCCAGCACTTTCTGCAGCTTCACAAATTGCAAAAGCTGCCTCCGACCACCTACTGGCCATGTTCAACGCAGCACTCCAGGCCTTTGGCGTGACCGTCGCTTATGCTGAAGACATCCTCATCCCAGATTCTGTAAAGGTCGGGGAGGCATCAGACGCCACGAGTGGGCCAATCCTACAACCGGCAGAAGTGGATGCCACCGGCCAAGATCAGCCCCAAGACACCGACTACATGGTCCCAGAGTCTCCGACCAAACTGTGGGCGTTGTGGAGTGGCGCTGGGAACATCGAGTGAGACATCGCAATATGACACGTCTCTCGTTACCATTGTACACATAATGTAAACGCAAACGATGCTGGAACTATCCTTCCCAGCTCCAGCGCTTTTGGCACCACTTGATGACATACACCAATGCTATTAGCACCGGTACTTCGATCAATGGGCCCACCGTAGCCGCAAGTGCTTCCTGCGATCCCGCGCCGTACACTGCCACCACAACAGCAATCGCCAACTCAAAATTATTGCTCGCTGCTGTGAAGCTTTGTGTGCAACTGACTTTGTAGCCGAATCCCGTCTTCCACATCATATAGGCCGTAGCAGTAAACACAACCCTGTAATCTAATGTCAGCATCTGCAAAAATCTCTTCGAATATGAGTACTCACAAGAAGTAAACGACCAATGGCGCACAGACTCTCAAAACGGATGTAATCTGCTGAACAACGTGCAATCCCTGCGATGCAAACAGGACAATGATTGTGTAGAGCAGTCCAATCAGTGAGAACGGCGCCACGAACCGAATAAAGTAGAACTGATAGTTGTGCTCTCCCATCAGTCGTCTGAGAACCAGCCGTGTGACGATCGCAGCGCCCAAAGGTACTCCCAAGAAGACGGCAACGGAAGTTGCAGCATGCGAGTATAGACCCTCTCCAACTCCACCTCCAGTTGGATCCCGCGAGACGACTTGCACATAAAAGACAGCCATGGGAGCAAACAGCACAATCTGCAAAATACTGTTAAAAGCCACCAAAACAGCACAATAATCCCCATCACCACCGGCCAAATCCGTCCAGATGAGCACCATGGCAATACACCTCGCCACGCCCACAAAGATGAGCCCATTTCTCAATTCCCTCCTATCGGGCAGAAAAGCCCAAGCCAAAGCCGTCATGAACAAAGGCGCGAGAAWCCAATTCAACACGAAGGATATCGCGATTTGTTTCCAGAGGTCCCGGTGGCGGAGCAGGAGATGGAGGGTTTCGAAGCGGACTTTGCAGAGGATGGGATACATCATGACGAGGAGACCGATTGCTATGGGGATGGAAACTCCTACGAATGTTCCGCGCTGTAGGGCGGGGCCTGTGGATGGGACGAGGTTCGCGAGGATGATTCCTAGGGCCATGGAGAGGATTATCCAGATTACTAGGAAGCGGTCTAGGAAGCTGAGGGCTTTGAAGGGTGGTGCTGTTGTTGGTGAGGGGTTGATTTGTTGTTGGGGTGCTGTGTGGGAGTTAGTGTGAGGGTTAATGTTGTTGGTGTGTGAATGGATGACTTGCTGCTTTTTTGTGAGCCTGCTTCGAGATCGTTGCTGTTGATGTCTGCTTTCTCTTTTGAATGTAATGTTTCTCCTCCATTGGGAGGTTCATGGATTTTTCCAAGACCTGCATCTGGTCTTGGATCGTTTGCGACGGACTTTTCGACGGTATCCATGGCTTTGACTTTGGATCGTGGTTGGAACTCTGTGATGGCAAGCGGTTTGATGGAGTTATATCGACCCCAGAGTATTTGCTCTTGTGGCCAATCGCAAAGCGGGAAGATGTCACTCACATGGGAAATCCAGCTATCCAATCAGAGAACAGCGGTGACCACTTTGAAGGATATCTTCTCTACTGCCCATGTCAAGCATGTTCCAGTCGTTACATGATGGATTGAAATGCCACAATAAAATATACGCCAAATCGACAATCACGTCCTGAAGCAGTCTCAAAATCAAAGCATTTTAACGGGATCAGATTTGTGGCTACCTTAGGTCCACCCATACTTCCCTCTTTCCCAGACGACAAGATGCACGCTGTTGGTCTCCATACCGGTGGAGTCGCTCTGCAAGAGCACTTACAGACGGGGTCGTGAAGATGTTCCCATTATCACGCCTTGCTGGGGATTTAACATGTTCAAAGCTCAGGTCCGATGAGCATCAACAGCGAGTCTCTGCGACTTCCCAACCGCATTCCCTTTCAAACGCTACCCTGAGCTTCAACCTACGCAGGAGCTCCCGGTGCCAACCATGTTCTTCTTGGGCTTAAGCGATTGTGCTGCGTGGATTGCTTGTTCAAAGTCCTTTAAGAGAGCGGCATGGTTCTTTTGGCCGGGCCAAGATCCTACCGTGATCGTGAGTTGAATCGAAGCGGAGGCGATTGTATTCAGACCGCAGCCCTTCAGGAAAGGACGCTCTCTAGCCGCAAGTTCTTTGAGATCATCATCCACAAATCTTCTGTACAAGGCGGCGCGATCGAATCTGAACATGACGTCTTCCAGGTGAGGCATGTATCGTAGCTGCTTGCAGGCCAAGGTGATATCTTCAAAGGCCGAGACAACAATAACCAGTCTTCGGATGCTGCCACGTCGGTTCAGACCTGTGGACTTGATGAATGGCTGAAGATTGAGTGGGCTGATCTGTAGCCGATGCTGGTGGTAGAAAATACCCGCGGCTTCGTCGTATGTAGCGCGGCAGACCTGGAGTAGCGACAGCTTGTTGTGCGTTGCGGGTGATGTCTGCGATTCACCAGGGCGACGCAGCATGACGCAGGCGAAGTTGGTATCCGAGAGTACGTATTCCCAGACCCGACAGCGGAGCTCAGGAGGCAAGACTGTAAGAAGCCCAGACTGTTGCTGTGGGCATACTGGTCGATCGAAAGCCATTTTGGCGACAAGTATGTCAGGATGGAGAGGCCGCAAGACGTCGTTCGCAACTGGCAGGTCGGAGTGTTTGACTACCGGTTCTAGCGTGAGCGTCGGAAGTCAAAGGTCGAATGTGCGGGCGCGAGCGTTGGAAGTTGAAACCCGTCTGTGTATGCCTCAAGTGTTTGGCGGTGGTGCCGTGAGTCAAAGTTGTGAAATGGCATGCGCGAGTGGTAAGAATTGCAAAGGATAAATACGAAATGGGGCAAATACGTGGATCGGTTCTCCGCTGTTTATTGCAGCGTCTTCCTGCATGCGACTTACAAGCTCCCGTAATTTCCGCGTCGTCTTGAGGTTATCATTGGTTGGTTTTGGTGAGAAGGATTCGGGATCGTTTGTAACTCGCATGCACAGAGGATGCTGCATGGTTTCGCCCACTCTCGCCTCAGCGCCGTTCACTTGATACTCCTCCCTCAGCTTAGGCTGGACTGCGCCAGAGCTGATTAATACCACCAAATAATAACACATAGCCGAGATCTTTCGAAGAGCAAGCCAGAATCACATGCCATTCTCGCGTCCATTTACCATCGCGGTCTGCTTCACCTTCGGATTCTAGCTGCGTTGAGCACCTCCTCATATTCCTTCAAAATGGCCTCTTGACTCTTACTGCGATAGGCATCCTGGCTGAATTTGACCTGGAGCACGACAGCACTGACCAAAGTCAGGCCGAAATGTGAGGGGCGCCTGCTTCTTAGGGCGGCGGAGTAGCAGAACCTCGCCCTTTTCATTAGGAGGCACTGAGAGGGCGTGCTAGCAGATCAAGTATCGAATCTCGGGACAAAGTGCCACGAAGAAAGTGGATTGTTGTTGCGGATTGGGAGAGCGACCGACGTCCAAGATGTGACGCGGCATGTCTTTGGGACAATCCGGCGCAGTCCGGACGAAGAAGTCGAAGAGACAAGAGCTTGCCGATACAGCTTGTCGATTGTGATCCAGATGGTTGAAGGCCCAAGAGTGAAAAGAGTGCATGCTAGTGACAAGAGAAAGAACGAAAAAAGAGCGAGACTTTGCCTCAGAGCTTGTGATGACAAGCAGATCGCAGCAGATTCGGTACCTTCCTACTTAACTTACCTGCCACACTGACCAGAGTCGTATCAAGCATACGCTTTGGGATTGTGCGAGCACAACTGCTTGATGAGCGTGTCTGTAGAGATCGATTTGTCAGCCAAAAGCCGGACGATGATCGTGTCCGATTCTGTATACACCCAGTGAATGTGTCGCTCCCTGGAGTGAAAGTGAATAGTGACAGGTCTTTCAATCTAGGCCGCGACAAGTTAGAATTGTCCCGGTCGTGGTCGGTCAGTATCAAGATGTTACTCTCGATACTCTGCCCGTATCGTCTTCTGRGCCGTCGCTCTTGCAATTGCTCATCGACCCACGGGTATTAAGCATTCAGTGCCGGACGCCGTAGCTCATTCTGCCAGCGTCGTTCATTTTGGTATTGGTATGTGTGTCGAAAACTAGGTAGAAGGTGGCGAAGGGCAACGAGAAAACTGAACTAGTGTCCGTTGATCCACGAAGAGGTAGTTGCGGCCCAACAGGTCGGCTATGTTCATATTGATAGGAGCCGGTGTCGTTGAGGTGGTGATGATAAGGGACTGCCCAGGTGAGGACTCGGACGGCTGCCCTGATGACATGGGTGGAAGATTAGACTAGATCAGGATATCGGCCGTTCGGAGCTTAAAAATAGCAAGGCCGATTTCCGCAAAAGTTCTGGAGATTTGGAGGAACCGAACCTTCCACCTTCCACCTTCACTCACTTGTCGTCTGAACCGGATTGTGGATCATGGATACCAACGCATATCTCAAACGTCATGGCTGGCGTGGAGATGGGCACTCGCTGGATGCAACGGACCGTGGCATTCGGCGGCCTCTGCTTGTAAGCAAAAAGGTGGATATGCTAGGTGTGGGACTGAACAAGCACGCCGCCGTGTCCGATCAATGGTGGATGCGCGCCTTTGACGAGGGATTGAAGAATCTGGGCTCTGGAAAAAAGAGCACGCTGGCCAATGTGCGRGAAAAGGGTGTGCATTTTGGAGGACTYTACGGCCGATTTGTCAAGGGCGAGACGGTCGAGGGCACCATGGAAAGCAAGGAAGACAAGGCGAAGGAGGCAGCTGGACAGCTGAAGAGGAAGAGAGATGGCAACGATGTGGACACACGTCACCGTTCGAAGCGCCGGGCGGACGGCACAGACACGGCCACTGGTGAGCATCTGGCCAAAAGCGTGGAGAGCCAGACAAAAGCTGTTGTTCGTGAGGCTGTCAACCGTGGGTTGATTCCCAAAGGAAGCAAGGACAATGGAAAGAAATCGTGTAAACATTCAACAAAAGTAGACGAGGCTACACTCTCGCACATCTTCGACCTGGCTGGTTTGAAGGAGCCGACAGGACTTGGCGAGGGCTCGAGTAAATCAGCTCGCAAGCAGGCAAAGCATACCCGCGGGAAGCTACAACGAGAGCTCAAGCGTGTTGCAAGAGCACATTTGACCAGCCAATTGAGTGTTGCAGAGCGAGCGTTGATCACGCAGCTGGCGACGGCTAAAGAGAAGCAGCGGAGTTCCAAAGGCGAGCTCAAACAGGTCGACAAGTACAACTTGGCGGCGCAAAAGGCACTCGCAAAGGCTGCCAAGTCTAAGAGGAGAGAACAACGACGAGGGGAGAAGCAGAAGGACAATGTTGCAATTTCCGCACGGAAAGCAGCTAAATACGCAGACCGTGCTGCAGCTAAAGGCGTCAGTGTGGAGGACTACATCCGTCGTCGAGGTGAGAAGTCCGCTGCGAAGAAGTCTCGGTCCTCCTCATCCAACGAAGCCCCGGTTGGATTCGTGGTCGATACTGCTGGTGATCCTTCCCTCAAGACGCAGGCAATGCTGCATTCGCCGCCCGCTGTCACTTCATCCGGCCGTGGCGAGGCGGCGACAAGGRAGGGTTGAAGGGTGCTGACGAGGGCTCAAGATGACTAAAGGTACCCGGGGATCAAGTCGGTGAGGATCCATTCGTCGAGGATTGAGTCATGGGGAGGCAGCATACAGTTACAGCTCCATTCCACACTTCTCTCATTGAGGCCATGTCGGAGATGGAGTCCGCCGCCTGGACGCTCAACGACGGTCTCTCCACTCTCTCCAGATATTACCGCATCCAGGGCTTGGCTCCGTACCGCATCCCTGTTGCGCTTCCAGCAGGCGTTCACGACCATCGCCTCACAACCGAGAAATGCGAGATTCGGATACGAGAAATCCGCGGTGTTCGACCGCCGTCGGATCAGCCTGGTTCACGTGCCCCATCTGCTGGTATGGCATCTCCGCCTGCCGGTATCTTGGAATCACCTACAAGCGTGCGCCTTCTTTCCGGGGTCCCCTGGCCGTATTCGCGTGCGAACATCCTGGATGCGCAAGATTTGGTTGAGCTTACGAAATCGTATTTGCAAGCCACCACTTACGGTATTGTTATTGCGGTGGTCTTGAGACGGCTGTGATGCGTGGCAATGGATGAATCACCGCGAATTGATACTTTCACTTGGAAGTTAGCAAGGTCCACATACCAAATCTGGCACTTTCTTCCCACCGTGCAACCTCAGGGCACTGCAGATGAGATGACAACAATATTGTTTAGCAGAGGGAGCCGGCGAGGACCCGCACGATTGACTTCTCTCTTCATCGAGGGTTCCTTGCTACAAACTAGGGCAAGCAGAGCTTTGGTAATTTCTTCGGCCGGAGATGCCGGTGCTTCAAAATGCGGTGCACCAAATCAGTGTGTTGCCTGTCACCAGAGTATGTAGGTAAACATATCATGATACAGATTTTGTCGTTCTCCATTTCGAATATGCTGAGTCAAGGACTTGCCGTCAGACTCATTCTTGGCGCCAACTGCCTGAATAGGGGTCTGGGGTTGTGCGTTGATGCTAGTCGATCGGGTCAACCACGTCCTGGCAGCATGAACGAAGGTTCAACACGGCGTCCAAAGCTTGCAAGTCACAGTCGTCGGATGAGGTACATGCTTTTGACCCCCGCGTTCCTACCCAGGTCTGCTGGAGAAGCGAACTCACTGGAACGGGGTCCTCACCACTGTGACAGGCATATCCCAGAATCGTCTTGGTGCATTGGTTCCCCATGGGAAGAATAACAAGTAGCCTGCGTGTTGGCATACCCAAGCCCCACCAAACACTTCGCAGACGCAAAAGCACAAGTCATTCCACCCGTCGATCGCATAACTCAACGGCCTACGATGCGAAGCGGGACAGACGTCTCGGCGCAATCGCTTTCTCCTCTACCACCGAAAATCCATGGCGGGCTGTCGGTGATCGCTGCAGTGGGCCTGGCGTCTTTGGTCACCACTGCATGTCTATTCAGTTACCTTGCGTACCAGTCATTAGCCGGCCACAATCGAAGGATCGTCTACATTAATCAATATGTTGCACTCCTGATCAACCTCCTCGTCGCCGATCTAATTCAGGCGTTGGGTTTCACTCTCAGTCTTCAATGGCTACACGTTGGCGGAATAATGGTGAGTTATGCTATTGATGACGAGTGAATGAGAATTGGGATATTGACTTTTTCAAGGCAGGTACTCCCGCCTGTTGGACTCAGGGTGGGTGACCTCAACAACGATCCAGCAGATGTGGTGAAATGTGCTGATGCTGTTGCAGGATGGCTTCTCAATGCAGGTGATGTTGGAAGCGCTGCATTCACACTCGTCATCGCCGTCCACTTGTTCTCGGACATCATCCTCAATTGTCGCCTTGGGCCTCTACGATTCTTGTCTACCGTCATCTTTGTATGGGTCTTTACCATCTTCTGTGCGACTATTGGGGTTGTGATACATCCTTCAGACTTCTATATGCGAGCAGGACTGTGGTGTTGGATTCCTGAGAATCGTAAGTAAGGGCGTGCGGCTTCTAGTAGCTTCATGGACTTCTTCTTTGATCCTTCACTTGCTGACTATAGTGATTAGATATGCCAGAGCGCCTTTGGTAAGCACTGAGGATATCCTGCTGACGTTGACTTTGGACTTGACATTGACTTTTTTAGGCTCCATTACATATGGCTGATATTCGTAGAATTCAGCGTCATCGTCCTCTATTCGGTAACTTGGCCACTCAACACCCTCCATCAATGTCTAATTTACTAATGTGTCCCTCCCACAGCTCATGTTCCTTTTCCTACGACGTCGGGCCAAACAATTCCACTCTTCGACCGATCAAAGTTTCCTTCGAGGCCGAGCTAAGTCGGCGGCACGGAGTGTCGTTGCATACCCCTTAATCTACGTGATCTGCACACTTCCTGCGGTGGTTGTCAGGCTGAGTATCATGGCTGGAGCAAGTGTAGGCGTGTAAGTGACTTCTGCTCTCCCCTTCCAGCATCAAAGATTTAGCTGACCAGCGATCGGCTCAAAAAGAAACCATTTAATCTTTGTCGGTGTGATGATGGCTTCGAATGGCTGGCTCGATGTCATTTTGTACTCGGTGACCAGATATTCTCTCATCTTTGGAAGTAACATACCCAATGGCGAGGTGAGTTGGAGGTCAGCTTGTCTCGTCGATATATGGCTGATGGTGGGACAACCAGATCCGCGACTTCCAGGCCTTGCAAAATCAGCCGAATCGCCATTCAACCACTGAGACGAAGACCGATGAGTCTCAAGCGGGTCCAGTGAGAATGTAAGTCCATCACCGAGCGATTACCCAGGATGGCCTTGGCGATTCGCTAATATCTTTTTTGTTACAAGGGAGAAGGTGTATTCCGGAGACCTTGGTCGTAGTCGCGCAACTGGAAGCACAGACAGCCTCTGTCGAGAGATGAGGTACACCAAGAATCACAGTACTTGTCCCGGCTGGTGACATGTCGGCTCAGCAGTTGGCAATCAAGGCAGATTGTCCAATAAATTCATACACCCAAGCATATAGCGCCTCGAATTGTGAGCATACAGAGCGTGCGATTACGAAAGAACAACGGAGAAAAGAAATGCCTTGTCATCTACTGTGGAAAGATTGTATTCGAGCATATAGCGTCCGCAGKTCAGGAAGTCGCGTGGAATCTATGAGCGTTCCAAATGACTTCATGTCTCTGTAAGAGATGGCTACTCCACCGACAGCAGCGTTCCGTTCTCATTCTTTACGAACTCCAGGAATGGCTGCAATTCTGTCGTGTTGGCACCATCAACCAGAAACACCGCCGGCTTTCCGTATGGTGCAGACACCACGACATTCTGGCCGCCCTCATACATCGCACCCGTCCACACATGGTGGAAAGTGCCAGTACCTGGAAGGTAGACTTTCACTTCAAAGGTGTCTGGATCCAAAACAGGAGCGACGTATAGACTAGAGCCCAAATAAAAGCTCTGGTAGCTAATTTGTCGGGCACGCAAGTCGGTGGGATGGTAAAGAGCCGGTGAGCGGAGCAATGGCCAACCCTTTGGCTCGCATTCCGTTTCGAGGATGCTCCGCCTATACTTTGCAAGGGAAACAAACATCCTTGCGTTGTAGGCATAGTAGCTGTAGGTCGAGCTGTTGCTGTAGAATTGAGCATTGACAGAGGGGATGTTGCCTTCGTGCGATCTAAACACGGCACTGCTGACGGCTGCAAGTTCTCCCCAACGTCCAAGAAGCTCTGGGGACCGAGTGACGTTGTAGTTGGAAAGCGTCAAGACTGTGGTGTAGCCACCAACATCAGAGTGCTGTTGGCTGTATCCTGAGAATCCCATGTGGACCATAAGGGTGACTTATGAAGATTAGACAACGATTGCAAGTAAGGTTTCTGGGAGAAACTTACCGACAGATTTGATTCCGTCGTGAACGCCCCAATCCACATTCTGATCGCCCACCCAAAAGAGGTTCATATTGCGATTTGATCCTGTTGAAGCAGAGCGATGGAAAAGCAGGGCTTCTGATTCAAGCTGTTGTGCCTGTTAGCAAGATTGCTGTCATCGAGTGAAGTCTGAAACTTACACCGAGTTCTTCGACAACGGAGTGTTGTATTTCTGCCCACTGAGCAGGATACGCATTGTGGGTAAAGAATGCATCATCGCTACCATACTGTTGCACATCTGATGTGACGGGTGTCTGATTGACTCTGGTCAGCTCGGAACGTCGAAAGATACGTGATAATGGACACGGACATATTCGCCAAAGTCTGTCATGAACCCTGAGATATTTGCATCCCAGACTTGTGATCTKAGGATGTCTTTGAACCACTCTCGCAAGCCAGGATTGGTCAAGTCGATGATTCCCGCATTCAAGCCTGGACCACTTGAAATGATTGCCGTCGAATTGGTTGTTGAGTTCTGCACAAAGTAGTGTGATGCACTCGCTTCGTCGTAGAGATTCCTTCGAAAGCCTGTAGGTTTCGTGGAAACATTCGCCAGGAACACATTCATATACGAAAGCGTGCGGACATTGTGATTGTCGCGGAGATCTTGAACAAACTCATTCCAGGTAGGGTAGAGCATTTCATCATTCTCCCAGTTCCACCAGAGTCTCGAGACATTTATCGCAGGACTATATGGACCGGGCTGAATGTGAGTGCCACACCAATCTTGTAACCAGACTCCAGCAATAGGAGCATTGATACTGGGGTCCAGACCTTGCTCGACAATGCTGATCACCTTATCCTGGCCACCTTGAATGCCGAGGATAGCGCCGTCGTCAACCCACTTAGGGAGAGCTGGCATACGTCCGGTGTACTCTGTCAAAGCCTCGATGGCGTCGAACATATTGGGCTTGCGAGTGAAAGCACCATCAACGCTGAGGGAGTCGTACCGGACGGTCACTGACTCAGACTGAGTGAAGTCGAAGTTTGCGTAGCCAGTGCTTTTCTCCGAGAGATAGAACAGACTGGCCTCAGTCGAGATATACGACGCGACGGCTGTGTACGCTGTGAAAAAGTCGCCGCCACTTATACTGCCATTGGCGTTTTCGATGGACGTTATGGGTTGGTCCCCGCGACCGACACCCTGCTCACGGGTGAATACTGGAATGCTTTGATTCTTCAACGACGCAAACGATGCTTGACCACCCAATCCGAAGAAGTCCTCGCCAGCGGAAGAGGCGAAGCTGAAGTAGAGCTTCTTCAGAGGTTGTGCTTCGTTGGACGAGGCGGAAATATCGATGTAAAAGGCCACTCGATCGGGAAGGTCACTGGACACCCAAAGAGTAAGAGAGTATGGTGCAGTTGCATGCCCGCAGTCTGTCAAGTGACCGGTAATCTGAACCGCCTTTCCAGTGACAGTTCCATCCCACGGAACTTGCTGGATGCTGCTGATGTCCTGATCTTGACAGATATCAATGTCGATGTGGGTAATGTTAAAAGCTCCATTGGATCCAACGATGGAGTCGTTGCCAGCACTTGCGCTTATGAAAGGGTTTCCCGGTACGGTACTCCAAATGGCCTCTCCAGACTGAGTTATCTCCAGCAAGTCATTATTCCTGGTCAAAACAAAAGCCTCTCCAATGTCGAAAGACTCGTTGTAAGATGAAGCAAGCACGTTTTGCGTAGATCCAGCGCACACGAACAAGCCAAAAACAGCAAAGAGGGCATGCATCCTGGAAGGTTCGAAATGCTGTCAAATTATCGGCAAGTGAACTCACTCACACGGGCATTTTCACTACTTGTACGACTGCCCAATCCGCTTCCATTGTGGATCTTGAAGAGCTATGTGGGCACGTCATGGGCCCTGGCACATCGCGTGCGACCTAACAACGACGCCTTTCCACTTTGAGGAWTTTTTCCGGATTTTCGGCGGTATATACACCGAGTTCGAGAGGCGTGTATTCACCTCTAGATCCCTTACGCAAGATTTCTCCTAGATCCAAATTCAGAGCAGCTGGGTGTATCTCAGGCATACCACCAAGACATGCCTGCGCGAGACAGTAGCTCGCCGGAACATGGGCAGATATACGTACATGAGTCCGGCGAAAAGCGAGCAGCTGGACAGATGGCGCTCGCCTTGTCAAGCTGCCGGTGTGTGGACTGCAGCGCGACAGAGGTGCGGGGAGAAATCAACCAACATGAGAGCAGGCAGTCCCGTCGGAGTCATCGCTTACAAAAGTAGATGCAAAGTGTTCCTCTTCGCGTCGAGTGACGGTGCAATGCTGGCGTTGGGAAATGTCAGAAAGAAGGACGCGCAGAAGTGAAGTCAAAAGAGCCCTCACAACACGAAGCATAACCAGCGGCTCTAATAGGGCTAGTGGATCTTGGCATTTCTGACTACCCGGCCAAATTCATTTTCCTCTTCGGCTTCCAACTTTCTTTCCTCAAGCACCACCCAATGCTTGCGTACTTGCTCACACACAGACATCGCTGCTTGCAGCACGTCTTATTTTGGCAAGTGAGAAATTCGGAGCACGCTTCAAAAAACAACGCTATCCGTGCTTGCGCGGCGCTGGCAACTGCTCGTGAGAGCCTACCATGAAATGGTTGCATTTGGCATCAGAAAATCAGCCCGGCTCGGCTTCGGTCGCAGTCGTGGTTATGGGAGCCGGTGCGAAGCTTGTGTGTACTACATGTACGACACTTTAGTGCAATACGCAGCGTATCTGCGCCTCTTGCCATTACACCTGTCGCGAGACATGGTGGGTGGGGGTCAGGGTATCATTCGATTCCGATTATTCTGGGTGGTGTTTCAACTTCTTTCATCATTCACGAGCTTGAACATTCGCTTGTGGTGGAGAAGGAGGTGTTGCGCGACGGGAGAGGACATGTCTAAAACATCAGATCAACTTTGCCATTATCGCAGACCGACTTCAATCTCCCGCTACCGCAAATCCGCGGGCTAGAAGCACATTGCGACCTCCTCCTCCTCAATCAAGCAAAGATTTCATGGAGCTCTTCGTCGTGCTCTTTGAGCTCTCCAGCGAATACATCAGATCGGTGCGCATGGTGTATTTCGTGCCTTGGATAACGTCGGCGCCGCTGTGGAGAAGATCGCGGTGCTGAAACAGCAGGACTCTGCCGGTTCGTGGCAAGACATCGAGTGATCTTTCGGGGTCGCAGCTCATACAGTGGAAAGTCGTAGCACCACCGACCAGCGTCGATTTTGCTGCTTCCAGCCGCTCTGCCGGACTCATCTTGTCAATCTCCTCTGCAGACGGCGAATCGCTGTTGTTGAGGTAAAGATGTAGCGTGAAATAACTGCGCTCGCTACGATCATCTCGCTCGTAGGAGCCGTCGCAGTGAGCGCGGAAGAATTCTCCTCCTTGATACTTCAAGAACCTCATTCGCTCCTGTACAAGAGTCAGGCATTGTGAACAGGCTGCTCTCCGGATCACTCACATTCGGCCGACTGAAGCGCCAGACTTCCTCTCGCTTTCTTGGGCCATTACCAAAATAAATTGGGCAGTTCTTCAACTCCATAATCTCCTGCACATCAGGTATAGCTGCAATCCTTTGCCAGACTTTGTCGACCAATTCCTCCGAGTCCATGATGATTCTCCCGCAGTTCCGTGTGTCAGCATACAGTGCCTGACGGCCGCCTCCAATGTTGACCATAGCACGTTCCCATTCTCCATTTGTTGTAGCCTCTGCTGCTTCAATGAGTTGTTGACATTCAGCTTCATTCAGGACATTGTCTAGCACGACTGCGTAGCGTCCTGCGTACTCTGGAAGACATGTCTTGGCAAAATCAATCCTGTCGACCACTATGTTGGGCGCCGGTGTGGCGAGGAAGTCTTGAGGTAGAGCCATGATGATGATTGTGGTGGAAAAGAGGTTGACGCGACCGGTTAGATGAGTTCGTTGAGCTTTTGTTGCCAACGCCGATCTTTCTCGGTGTTGCTATCTGCTGCTGCCTAGAGATGTTTGTCACAAGTCGAGCGGCAAACTGAGCTGGTCAGACCGGGCCAAGTAACTGAACAAGATGGGGTGAATCCGAGACGGTCGAGATCATCTTGCCTGTATGAGTCAATGTGACAGTTGCCAGTGGCGATTCCTGAAGGATGGCGATGGTTTGGCACTGCCCCATCTCCAACCACTGCGAGAATCTTAGTACCCTATCAGACCTTACCGGATCTACGWGCTATGAATTCGTAGCGAGCTCAAACTGTTCTTCTCATCTATGAAGGTGTTCAGGCTGTTCGGCAAGATAAGTTCCGGACGTAGCATAAGCTTCGCCTCGTACCAAAGAATGCTCCTTTGGACCTTGATGGAGCTTATCTAATTATCTTCACATGACAGTCCAAGTGAATGTGTTCAGTTTAAGGCCCAGAAGTCAACAGTCCTGAAATTGAACTYTTCACTTGAACGTAGCAATCTCCACCCCCGTTTGAAAGCAAGTGCTTGCGTCAGCGGGCAAGGTGGGGCAGCCTCCGAGAAAACAGCTAGCTAGGTACCTTGTCATCACCACCATTTCTTCTCTTCCTCCAAACAACATTCCGACCTGCCAACCACCCAACATGGCGCTCTCAAACTACAGCCGCTGGCTACCCGTACTGGCCCTTGTTCTTATCTTCTACGCTGCCCCGACCCATGCGTTTGGTGCTGGCAACATCGCCGCAACTTCAGCCGTTGAGGGTCAGCGATGGAGACACGTCCGTGTCCACTGTCTGAATATATATTGGCCTTGCAAGCTGACAAATTTGACAGGGTGACATCGAAGATACCCTCCTCACCCTATTGACCGCTCGAGCATTCGGTGGGAAGAAGTTCAGCAAACTCGTACGTCGAATCACATAGGAGGAGGCACAACATTTGGCTAGTCTCGAGAGTCGCATCTCTCTCGTTGCTTGATATTTCTGGGGAAGAGATGTGGCTTTCTCGGACAGGCTGGCGCTGATGCCTTCTTCCCCTACACACATCTAAAACACATGCTGAAGCTCTTCTTTTTCAGGACGTCAAGCGAGTCTATTTTGGAAACTGGCTCCGCGACTATTCGCAAGCCGTCGATGTCGGCACCGTCAAGTATGTCTCCGCCGAAGCCGTTAGAATTGTGCTTTGGGTGCTGGCATTCATGTCCTTTGGCTATGGCACCGGCGAATTCGAAGTTACACGGGACAGACTTGGCTGCTACCGGCCGGAGGAGCACATCGACAACCCAAAAAACTACGCCGATAATTTGGACGCTCGTGACTACGACCGTCGTCTTCGAGGGCCAGTGGATGACGACCGCGAGCTGAGCATCGATGAACGCACCGGCTTGAAACACTACATCGCTAGCGAGGATCAGGGAATTACGACTTCGGCTGCCATGGTTCGCGAGCTCTACACCAAGTGCATCGAGCTCGGACGTCGCTACAAGCGCTCCAATGATGAGCGTGATTTCCACGAGGCCTTGAGATTGATGGGAACCGCCAACCACTGTCTCGAAGACTTCTCCGCCCACAGTAACTATGTTGAGCTGGCGCTGATCGAGCTTGGTGAGAGCGGTGTCTTTCCTCATGTGGGTCGCCAGACCAGGATCCAGCTACGCGGAGCACGAGACGAAGTCTACCCCCTCGTCACCGGAACCTTTGGAGGTGTAGACTTTCTCCACTCCGTTATGGGCGAAATCAGCGATAAGACGACTCAAAGTGAGCTTCAAGAGCTTGAAGGCACTATCGACAACTCTCAACGTGCGGATACGAGCATGCTGAAGGAACTTCTTGACAAACTGCCTCCGGGTCTGCTCGGGGACACCGACCAGAAAGGAAAGGTCGAGAGCCTCCAGGCCAACGCTGCGGCTTCGCAAATGCAGAACATGCAAATTTCACCCAAGGATCCAGAGGAGTTCACCCAGCAAGTGGAGGCCTTGACCCAGCAGATCTATCCAGTGATGGAGTTCCACGACTCCCTGATGAAATCCATTACAGAGGYAATCGACAAGATCCCGGTCCTGCCTGAACTTATCGAGGAGGTGCAAAACCAGATTAGCATCTTCGTTTTCTCCTTGCTAGCTCCATTCATCCTGCCCATTATCAAACAGCTAAAGGAGGAACTGGCGACTGGCTCTTCTGAGATCATTCAATCCAGCAAAGACAAGCAGTTGATTGTCTTCAACGATGACTCGTGTTCGGATCCTACCCACTCCATGCTGAGCAAGGATCACTTTTCCAACATTCTGAATGAACCGGCGGGCAAGATTGCCAGCCAGGTTTTGAAGTGGACTATTCCGCAGATTGTGGCTGCCTGGGATGATGATGATGTTGACGTGCGTCGCACGACCGACCGTATCATCAATGGAGTCTTCCATCATCCAGCTCTGAAAGACGATGGAGAAGACGGCGCGAATGATGGCAGAGGTCTCATGTTTAGCGTGGTCGAGCGCTGGTGGGAGGAGCAAGACGATCGCCAAAAAGACGACTTGCGTGACAAGCTCAGCCGCGAGGGCGTTGAAGAGGGACGTAATCACAAGGAGGGAGTGGAGGACACTGGACATGGTTGCTGCAAACCCCTCGGGATGCCCAACATGAAGAGTTCGCAGAGCTCTGGAGCTATTGGTGGAGTTTTGAGTGGGATCAACCAAACTTTGAGTGGGAAGAACACTGGTGGGAGACAGAGCAACAAAGCTGCGAACGAATTTGGCGATTCTGTGGGTGAAGCGATGGGTGGTGGAGCCCTGGGATCGGTGGTGGGTGGTCTCGCAGGAGCTGTCGGCGCCGGTCTGCTCGGTGGTGCTTTTGGCGATGACAAGTCGGAGAAGAAGACGTACAAGCACGACAGTTACGACGGTGACTCCCGCACCTCCAGGATCACCGMGACTGGATACCGCCCTGGCGGACGTGGCGACGAGGAGCGCTATGGGCAAGCTGCAGTCACTCAAACCCAGTACAGCTCTGGCGGTTACCGAGAGGAGTACAAGCGGTTCGAGCAGGATGGTAGCTCTGGCAGTACCGGCTACGGTTACCAGCAGACAACTGAAGTGCAACCAACTCATGACGGTGGTTACGCTCAGCGTACTGAACGCCGAGTGGAGCATCCAGGCGGACGCTATGAGGAGGAGATTCAAGAACAGCGTGTTTCCAGCTCTGGCAGGCAGTACATGAACCAAGAATCTCGCCAGGGCTACAAGCAAAAAGATGGCAGTGACGATGACGACGACAATGACAATGATAGCAATGACGAAGAGAAGAAGGAGAAGAAGCGCCGCAAGCAAGAGGAAAAGCGACGCAAGAAGCAGCGCGAGGAGGAAGAGTATGGCGGTGGTCGTAGGAGCGGCAGCGGCGAGAGACGCAAGTCTCACTCTCGTGAGCGCCGCGGCTCTGGTGAGAAGCGCCACAGTGGTGGCGGAGGCTACGGTCGCCAGGAACAAAGCAATTACGGACGCCAGGAGGAGCAGTCCGGCTATGGCCGTCAAGAGCAGCAATCCAGCTATGGCCGTCAGGAGGAGCAATCCAGCTATGGTCGTCAAGAGGCGCAATCTAGCTATGGCCGTCGTGAGGAGTCCGGTTACGAACAGCAGTCAAGCTACGGTCGCCGCGAGCAGTCTGGAGACTACGATGGAGGGAATGAGCGCCAACAAGCTTCGTACGGTAACGACAACTATGGTGGAGGTGGATACCAGCAACGTGAGGAATCTGGTGGTGACCGTGGTGGTCGCGAAGAATACGGTGGAGGCGGAAACTATGGACGTGGCGAAGGTGATGAGTAYGGCAGCCGCCGTGGAGAGGACGAGATGCCTGGTTCTTTTGGCGGCGGTGACGGCGGATATGGAGACGAGCGCGGAGAGCGGAGACGCTGGTAGACTGATAGCGGGCTTCGGTAATGGATTTCAGGCGTGACATGGACTAGACTTATGAACTGAACGAACAAAAGCGATGAATCTCTCTGCCTGACTTCCTAACATGATCTCGTACATTTCTTTCATGTGCGATGAGTACACCATGATCGGGACTGGAGCTTTACCAGGGTTGTGAGATGGTGGGTAAGATACAAGTACTTCGTATTGGGGCGTGGAGAAAAAGCTACCTAACTAACATTCATCATCGTTCAAGCATTTTCATCATTCACCATGTTTTCAGACCAAATGCGGCCCATGCCATGGCTCCAATATCAAATTCCATCAGCGTCAGCGTCAGCGCCTGGACATCCATCACTCTCGCTCCTCGGTGCTCCCTCGATCTACGCTCAATGCCGCTTTCGCTCGCTCAAACTGAATCATTTCTAACACACATCAAAATATCCCGCCAACAACGAGGAGTCGCTGCTCATTCAGCCGCCAGCCACTCCAGGAATCGGGTTCTCGCGTCTCAACTTCGCAATCAACTTGCGATGGGCCCATGGATCACACTGCTGACACAGGTACTTGCTCGTCTCGCGCTTGGCCGCGGGCGGGACAGCATCGCCCATGCACTCGACATGCTGCCAGACGTGGCACTCCCCCTTATCGCAGCCGATCCAATCGCCGGCGTACTTGCCATCATCGGTAGTGACGCCACAGACACAGCGAACGGGACCACCGTCAGGATCCTGCTCGTCGGCTGTGAAGTTGTTGATGTTGAAGAACTCGGGTCCGAGATCTGGGTGGCGAGCGTTAGGCTTTCTGCTGATGAGCTCGGTATAGAGAGCCTGTTRACGCTCGGTGGCGGCTTCTGATGCTTCGGTCTTGGTTCTGGCAATGCGCGCGCCGGAGACGGTTGCTGGGTGGCTTGCGCGTCTGGGGACTTCTGCTGGAGTTCCGCTGCCGGATTGCTCGGGTGGAGCTTTGCCGCCTGAGGTGGGGCGTGCGCGGCTACCTCTTGTGGCAATCATGTCAGACGCGGTGGATGCCACTGAAGAGGTGTTCTGCGCAGCTTGGGGCTTGATCTTAATGGCGGGCTTGGGAGCTGCTGGAATGGTGGCTGGAACTTCTCGAGGTTGCTTTGTGACATGACGACGAGGTTGCTTGGTAGGGAGCTCTGGACCCGCAGCCTCAACTGCTTGTGAAAAGTTTCGAGGTTGCTTCTCGGCAGGACGACGAGCTTCTTGGGCAGGAACCTCTGCGTCCTCTCCTGCTGTGACGGTGACGGTGACTTTCGCCTTCTTCACGGCAGGTTGGCCACGCTTGGCGGGTTCCTGAGTGGTGGCCTGGACTTCTTCGGAAGAATCAGGCTCGGGATCCGCTTCGTCGAGGTCCACGGGCGCAGTGCGCTTCTTGCCGGCATTTGATTGAAACTTGACGGGAGTCGTGAGACCGCGGCCTTTGACAGCGCTGACTTGCATCTGTGGGCGGTTTTGCTGCTGGTGTTCTGGAGTCTGCTGTTGTGGAGTCTGCTGTTGTGGAGTCTGCTGTTGTTTCCGCGCTAGGATCTGGTACTGCAAAGGCGCATCGGAGGGCAACAATCCTGTCTTTCCAAGATCACTGATGATTTTCCGCAATGTTTCTCGATTTTCGGGAGCATTCAGGGCGATTCGTGGGACATCCATTGCGGTCGACATGGGGAGTGTCGCGTTGCGAGTGAATATGTTGTTGAATGGATGCTGCGATGATGTGTTTGTTGCTGTTTGCTGTCCGGAATATTCTGGATCTGCACCGGCGAAAACTGTTTGTGGGGCTTGTCTGGTAGTCCGACCCGCACTTGATTCTGAAATGCGCGCGCCTGAGAAGAATTGGCGGGCTTCAGAAGTGAGGATGAGATTCTGCTCGGGAATGACGAGGTCCTCAACGCTTGGCTCTTTAACGAATGTTCTTGGCGATGACGGTGGTGATGGTGTGAAAGGTGCGGGTATAGGATGTCCAGTTTCTGCAGTCCATTCCTTGGTACCGTAGCTCCTGAAGTCGTCGAGCGTGTCTGTGTTGGTGGAAGTTGGATATTTAAGTAGGATTGCAAACTCGCACGCTAGCTCGCGGCGGCGGACTTGCTCCACCGAAAGCTCGTCAGCTTGCTCGTGAAAGACTTGATCGGCTTCGCGTGCGACAATTGAGAGACGCTTCAGATCATCTTTGAAGTCGGGATGTTTGCTGAGGAACATATGGCGGCGTTCGCGGTATCTTTTTTTGGTGTAAGAATCGTGAAGGATGCGACCTTCTCCTTCGTGCTCCTTGACTGCTCTTAGACTTGAAACAATGCGCTCGATCTGAGTGTTCTTGAAATTGTGTGTCGACATGATTGCGCCGGGCAATGGGTCTTGTGATTTGAAAGGTTGTTCGTAGGAGTTTGAGATTTTGTGTTGTCGTGTGACTCGAACTCGATTGACGATGCAATGTGTAGCACGAGAGGATAGATTGTGCAATGTGGGGAAATGCTACTTATCTGTGTGATTTATTCCGGCATCAATATGAGCAATTCTGGTCAAGTGGCTGTCAGAGGACAATAGACATTTTTTCGACTCGACAGGTGATTTTTCCATTGTCAACTTTTCGTCCAAAGAGGGAAAGGTCACTTGGAGGATGACGAATGAGGGGACGGTCACACTCATAAGTGGTAGGTAAGTGCCAGRCGAGAGCCCATAAAGTGTTGTGGTGTCTGGTCGAGGTCATGATAGGCGATTCTGCTGAGTACTCATTCGTCCTTCTCCGCAAAAGCCTGGCTGTCTTTCGCTTTGTACCGTGTGCGGGCTAGCGGGTGCACAGGATTCATCGTCGGATTCCAATACAGCCATCGACAGTCGACATTGGCATCAAAAGCGAACACATGTATGCAAGCAATGCTCTAATAAACATTGTCGCGACAGTGACTCTTGCCATTGAACGCCGCGCTTGCTAATATCGAGGCATCGGTATGCCTGATAGGAGCAGCCCGAGTCCCGCGATAATGTGACGACATCGCAAAAGTTGACCGAAATCAGATGTTGCGATTGTAACTGAGAGGAACAAGATGCAGGTCCGATCGAGGTGAAGTGCTGCAAGCACAGACCATCTTCGTTACTCGATCTGCACCAATCATGTTGCTAAGCATTCACTCTAATCGGCACGTGACATTTCTCATCTTCTACACGTTCTAATCCCTTTGAAAACTCGTTGCTATAATTAGAGCCCTTATAAGCGTGTAATAAAGCGGCTATATTATACGCTTATAAGGTAAATTAACGTCTATATAGCCCCCCTATAGCTTCTAAAAGCAGTTAGTAGTATATACACTAATTTCAAACTCTAAGTAAGTAGTAGWTAGTAGTTAATTTAGTATAGACTCCTTTAACGAACTAGATAGTATTAATTAGCACTCTAACGATAATTATAAAGGGGATACGGATAAGGAGCTTTATAGTATAGAGCAGCAACTTAACTTAACTATTAACCGTCTAGAGTTCGTTATTAGAGYGGCTATATTACGTACTATATATAGTATTAAATTTAAGCTAACTAGAGCTAATAATAAACCGGAGGCTATATATAATACGGACTAGCATCTTATAATACCGGAGGTCGATAATATAATAAATTACATACCGTTATTACTAGAGGACTATCTAGCTAGTAAGGAGTATAAGCGACAGGTTAACCTACTAGTATAGTTTTAGAGCGTAGTTAGTAATATCTAGTTACGCTTCTTTAGTTTATTCTTTACTTAAGCTGTCTATAAGATAATAGCTAAGTATACGAATAAATACGCTATATTTAAGTTTACTAAAAGGTAGCCGGCTCTAGAGGGTATAGCTTAGTATAAGGAAGCTACCGATAAAGGAGTGTTCGTATACGGCAATCGATAGAAGGAGGTTACTACCGCTAATATAAAGGTGTTTGTTACTATTATCCTATATATATTAGCGGTTAGAATAGCGGATAAGAGTAACTACTAGCGGAAGGATAGCAAGTAGCTATTATATAAGATTACTAATTATATATCGCTCCGGAGGTAGAAGCAAATTAAGGCCTATATATAGTTTAGAGCCTCTTAAACTTATATAAAAGGAACCGTACCTTAGTAGTAGATATTGCCGCTAGCTAACTTGCTACGAGAGCGCTTTAAATCGATAATAATCCCTAGTACTTATATATTAGTTAACGAGGTGTTAGTACGCTTTATAGGCCGCTCTAGCTATAAGATAATAATAAAGGGAAAGCTAACTCCTATCGGTTATTATATCCTTACTCTCTATAAGCGTAGATACCTCTAGGCCTTCTCGTTTTCGAGCCCTTAAGCCGGATTCGAGGAATAATCCGGTAAAGCTTAGTATATAGCGATTTTTACGAAGGAAGAACTTACTCTATAGGAGTAGGTAGTACGGAAGAAGAAGAATACGACGGCTATACGTAAGGGTAGCGTAGTTATAAAGAAGGAAGTAGTTAAAAAGTAGCGAAATAAGAAAGACGTTCTAAAGTAGTAGCTATATTAGAGCTACTCTAGTCCGAGGCTATACGAGTAGCGGGATCTATCCGCTCTAATCGTATCGCTTACCGAATATCTTAGTAAGATACCGAAAGCGGTCCTTAGGCTCGTACTTTAACTAGACTTTACTATATATTTTTACTATATTTATATAGACAACCTCTTTAATAATATACCGCTACTAGCTATACTTCGATACTAGGGCATTACGGTAATAGGCATAGTTAGGTTAGTGTCTAAATTATAGCCGTAAGCTAGAGCTACCTTTACGAAAGTAGTAAGGTCGAAGACTAGCCCTCTAGTAACTATTAAACTTTAGAGGAAATCTATACGGTTCCCCTACGACTTAATCTAATTAAGAGTATGTTATAACGTATATTTACTACTCTAGCAAGATAAGAACCTTATCTAATTTATTACTACCGGCTACTTACTAATTAAGAGAGTATAGAGGGCTTGAAGGCGGCCTTAGGGAACTATAGCCTTTATTCGGAACTACGTATAGCTAGTATTTAAAGCTAGTATATAGCAGATAAACATACTAGCTATTATAGCGTATTATAATAATTATATAGGCGGTATAGACATTTATAATTAACTCCGCTACTATTACGATATATAACATAAGGCTTATAAGCTATAGCATCCGCTATTCTATTTCCTACTTAATATAGCCGTTATTAATAGCTTTATCCTCTATAGAGACTACTTTACGGCTAAAGGTAATACTAACGAAACTCTTATCCGCTAGCGTACGTTTAGAATCTACCTTACTTAATAACTTGCTAATACCGGATAGGCCGAGCTCGCTACTCTAAAGGTAATAGAGATTCTAGTTACTTTAGTTCTACGCGATAGTAATAGCCGCTTTATAGTTAGTAATATCCTCGGAAGCGTAGCTCGAGGATAATAAAGTTAGATAAAACGAGGTAATTATAAGGGTAAAGATGTAGTAATGTATTAGACACCCGTAATTACTCGATTAGAGATAAGACTAATTCTTATAGGTTAAATGTGCGCTATGCGTAGGAGTTATATATACGCTAAGCCTACGCTAAGCAGTTAGGTTATATTATACTCCCYTCTCTAAGGTTAGTTAATCTAGCTACCTCTATTAATCCTATTATTATAAGGGCTCTTATAYRGCCCTTAYAATTACCTCCTTCCCCCTATACGAACTAGCCTTAGTTCGGGGGCTTAGGGAATAGAGGCGCGCGCGCGTYRYATACGTCGCGCTCGGGGTCCGTAGACTCTATATAGTAAAGTGCCTATWTTCTAAGYAACCTTCGGGCTATTTATATAAAAGCCGGCTAGTTAAACTAGCTATATAGGAAGTAGCCGCTTTCGGAMCTTTATCCTCCTTCTAGTAGGCTAAATRCCGTACCTAGAAGGGCGAGGGTTTAATTCCCTTAACGACCGCTGCTCGATAAGAGGGTTAATAAGTCCCCTACTACGCGGCGTATACGTTACCGCTACTATCCGTAAGGGTCTTATATCTATAGATCTCTAAGTAGGTTATTTGCTAAGTAACTTACCCTAGCAACTACCCCTTATTAACATTCTTTCTACCTTATAGATTTCTCTTCTATATATCTACTCTTTATTATACCGCTACGTACTCCCTATAAGCGTCGCGTACCCGACCCGCCGGCGACTCCTACTTAAGCGTCGGCGAGTAAGCGCCGCGCCGTCGAGGTACCTACGGCCTATCGCCGCTATACGCGGTTAGTATACCTTCGTATTAGCTATCGCTATAACGCTGTCTTTAGCGCGTTTAAGCGCAAGTGCGACTACTATAAGTAAGTAATACTTATTTAAGACGCCTACTCCCCTCTTACGTAGCGCTAACTTCCCTTAAAGGAACAATTATTATAAGTATAAACCCGTGCCGGTAGCGATGCGCCTACGCTACGATAGCGTTATAGCTACGGCCTAAGAGCTTAATCTAGTAGATACTACTAAGTAGAAGGGCAGTTAGGAGGAAGCTAATTATAAGGCGGTAGTAAACACCTTTAGTATTAAGTTAGATGCTTAGATCTATATTAACGAGCCTACCTCGGGTATACGGCGTATAAGTAGCGTAGTCGAGGCGCCTAATC